GGATGATTGAGATAGTAAGAATCACATTATTCTTACTTGGATTCGAAATACCTCTTCCAAGTCCATGTGTGTTTGTTTAGAGGTTTGGATTTTGAGTTGGGATTTGAATAGTAAAAATTTTGAATTTGAATAGTTGTATGATGTGATATAAATAGGTATTGATGTGATATTTTGAATGTAAAATTGATTTTTAGTATAATATAAAAAATGAAAAATAGGTGTTTGATTTAATATTTTTTGAGAAAAAAATTGAATGAATAGTGAAAAAAAATCCAATCCCTCAAACAAACACACCCTTAGATTCAACTTCGCCGCATGAACACTGCTAAGAAAGCTTCAGATCATTCGCAGTATCGATATCATGCCAGTAGAGGTATACGTTATTATCAGTTTATTGGGTCGTTGAATACGTTGACACTTGACTCGAGTTAGGATATGAATAAGTTCTTTTCTACTATACAGTCTATGAGAAATTGTATTAATGAAGCAGATATATAGATTGAGCACTTTTGGTTGATTCAGCTTCTGATGAAACTTGGTCGAGAATATAAGTCTTTGCATCTTTCTTTGCTTTACCGTCATCTCTTGCCTTCCTTGGAGACAACAATAAAGGAGATTTTGTTTGAGGACACTCGTCTCAAAATGCTCAAGCCTCATACCCATGATTTTCGGTCTTCGCAGTTTCTTCATCTACTCCTTATTGTAGGGATAATGATAATCGCAAGGATGCTCGACCACTTCAGTATGATAAATGTCGCAGTTGCCTGAATGCTAATCATTTTTTTATTCACTACCTTAAGGTTGAGTGTCGCTACGGTCATTAAAATGACAACATCCATCATAATTGTCCCAAGAATCCGAAGACTGGTTAGTCCTCTTCTTCCGGCTCTTCCTCTACCATTGTTGCTGCAACTAGCGTATCACAATCGCCTCCCACTTTTGAGGACCTTCGTCACATATTCACTCAGGTTCTATCAGTTCACCCTTTTTTAGCCTTGACATCAGGTAACAACACATGGTAGCAGAGTCCTAAGTCTCGAGTTCGAGTCTTACCGTCCCCATTTCGGCATATGTAAGTACAAGTTTTCGCATACCTCTACTTGCATCGAATGAGCGTGTTGGGAACTCCCGTTTTACCGATAAATAAATTAATGATGTATTTCTCTAAAAATTTGAACTTTTAAATGAGACGATCATTATGCACATCCGACACATATATGATAATGATTATAGTGTTGATTGAGATACATCAATATTATCAATATTGTGAATATGATCAACCACTATACTTTGCATTAATACAACATGTACCATATAAATTATTACGATGCAATGCAAGTTTATAGGTTACAAGTATGTTGTGTTAACTTTCTTTTTGTATTAAAATCAATCACTAAATGGTGTATGAATTATTATTGTTATTATATGCTGTTAGTTCAAATATAATGTTTCTTTTTATATAAGGTTTGTTTATTTTTTATTTTTTGGATAAATATATCTTTTTTTATATTAAGTATGAAATATTGTATTAAAAAAATAAAAAATAATATTTTGTTTGTATTATTAATTTTTTATAAAAAATAAAATATATTATATATATTGTGTTAATATGCGTATTATCTTTTTTAAAAATATTTATGAGAATTATATCATTCAAAAATTCTACGTAAACAATACGTTAATGTACACTTGCTATTGTATATATTATTTTCATATATTGAAAATATATATTTTTATATTAGTAAAATTGGTGTAAAATGATATTTTTTATATAAGATATAAAAAAATTGTTTATGTAATATAAAAATAGTAAATGTATATAATATATATATATTTTTTAATAAAAATACGTGTATTATTTTTGGCAAAAAAACACACCCAAAGATCCTCATGTCTAAAAAGTAAGATTACTTTTTTATGTCTGAAATTCGACCACGTTTTTCATCGACTTCTTCTCATTTCACAATCATTGCGGAATAATTCCAATTAATATATTAATTTATTCATGCGGTGGTTAATCAAGTTCTCTTAGAAAATCTATCTTCGGATAGTTTGATATTTTATATATATATATATGACTTTTTATCATTTCACAATCATTGTGTAATAATTCCAATTAATATACTCCATCTGTCTCATAACAAGGTATTCATTTACCTTTTGCATTATTGTACTTAACGTTAAAAATATTTTTATATTTGTATAAATTTTTATAAAAATGTCATTATATTAGTATTATAAGTAACTAATTATCAAGCATATTACACTATTGATGCATCTATTTTATTATTTGAATTTGAATGGTCACATTCAGTAGGATATATATATTATTTTTCTTATTTTATAGAGATGGTTTTCACGTAATAATAAAATATTTTTATATTTATCGAAAATTATCAGCATCTTACTCTATGTTATTTTGCAATCCATCACATATAACATATTACTATTTTTTAATTTAATTAATAACAATAAATATTTAAACAAATACATAGATAGTAGCTCTAGGTAGTACTATAATATTCATTTATCAACCAAATATATATCTGTCTTTTTCCAATATTGTACTTATTACAAATATGTCATAATCGTTTCAGCTATCAATTTGTCCAAAAACAACTTTACAATATTAACTCACTAATATATTTTTCAAATAATGAAGTATAAATTAGTGTTAATATATATAGATATGTAATTAAAGATACAAACCCAAAACTATACTTCAAAACAATAATAGATAAAGTGCCAAAATTAAAAATTATATACTTCCTTCGTCCAACTCCAAATAGCCATTTGGATATTATAGTAAATTAAAAAATAATAGTATTTTATTAGTTAGTGTAAGTGTGTAAGTGACTTTGACATTTTTTCGTTTGACTTTATATATAAAATAATTGTATATGTAATAATATGTTTGAAATTTAGGTAAAAATTAATGATATTTTGGTATTAGTGTATAATTACTTTTACTTAGACAAAAAATTATTAAATACACTCAAAAATGGTTATTTTTCTCATATTTTAAGAATTTATTTTTACTGTTTTTTTTTTCAAGCTAAATATAAGAAAAATAAATATATATTTATAATTTTAGGGTTTTAGAAATTGATATTTTAAAATTTATTCGCAGTCTGGGCTCACTTAGATCAAATACGGATAAATAGTGACTGCCCAAGGAGTTAGATGCAAAGTTTATAAAACTATGAGAGAGTTTGACGCAGTTTTATAAGTACGGGGATTTGACGCAATTTCGTGAAACTACATGTGAGTTTTGTGCAATTTAACCTAAATAATACTCTCTCCATCCCACATACCATGTCCACGTTGCCGTTTCTGTCCATCCCACATACCATGTCATTTTTCTTTTTTGAAAAATGATTATACACTTTAATCTCATTTTAAACTTTTTAATTTTTTTAAAAAATTTTTAATTAAACTAAGTAGTTATCTTAATCTTAATTTATAATTATTTATATTATAGGATAATTATTTTTACTAATATATTTTTAATTATTTACTAATTACACCCCTCCTAAAATACCGTGTTTACAGTGTAACAGACACGGTACGTGGGACGGAGGTAGTATATTATATGTAGTAATATTATGTAATGTATCTTAGTGCACGATGTGCTGCTAGTAAATTATAACAGCCGTTATAATTTACTTATATTTTTAAATCACACCTCAAATACTTGACTTTGTACAGTGCCTTTACATACCGTTTTGTGTTCTTTCAATTTCCATATATGTATATGCATGTGTATATGTATATATATATATATATCTTTATATCTGTTGAGGACCCTCAGCCCCACTTCCCAACATGGAGGTTTTTGTACTTATTATATCTTTATCCTATTTCTGGAAGTTTTCGATTCACTGCAGGGAAATGTAAGAATCCGACATTAGTGTGCCGGAAGGATGTCCTGGTGGTATGGTCTGGACTTATGACCGTAAAGTCTTGAGTTCAAATCCCCTACCCTTTCAGGTCACCTGTTACTTATAGTTAATCTACTATAAGAAAATATTGTTTCTGTAACGAAGTTTCGTTCTTGATTAATCAAATTCACTTTTTTCTTTTTTGTTACTAATGATATTAGAGATAAAATTACATTAGCTACGTAAATTTTAGGGACGGAATTCTGTTACAAATATACTATTTTTTTATAGTGCCAGTGTGACTTGCCTCTCGAGCCTAGTTTACAGGGTATTAGGTTCGGTGGGGCCTTTACCCAGTGCGCATTTTCAAGTAGCGATTACAAATTTCCAGGTCAATTAAAAAAAAAAAAAAAAAAAGAATCTGACATTAGTGAAACATGCAGGCTGATCATGATATAAGAAAACAACAACAAATCTTTATTTCTTTCGAGTATTTTCCTATTTTTTAACTATTTAAACACTACTTTTTAAGTAATAAGAATAATATATATATTTTTACAAAAACATCATATTAATTACTATTTAAATTAAATGTCCAAACAAGTAAACTCAATTCAAACAAAAAAGAAACACTTCTTTTAGGTTCGTAATTTAGTTTAAATAATTGTTTAATATAATACTTGAAATAGAAAACAAAAAATAATCCTACCATTCACTTCCAACGCAATTGTTTACCTTTTGCACGTAAATTTTAAAATATTAGTAATTTATATATAATAGTAAAAAATTTTACCCCTAATTCATTTGCTTTTAAATAAAAAATATCATTACTAAAAAAGGTAATGAAGGCTAAAATGGCAAATTAAATACATTCAAAGTGGACATAACAAGTTTATATTTTTATCAAAAAAAAAAAAAAAAAACAAAACATGAAAACTGAATAATAAGAAATTAAAAATAGAGAAACCCTAAATAAGTAAATACCTTTATGAAGACTATGACATATATATTTAACATCTATATATACATATATATATATATATATATATAGGAAGAAGGTGAAGAGGATCTTCATCTTCATTATTGATCATATATCTATCGACCTGCGTGTACATGGAAATGGCGAGGAAAGGTGCGTGGAGTGCTGAAGAAGACCAACTTCTCAGGAAATGTATTGAAAAGTATGGAGAAGGGAAGTGGCACCAAGTCCCCTTTAGAGCTGGTTCGTGTATATATATATATATATATATATACATATATATATATATGTATGTATATACAGTGGGTGGGTGAGTTGTAGGTATAACTTGTAATTGTTTGTAGGGCTGAACAGATGCAGGAAGAGTTGCAGGTTGAGGTGGATGAATTACTTAAGGCCTAATATTAAAAGGGGCTTCTTCAACACAGATGAAGTCGATCTCATTATCAGGCTTCACAAACTTCTTGGCAACAGGCATTCTACCTACCTTGCACCTTATATTCATCACTTTTATCTTCATTTATTTAATTACATATATATATATATTATATAAGTTCGATCAAAAGGGGTGTCGTGTGTGCATATATGCATGGAATTGATTTTTCTTGTGTAAGTGATTAATTATGATTTATTCCATGATGTATGGATCGATGTATTTGTTGAAAATAGAAGCCTAGCTAGGTTTGACCAACAGCTTTACAAAAACTTCTATCACACTTTAATTCCAAGAACCATGATTACTCAAGAGTTTGGGGTTGGATTTCTACTTCAAGACAATAGTAAAAGTTTAAATTTAAAAATTGCATGTCCTCCAAAAAAATATACTTTTTTTTTTGCTAGGTAACATTCAAAAGTAATAATTTATGTCTCTTTTTTTTCTTTAAGTAAGAAATCATGATATGTTTTTTTTTTTAATATATGTTTTAATACTAAAATATAAAAACTATCAATTATTATTCATTGATGGTAAAATCTATATCTAAAAGTATAGCATATTTTTAAATTGAAGGCTTTTTTTTTTTTTTTTTTTTTTTTTTTTTTTACTTTGGAGTGTTTGCAAATCAAACCATCAAAAAAGCCTACTATTTTTCAATACCAACTATAGTTTAATCATTTACTACACATAAATGAAAAAATACTGTATTGAAACAGTAAATGGTGTTAATGTTTTATGTAAAAGTAATTTTGCCCATGTAATATAATATAATGGTATTTAATGTAAGTATATATGATTTAAAAGCATTTATAATATACTGTAAGACTTGCTAAAAATAGAAATAAGCCTACATTAGAAAATGATGAAATCATTACCTTTTAAATAACACTTTGAAGAACTATATCAAAACACAACCCTTACCCCCCCCCCCCCCCCCCCCCCAAAAAAAAAAAGGATCAATTCTAAATATTACTAGTACTTTTGAGGAATGTGTTACATTTTATTATTATTACTGTTATTCATTATATATCATGCTTGAGCGTGAGTCTTAGCATTGGCATTGCAATAAATAAATAGATAAATAAAATGTCTTCTTCCAATAATTTTGTAGCAGAGACGTTTTGTGTTGAAAAAGAGAGAACTTTTCACACTACACGCATATATAGTAGAGTGTTTGTTGGAGTTTGCATTTTGAGTTAAGGATTTGAATTGTAAAAATTTTAAATTTTAATAGTTGTTTGATGCGATATAAATAGGTGTTGATGTAATTTTTAAATATAAAATTAACTTTTAGTATTCTCCCGTCCCAACTCAAAGTATTTTTTTTACCATTTGCGTTCGTCTCACTTCAAAGTATCTATTTTTTATTTTAGTAAAAGTAATTATGCACTATAAAAATACTTTTAACTTTTACCTAAATTACAAACATATTTTTATATAAAGTTAAATAACAAAAATGTCAAAACCTCTAACACACTTCCACTGACTAATAAAATACTATTATTTCTTAATTTACTTTAAAATTTCAAATGACCCATTTGGACATGGAAGTATAATATAAAAAAAAGAATGAAAAATATATATTTAATTTGATGTCTTAGTTATTGTAGACACGAGAATTTAAGTTAAGTATAATTAGTAGATAATTAAGAATGTATTAATAAAAATAATTAATATATAATATAAATTATTATAAATTAAAATTAAGATTAATAATTAGTTTCATTAAAATTTAAAAAAATTAAATTTAAAATACATAATTATTTTCTGAAAAAGGAAAATGACATGAAATGTAGATCAGACAGAAACGGAAACATAGACGTGATAAGTGGGACAGAGCTACTAATAAATAGTCAAATTTGTCGTTTTCTTTTCTTTTCTTTTCTTTTCTTTTTTAATCGGTTGTAAAATTTGTCCTTGTTGTTGGAAGTGATACATGGCAGTAGTCCAAAACCTCTACTGTTGTTTTCAGTGCGGTGGAGGGCAGTATGTGAATTAATGTAATAATTTTCGTTGTCACGTGTGGGCAGATGGGCTCTGATTGCGGGCAGACTTCCGGGCAGGACTGCAAATGACGTGAAGAATTTCTGGAACACTCATATTTCGAAAAGATCAGCACTGCAATCCAAACCACCCAATCTTATTACTACTACTAATCATAATTGTTGCTTCCATGTAAAGACTACTCAGCCCAACGTTTCTGCGACCGATAACGTCGTCGTCATACGCCCCCGACCTCGGAACTTCCTAATCAATAATATAAATAATAATAATAATAATAATAATAATCATCATCATCGTCATCTTGAGATGCCATCTGGTGATCGGACGGCTGAGGATGAATGCATTCGTTGGTGGGAGAACTTGCTGGAGACAGCTGACAGTGGAGATCAGGAATTAGGAAACCCCGCCGGAGATTCTGCCGGAGTTGAAGTGCCGGTGTTGCCGCCGGCGGGATTATATGAGAAGGAGAACGATGGATTTTGGAATATTCCCCATGGATTCGGAAGTTCGCGCTGGGACGGGGACTGGGAGGATGATGGCCATTATAATAATGAGTTGGCATGGCTGCGCTGCGGATCTAGTCACTATTAATTGAGTCGCCATTCTTACTCAATCTATATCAACCGTTGGATTAATCGCGTGCATTTTATCTAGCGGCTGTGGTTTTTTCTTTTTTTTTTTTTTTATTACGTGAAAGTCGAATAGGCTTTTGAATTTATATTAATAGTTGGATTAGTCATGCTCGTTTGATCTAACGGATGACATAGGGTTTTATTTAAAAATCTTGATGTTGATTAGGTTAATAAAATCATAAAAAATAATAATAGAAACCTATACATCAATAGATATATATATATATATATATATGGAGGCAGATTGGTGTTGATTAGGTTAATTAATGAATTAACAAAAAACAATATAGGAGATAATTAATTTTAGTACAATATCTGTATTTTATATGTAAATACCGAATCCATGCTATGTTTTATAAATATATATATATAATTAAAAATCTAAACAAGAATACATTATGTATGTAATAATTAATAGATAAATCGATAGAAAACAAGAAACAAATTCAACACAATTTTATTCAAAACACAAGCAATGCAAGTACAAATGATGCGAAATCGAGGGAATGTTAAGAGGAATAGAAATTTAAACGCGAGATCGAATAGGGACACTTATTAAACGCGCAAACATGCATATGTATACGAGTGAAAATGGATGAGAGTGGCTTTTAATTTAGACGAGGAGAAGATAAGCATCGAGCAACATGAAGATGGATTTAACAATAACAACATAAGCCTCCGGAGGCGGGGAAAGGAGCGTAGATTTCTCGTAGGTAAATGTGCATTTGGCGAACCCCTCGGTGAATTCAAGGCTAGCCACGAAACTCTTGTACAATACCAACAAATCTCCCTCCAACACCGAGAATGTTATGGTTTTTGCAGTATCATCTAGCGCCGTAAGCTTCAATTTTGCACTCATTGGGATTGCGCCTAGATGCATGAAAAATAGAAAGTACATGTACTATAGATAAATAGGGTTTGTTCACTTTGTTTTTTTATCTGATACAATTAATATTAATAAAAATATAATATATACACTTTATTCATTCAAAAAAGTCAACTTTTCAACCAAGCCAATGTATTACTATATTTTTTATATTACTAATATAATTTTTCACATCTAACGTAAAAAATAAAGTCATCCAAGAAAATCAAATACCTATAATTTTTAGGTTATGGGCTTAAAGTACATGTTACAAAAATGGATTGATTAAACTAACCGAGGATGTAGTTCCATTGCTTGACGCATCCGACTTTGCCTTCCTCGCCTTCGAGGAGCTTTACCCCGATGAAGACCGTGGGGACTATTTTTAGGAGGTCGTTTATTTCGAATTTGAAAAAGTTGTAGAACTTGTCCGGCGAGGCTTTCACTGAAGAAGTGATGTCGACGCTCTCGATTTGGTTGGAGGCCATTTTGGCAGTCGGAAAAGTACACTACTCTGATACCAATAATAATTAAGTTAAGTGATGGTATATATTTTATTTTTTTTAGCATTTATTTATAGGGAAGAAGAAGGGCTTATTATATGATTTAATGTAACCATTGTGAAATCTAGCATAAATCTCAGCAAATGATTTTTAGGTAGGATTGATCAATTAAATTACTCTAATTAGAGATCTTCGATTAAATTAACATGTATATATAGTAGAATTTTGGGTGCTAAAGATTGTCTATTTATATATATATATATATATATATACTTTTGAAAGTTTTTGTATTATTATTATTTATTTTTATTTTTTTTTTGTGGTAATTTTTTATTAAATAAATTATATTATAAATACTTAGCTTTTTATTAATTTCAAACTTTTTCGAAACTTTAATACTTTCAAAACTATTATCTGAATGGAATTTCATAAAATTTAAATATGAACTATTGATGGGTGCAGTGTATTATTGAAGGTGCAGTATAACGTCGTGAATCATGTATGTAAAGTACCTAATACCAAATTGGTTGGTTAGATAATTCAACTCAAATTGAATATATAAAATGTATTAGATCATTTAAGAAAGGGAGTTGTCCAATTTAATTTATTTTAGAATTTTGATATATTTAACTATTCAAAAATAAATAAAGTAAATTAGAAAATTGAATAATAAAATACTATATATATATTTTTGTAGATTTTGGTTTTAATTTTAAGTGAAAGCGGTTGGATACGAATCGATGAAATTATATTGTATTAGGAATGATTAAACATGATAAAATATTTTTTTTATTCTACTAAATGATTTTTACGATTTCTTATAACAATATTTAAATTTAATAATACATATATCAAATTTGAAAAACAATTCATACCAAAAGTCAAAATCAAAATCGAAAATCAAACGGCAAATAAAGAAATTGGCTTTTTTATTTTATTCTTTTTTTCTTGTGTTCAAACTCATATTAGAAAGGCCTAAAATATAAGTCCATATTTAAATGAGGCCTGTTTTAAAATACTTCAAAATTGTTAAATGGGCCAACAAATTAGCCCACTTGTGCCTCTATATTTAAATGAGGCCTAAAATAAAATACTTTTTTATTTTATTTTATTTTATTTTATTTTTTTTCGTAACAATGTCTGGTGGTGTAGAGGTTGGACTTGTAATCGTGAGGTTATAGGTTCAAACCTCCAACACCTCAAGTTACCTGCCATTCATGATTCTCCTAATGTGACTTTCTCGCCGGACTTAATAGATTCAGTTTCTAGTGTGCCTTTCGAGTAGCGACGGTGGATTTCCACGTCATAAAAAAATAATAATAATATGTTGTTTACTTAATTAATTTTAATCCAATTAAATAATTTTAAACTAAAATCTAAATTAAATATCTAGCATCCATATCAAAATTTGTTGCATCTTTTAACATGGATATAGGGTTTTTTACTCATTTAGTAAATATTTTAATGATTAATTATATACCATTTCTGGCACTCATAATTTGAAGTGATTAGAGTTTGACCTGACCTCGTGGTCAAAAGTCAAAACTATTTTTTAAGGAACTATATTTATATATTTATTTAATTATTATTATTATTATTTATGTTTTTGATAGATCTACAATCGAATCTAATAGCTTAATAAACTAAGTCTGACACTAGACAAACCAAATATTTATTGAAAAATATAAAGATGAAATATTAAGAAAAAAAAATGTATATTTTTCATTGAACACATTTTGTTCTGATTTGTGTACAAAATTTTGACAATATATACTCCCTCCGTCCCATAACTAGGTATCCGTTTGCTTTTTGCATGGAGTTTTAGAAATATTAGTATAAAATTTAGTATGAATAAAGTAGAAATTACTAAAATAACCTTATTAGTATTGTGTGATATAAAATAATGACATTTGTGTAATATATTATAAGTTGTAAGGGGTATTTGTAATGTTAGGTAGATAGTACAATTACTTAAAAAAAAATAATAATAAATATTTTATTTTGGGACAAACTAAAATAAAAAAATAGATATTTTGTTATGTAATGGAGGGAGTATCATATTTAAAATACAATTCATTTTAAAGATTGCATTTCACTATCTATGAATGGTTAAAAATTTTAAAATCTAAAACAATTAAAAATAAAAAAAATAAAAAAAAAATAGGTAGCTAGCCAGTATGTTTTTTTAAAAAAAAATATTTCAATCTTCAAATAAATTATGGATAACTACACCAAAACCGTTGGGATGATGTAAAAAGCCGTTATCCGAAATCGGGGCACCCGTCATCATTTATATGATAAATATTTTTTTAAATAATACTTCATCCGTCCACTTTAAAGGTTTATATTTATTTTTTACGTATTACTTTTTAAATATTAATTATTATATCAAAACATAGTATAAATTAAGTAAACAAGACAAAATTACTTCTATTAATGTCTTATAATACAAATATAATGATATTTGTAGACAAACTTATAAAAATACAATGATATTTTTAATGTTAAGTATAATGACGCAAAAGGTAACTGTAAACTTTCAAAGTGGACGGAAGGAATATTATTTTGAAATAGCAGCAAAATCTCTAAAAACATGTCTATAAACAAGGTCATAAATCATAATTATACATATATATATATGGCTTGCGATAATCGGTCCCGTGCCTACAACCCTTCTTGCGCCCAGCAATGGAGGGTCGACATGTGGATTTTAATTAATTATTATTTTTAATTTATTTTATACAGATACACAAGCTTCATTTAGCTTTAAGTTATTTACGTATTGTCCCAAAATAAATTTTTATATATTTAAATTATACTATAATAATGATAAGTTTTAAAATAAAATTATTTATAAATATGTGAAGATTGTATTTTAACATTTACGAATATTTATACTCTTATTTAATTATATATTGTAACATTTGCAGTTAATATAATGCTAATTTATTTTATATTATATCATATTTTAATGATGTAATAATTAAAATTAGTGTAATATTATACTTAATTCATTATAATATGAAAATTTGTGTTTATATTTAATTTTTATTTTACAAAATAATGTAAAAATAAATTAAAAGTACCAAACATTCAAAATAAAATAAATTTATTTTCAAAATATAATAAAAAAATATCCTTCCAAATTTGGAGAATTATTTTTCCTAAAAAATGGAGGGCCACCGAAATTTGGAGAATCTTTTTTCGTATGGAGTCTATTGGAGCTATTCTCATCAAATTTTTAATTTTTTTTTAATTCTTTCAAAGTATATCAAATTAAAATTTTAATTTTTATATTATTTTAAAAAATAATTTTGTATTTAAAATATTAAATTTATATCAAATCAAATAATTACATAAATTAAAAAATTTATTACTATTTAAGATCCAAAATCCATAATCAAACACACATCATTTTTAAAAAAAACTTAAATACTACCTCTGTGCATAAGAAAGGGATATTATTTGTTTTATTAATACTATTAAAAATATTATTACAAAAAACTAATAGAAATATTTTTATTATTTTCTCTTAATTTATACTCCTTTCGTCCCCGATCTATCTATCCATTTGCTTTTTTACGGAGTTTTAGAAATATTAGTATTATATTGGGATAAAGTAAAAATAAATGTAAAAAGATTAAATTAACCCTATTAGTATTGTATGATATAAAGGTAATGACATTTGTATAATATATTGTAAATTATAAGAATATTTGTAATGTTAAGTAGATAGTACAATTACTAAAAAAAAGAAACGGATACTTTGTTATGGGACGGACCAAAATGGAAAAATTGATAGATTGTTAAGGGACGGACGGAGTAATAATTACTACTATTAAAAAATCTAGGTTAAATTGCACAAAACCAACCCTTCATTTTATAAAATTGTGTCAAATCATATGCGTCAAACTCTCTTGTGGTTTTCATAAACTCTGCGTTTAAATGAGCTCATTTTATAAACCTCTCGGATTTGACCTAAATTAGCTCAAACTGCGAATAAATTTTAGAATCTCAATTTATGAACCTCTAAATTTACAAATATATTCATTTTTTTAATATTTAGCCTAAAAAAATAGTAAATATACTAAAAAATATAGTTACTTTTTCTCAGGTTTTAAAAATTTCTCAAGTTTAAAAATTGAAATTCTAAAATTTATTCGCAGTTTGACGCATTTAGGTCAAATACCCTTAAATAAGGACTGCCAAAAGGGTTAGACACAAAGTTTATGAAAACACGACGGAGTATAACGCAGTTTCAATTTCAAAAGTACGAGAGATTTGAAGCAATTTCGTGAAATCAAATCTACACTAAAAAAGCCAATATACTCTTTGGGGCAGAGAAAATATAAATATTTTAAATAAAAAGTAATAAATAGATAGAACACTTGGGAAGTGAGTAGCATACACAAGAAGAGAGGTGGGATATGAAAAATACAACATTTAAACTAGTCGGGACCACAAATTTCATATTCGTAGCTCCTCCTCCTCTGTTCGGAAAATGTGACACAATATATACTTGATTCGAATTAATATTATAGGAACAAAAAAACCCAAAAAGCCACTCCATCTTATAAGGAAAAGAATTTCAAAAAAATAAAATAAAACATGGAATTATGGTCAACCACATATATCATTCCAAGCATATACATATACCAATCATAAACAAACAATTAACACAACACAAATCTCAATATAAAACTGACACTGTATATTTTATAGTAGCCACAACCTCGCAACTAATTGCCTTATTTACCTACAATCATTGAATATATGACCCCAAAGACTCTTATGCACCACCACTCATTCCAGAATAAAGCCCCACTTGTGTATTAAATTCAAAATACACCAACAAAAAGCCACAGTAGTCTTGAATTTAAGTTATATAAAATTTGCAGTAAAATTGCTGAGACGTAACTTGATTGCAATAATTTCTATGAATTAGTGCGTATACGCGTTGAGCGGTGCTGTGCAGATGAACAGTGATAGTTGACAATTAAGGCCAAGTAACATTTATTTTGAAAGCAATAGAAGGCATAGGCAAATTGCTGGCAACATCTCTCTCAATTAAATGCCAACACGCTTTACCTTTTCGTGCTCGTGATTTATGCATCGCTATTCGCTGCTACTTTTTTGTTTTGGTTGAAAATTAGGGGCAAATTTCGTTTTCTAGGACTTCAGAAGCTGGAGGAGCTTAGGAAGTACTCCTATACAGAAAGTAAAACTAAACTAACCCTAGCGGTTACTAAAATTCTGAGAAATTGGAATGGATTGAAAATTAAGAGCAACGAGTGGAGAAGAGTTTGTTAGCTGAATTACAATAACAGGCGTACCGCGATGATCACGATGCTCTAGTCATCATCTTCTTAAATTCCTCGAAATTCACGCAACCGTCGCCATCAACGTCGACGGAGCTGATCATTTTCCGGCAATCCTTGAGCGAGCACTTCTCCCCAAGGCTACGGAGTACGGAGTGCAACTCGCTCGCGGAGATCTTACCGTTTTTATCCTTGTCGTACAGATCAAACGCCTCCTTCAACTCCTTGTTATCGTCTCCTCCGCCGCAATGGAAGGCCTTGAACTCCTTGAAATCGATGTACCCGTCGCCGTCCGTGTCCAATTCCGCCATTATGCGCTTGATTTCGTCGGCGGAGGTCGGCGATCCGAGGCCGTTGAGCACCGCGGCGAGCTCGTTCAAGGAGATTCGGCCGTCGCCGTTGGCATCGAACTTATTGAAAACCTTCTCCACTTCCTCCTCCTTGGTCAACGGAATCTGCACGGCGGAATTCTCCATTGGCGACGGAGGGAGGGAGGCAGGCCTGCAACGAATCGCGAGACGGCAGATATGCGTAGAGTAGCGGTAGCAGGCTTTGCGTGACACCCGGGGATGCTCAACGCCTTTTATAGCCCGCTCGCCCAAAACGCGCTTTTCTAAACGCGTTGAGTCATATTTCAGTTTTCCCCTCAACACTTTTATACATATCATATCGTAACATAAATAAATAATTCAAATTATAATAAATAGTATTCTCAACTCAAAGTATTTAAAATTATTACTTTTTTTTATTAATTAATATTAACTTTTTTAAAATTATAAATATAATTAATGTGTATATATATATATGATATACAAAATAAAAACATCAAATTTATTTTATATATTTTCATTAATTAATAAAATATTACTATTATTTTTTAATTTATTCTAAAAATTCAAAAAATACCTTTAAATTGGAACATAAAGAGAATTTTGATGTAATATTTAAAAATAATAAAATACCAAAAAATATGAATATCAAACTATCATAAATACTTTTATATATAAATAAAATATTATAATTTATTAATGTATTATAAAACGAGATAAGTTTGAGAGATAAGGATTATATATTATGGTATTTTTATACGTAGCCTAAACCTCAATTATACAAAAAAAAAAAAAAGAGGTACTCATATTTTGTTTTGTGTGATTTATTTTGTTAAATTTAATTTATACTATACTAGATTGGATCGAAATTTACCCGATACCGCACTATCACATGAAGTTTACGATTTTAACATTAAGGGTGTGTTTGTTTGGGGATTGAATTTTAAATTTACTATTCATTTTTTTTTTTTTCCTAAAAAATATCAAATCAAACACATATTTTTTATTTTTTATATTACATTAAAAATTAATTTTACATACAAAATATCGTATCAATACCTATTTATATCAAATTATATCATTATTCAAATTCAAATGTTTTATTATTCAAATTCTAAGTGAAAATTTATGGAATAAGCGCACCTAAAAAGCAAAAACAATTAGGACAATGAGCTTTAGGTTGAACCTAAAAGGGTGCCCGACATGTTCCAGTGTACCTAAAGAGTACTTGAAAGCCAAACAGAATTTGACACGTGTAATCCAATTGCCACCCTGCCGATATCATAATTGTCATAATTAGACAACACCCTGGCACATAAGCAGAGGGGCAGTTAATTTAAATTATTCAGACTAGAGTCAAGTATCTGTCACACACATTTATGGATCAGATATATTCAATTTATTTACCAAATTATCTCGTGTCATATCATGTGCCATTGTTGGACTTTAAATGAGATGGGCCCTTTTGTATTTGGGCTGCCCATAAATGGGCTTAATCTAATTCCATAATACAAGTAGAAAAAAAAAAAAAAAACCAATACACATTTTCAATCTTAGTACAAACCACACACCACATGGCCACTACATTATTACCAAGAACATGGCACATGGTCTGATTACTGAACAAACAAGAATCCAAAAAAAAAAAAAAATGAAAAAAAAAAATAAAAATGTCATCTCTCCCTTTCTAAATTCAGAAATTTTAAAAGGGAGGATGCAAAACTATACAACATACAAATAGCCATTATAATCAGTCCTACTGGTTACAAAAACCACATCTTCCTTGCTACTAAAACCAGAGACATGATAAAGTTCTATTTTTTAAAAAAAAAAAAAAAAAATTCGTCGTCGTTGACAACGACGGATTAGCGGCACTGAAGGTGAGTGTCCTCGTCGAACTCGACTCCCAGCATCGCCAGCGCGAAATGGCTCTTCATTTCGCTCTTTGTCCGCTGCAGCTGCGAGTTGTGATGCTCGGCTGCGCTACTTAAGCTCTTCTTTCTATTTATCCCGTCGCCGGATTTTCCTCTAAGTATGGCGACGATTTCTGCCATGTCGGGCCGCCTCGACTCCTCGTTGTGTATGCAAGCCGTGGCTGCTCTGACCATGTTCGCCACCTGGCTCATGTTCCTGCGCCGGAGCTTTAGTCGCGAGTCAAGGAGTTTTTCGACATTTCCTTGCTGCAGCAGAGGCTTAGCCTAAAATGGAAATTTTAATTTTTTTTTAAAAAAATATTTGAATAAATTAAATGAATTGGAAACCTAACATTTGGTACATTAAAAACTGGAAATATTCTCTGATTGATGAACATGAAGAGGCACATGCATTATTGAGCATCAAGTTGACGACAATGGCAAATAATTTATGCACTAATGAAACAACAATCATACCCACATGTTCGATCCTATGAACTTAGGAGGGTCCAAAACTTACATTCAAATAAAAAAATTAAATAAAAATTAGATATTCGAGTGATGTTTCAAATGTAAAATGTTATTTGAAAATAAACGCGGCGACGTACCCATAAGACCAAGTTTTCCTCGCCGGGACCTCGTCTGGATTCGATTGGCTTCCGTCCGGTGATGAGTTCTAACAGCACGACGCCGAAGGCGTAAATGTCAGTCTTGTCCGAAACTTTCCCGTGCTGGAAATACTCCGGTGCGAGATACCTACACGATACAAATGATTGGTAACTTTTCAAACATCGTTATCCGGAAATGAGAAATATAGAATCAAGAATCAATGATCGCACCCGAATGTGCCTTTAACGGTCTTGCAAAGAAACGGCACTGACGGCGCCGGAGTCCACGTCGCCAAACCAAAGTCGCACAGCTGCAAAAAAATCATCCAACCAAACATTAGACTATATACAATCGGGTTAAAATTCTGAGCCAAGACAACCATTACCTTCGGTGTCTTCTTCGACGAAAGGAGGATGTTAGAAGGCTTAATGTCTCTATGAACAACACATCGTTCTGTTCCATTGTGCAAATATTCGATCGCCTCGGCGATCCCCACGGCGACTCGGTACCGGACTTGCCACGTCAGTAGCGCCGCGGCGGCGCCGGACTTTTTCTTACCGTGCAGAAACTGGTCTAAGCTGCCGCCGGAGACGAACCGGTAGACCAGAAACAGGCCGTGGTCGGAATCGATGCAGAATCCGAGGAGAGGAACAATGTGGGGATTGTGGAGAGAGCTGGCGATCATGAGCTCCCGACAGAAAGCTTTGGAAGATTCCTTATCTTCTTTGTCCAGACGTTTGACGGCGACGGCGGTTTTGAGGAATCCGACGCGGCCCCAAAAGACGCAGCTCAACGCTCCTCTGCCTAAAACTCGACCTAATCGAAACAAGAGACGATTTTTTTAGAATTTTTGTAAATTTGGGGATTCAATTGAAATTCGATGGATTTAGGGGTACCTTTGGAGAAATTCCTGGTGGCGGAGAGGATTTGGGAGTAGGTGAATCGGACCAGAGAGTGTGCGACGGGGGAAATGCTTCGTTCGAGAGATTCGAGGCGTTTCCATTTTGTTTCTCGAAGGTTCGAATCGATTAAGGAGCCGTTGTCGAGGTTAACCATGAGGACAGTAGCAGAGCGCGTGGGGTGGACCGCCATGGATTCGAGCTCGACCTGGGAGCATAAGCAGAAGCGGAAGGAGGAGTGGCCGGAGTAGGGTTCATCGCCGCCGCACCCGCCGGATTCCGCCAGGAGCCAGGCTTTGTTGTGGTCAAATTTTGGGTTAAGCTCGTCGTCGGCGCCGGAGGTCCGTTGCCGGCGGCGAGGGATGGCGCAGGCTAATCCGAAGTCCCAGATCATTTTGTAGAGAAACGACTCGAACTTTACGGCGTCGTTCTGGTCGTCGAATTCGTCGGAATCTTCGTGATCGGTAGAGGTAAGAAATTTAGTTTGGCAAGCATTCCTCGAAAACCCCATTTTTTTCACTGATTCTGATGACAAATCTCCCAAAAGCCGAGAGAATAGAGAATAAAGAGAAATGGAGAAAAAGCAAGAAAGTCTGAAGCAGCTTTGCTTCAAAAGAGAGGATAGTATTTAGTTTACAGAGAAGAGGAGGAAGAAGACGACAGATCTCCAGACTCCACAAAGTTGTTTGAATTGGGCTAATGTAATGCAAAATAATAATAATAATAATAATAATAATAATAGTGAAATAAGAAAGGGTTGAGTGGAGATAATGATATGATATTGTTAGAGGTTAGAGATGAACAAGACAAGCTACCCGCATGAAAGGGGGCACATAACATTATATAATCAATTTGAAACTCAGATAATACTACTAATAATCAAGAGTTAAGTGGGGGCTAGAATAGTTTATTAATTTAATGGTGGCAAGAACAAAACAAAGCAAGATTGAAGAAAATGCCAGAAATTGTGTTGGGTGACCTGACCCCTCCAAATCAAATAATTTTTTCTCATTCCCCAACAACCCAGCTTGACAGCAGAGGAGGAGAGCCCATCTCAGCTGCTGCTGATTATATATCATCGATATTCATAATTATTACCAATAATAATAATAATAATAATATCGTGTTATTTCTGTTTCTTTAAGAAAATAAAATAAAATAAAATATTTTGGCGTTTTGGCAGCGACTGGTGGGTGCGAAAGTCGCACAAGATATGGCTAAGTTACCTAAATTTTAAACCCCCTTTATCCTCTGCTGTTGGTTCCCCATTTTATTCCTTTTCAATTATATTTATAAATTTTTAATATTTTTGGACAATCCTACTTTTAGATTATCTTCGTATTTCCTTCCATTGTTGCCTACTGACGCGACATTACAAGATATTTAGAAACCTTTTATTATTATTATTATTATTATTATTATTAATTTTAATTTGCAGTAGCCAGTAGCTGCCCAGGAAAATCCAACGGTAGATGGATCGGATTCGGATCCAGCCCGGCTGACCCCACGCGAAATGGATGGTCCATTAATTTCTGGAGCTCGAGATCCACGGAGTTGCCAAGAAAATGATGCACTTATTAAGGAAGAACGTTTTGTGTGAGTGCTCGATGATCGATCTTAGTTAAAGAAAAACCGATATTTGTGTGACGGTTTGTCCGAAGCTAAAAATTACGTAAAGTATTGAATTAAATTAAATTAGTTGGAAGGAAGAAAACAAAATTGATGGCGTAATTGCATAATAAGCAAATTAGTAATTTCTTCTTCTTTGTTACAACATCCAACTGCAGCACCGTTTAAGCATTAATTCCACTCCATTGATGGATACGTCCAAATTAAATTTGCACCTTCAATAAATTTGGGATTTTTTTGGGGTGCGTGTCATTATTGATGTATGTTTCTGTTGCGAATCAATATCATGTGTTAAAGGAGAAAAAAATAAATAAATATTTACCCAAAGGACTATCCAATAATAATGGTTGCGAATTTACACATTATCAAAAATATATATAACTCCTAAATACTAACCAACTAATTGGTCATCATCAAATAAACAAATTATTAGCACCATATATATATATATATATCCAATTTGCAGATGTTGATGTAGATTGGAATTGTTACATCATATCCTATTTGTGTCAAACTTAGTTCCGTTTCCCGTTGTCTCAACTAATCACATTTATGACAATTAATTTGACGGTTGTAAATGTAATACTACTAATTATGGCCCTCAACAATCAATCTTACCAATAATCCAAGAAAATTCCTCTCTCGACTAACTGCAACGCCGGATTCCAACTGCCCAATAGATATATATATAAATATTTTGCCAGAAAACGACATTATCACAAGCCAAGAATCAATTGAAGTGTTTGTTAGCTATTGTAAGAAAAGCTTACCAATTTAAGTTCGATTCGACCCGAAAACATCCACCGGTCATGCCCAAATGGCTGGCTAGACGGCACAACAGTCCTAGCAGCTCGACATACAGAAGTTAGTCGGTTAGATGTAGGAAAGTCAGCGCAAACAAGAATATCAACGCGATTTGTACAAGTGTTCAGTTAGCAGTTGTTCCACTTGCGCAAAAGCTGTTCGTAGGCGAAGGCTTTCCCTACTTTAGACAAGCTCTGTTTCAATTTCGACAGCGTCGCGGAACTTAACTTGATACCTCGCTCGATCATGTCCTCGGCGCACTTAACTGCTTCCGGAACACGATTCATGTCTCGAAGCCTGACGACGAGAAGATTCCCAGTTTCATCCAAATCAGAGCTGTAGTTTTGCAGCATGCATCTCCACACTTTCGTCGCCATGTGAGGATCCCCGGCATTTACGTACGCCCTAACTGCGACGTTGCAGTCCTCTTGCAATGGCACAAATTCATTTTTCACCATCTCCTTGAATATCGGCGTCGCTTCCTTCAGATGCCGGTTTTTGATCAAAGAGTGGAACAGTAAACTGTAAGTTTCGGAATCAGGAAACGCCCCGTTATACACCATTTCATCGAATAACCTCTCGGCAGAATCAAATTCCTTGGCGATACAATACATCGAAATCATCGATTTATAGAGTCCCGTATCTGGCTGACATATTCCCGTCCCCACCATCACGTCCCAAATCACTTTAGCAGATCTTGCGTCACTCTTCTTCACACAATCCTCAATCGAAAACTTCAAGAATTTCATGCCCGGATAGCATCCCCTGCTCCTCATCATGTCAAGAAGCCTTAAAACCTCATGTATTCCTTCAGCGCCACCAAGGAGGGTACACAAAAATGAATCGTACGCAGGGGAATTTGACGTATCCCATCCAATTTCGTTCAACATTTCCGAAAAGATTAACCTAGCTCGACTTAAATTCCCCTCCCTCTCCAACCCCTCAAGCAAAATGGCATATGTCCCCCCATCTGCTCTAATCTTATCCTTCAATGATTTAAAGCATTCGTATGCACATTGAGGACCTTCCACCTTACAAATTGCGCCGATCAATGAATTCATTGCTGCGGAGTCCTTTCGAACACCATACTGATCCATAACCTCAAAACTAAGAATTGCTTCTTGCACACGATTAGCAATCACATAATTGTCAAATATAGAAGCAAAAGTATCTATAGAGAGCAGATGCTCTTTTATCATGGATTTAACAGTGTCCCACATTGCATCAAACAAGCAATTCTTACCCAGCAAATCGACAACCAGGTTCCAAGCGTATAGGCTGTGCTTGCTGTTCAACTGGAAACTGGACCACCGGAAAAACTTCACGGCGGAGCCTGGGTGGCCGTAGGACAATTTTAGAACCTCAATCACATCTTCTTCAGACACACGGATGCCTGAATCTTCGAGAATGCTCTCCACAGTTACCACCGGGTTCTTCGCGATGATTTCGCACAGGATTTTGAGTTTTGGGGGCAGCGAGGGTACATCAGTGTACGAAACGAAAAGCGATCGCTTATTCGTTGATTCGGGGTGGGAATTGAGACGCGGAGCGACATGGTTGTTGATTTCAAAGTCCGACGCCGTGGAACTATGGTACCGGTGGTAGTGGTGATACTTTTTACTGTGGTCCATCTTGGACGACGATGACGAGGATGAATCTTCGCCATGAGACCTTTTCCTGTTATTCCTCATTGCTTCGATTGACTACCGCAATTGCAGCATGGGCGTTCCTCTAGACCGACGAATCGATGATGGATTTCAGAAATCGATTGAAACCCTAATTCGTGCGCCGAGAGGGGTTTGGGTGCTGCCCTGTACATAATTTTTTTTTTGACAGAAATACCCCTCCCTGTATATTATAAAAACAAAATAGTTTATTTTTATATTAAATAAAATCGCGAATGGAATTCTCAGAGGTGTTTGGAGTACAGAAATAAGGGTTGAGAAATAAAAATAAAATGATTTTCTAAAATTTAAATTAGAGAATTGAAAATTTAAAAAATAAATTATTTTCAATTTAATTTGAGGAAATAAAAATATATATCGAAGAGTTTTGCAAATTGATAGTGAAGTCTTTCAGACATTATTTCTTTTTATTGATCAATGTATTTTTAAATTATTAATTTATACATCATGTTTTGTATAAATAATAATTGATTTTAGGTTATACTCCTATTTTTTTTCATTCAAATTTTTTATTTTACACCCAAAAAAAAAAAAATCATTCTTTTATTTTCAGACTAATTTTTTTCATTTAAGAAGAGATCAAGGCCACACAGAAGTGGCCTTCACCCTTGTATACTAACGAGTCTCACACATTTACCTAGGGCATTTACCTAGGGACAATATTCAAAATGGATGGAATGTAACTTGTCCAGTAAATATAAAATAACCCAATACAATAATATCGAGCCCAAATCTATGTATAAAACTAGAAGTTGGACCCAATTAGGTTTTCGGGCTTGTAGGCTTCGCATCTTCTTTTTAATTTTTAAAAATTTCTTTATTTAAAATACTAAATAAAATTTTACATAATAAAAAAATAAAAATAAAAAAAAAAAGAAGAAGAAGAATTGCTCATGTATATATATATATTGTGTTGAAAGTAATGATAACAATGTATGTGTTGTTAATTTAATTAAATGCAATATTAGTTTCACCTAGTGTAAGTTATCTGTTCAAATCTAGTTTGCAGGGTATTATATTCGATCAGGAGTTTACCAAAATGATCGCGAATTCTCACGTCACAAAAAAATTAATTAATTAATTAATATAAATAGTATGTTGTCTTTAGTTATGTGACAGTGATGTCTATTAGCATATAATGTACTGTTAACACTGTATTGAATTATAACATTTGTGGTACCTAATACTTACTTAGTATATAATGTACTATTAGCACTGCATTGACTTATCCCTATGTATGTTTGTTTGAGGGTTTGGATTTTGAGTTGGAATTTGAATAGTAAAAATTTTAAATTTAAATAGTTGTATGATATGATATAAATAAGCGTTGATGTGATATTTTGAATGTAAAATTAATTTTTAGTATAATATAAAAAATAAAAAATAGATATTTGATTTGATATATTTGAGAAAAAAATAGAATAAATAATGTATTAGGAGAGAAATCCCCCAAACAAACACACCCTTAAAACTCTCTCTCTATACAAAAAAGTGTATATTGTTTTATTATTTTAGTTTATCCACCAAAATTGTGCTAGATGGTATTTATTTTTTTTAAAAAAAAATTATTTAAATTTCAACTCACTATTTTTCATCTATTTACATCATTCATACGAATGACTTCACATATATATTTCTTATATTTAACCTATTTTTATGTACGTATTTAAATTTGATCTTATTTATAGATTAGATTACTTAGATTTGAGTATATCGAATATGTTTTGTATTGTTTATATAAAGACTCCTTGTTTTGATGATCAATAAGACAATTTCATTATTTTTCCCCAAAATTTCTAACAAGTATTATATATATATATATATATATATTGAAAACACCACCCAAACATAATCAAACACAAACCTAAATATCAAACTAATTTTATTGATCCATGCATGCTCATTTCACTACTCCTAAAAACATACTTACATATAAAATTAGTATATATACTATTAGGGTTTTATTAAATAAGGTCAACATTCACAGCAATCAATTCACTGTTGTCCCATTATTATTATTATTATTATTATTATTATTATTATTATTATTATTAGCAGATCATCTTAAGATGTTGTGCTTTGACAAAATATATGTCCATGTGCTATTGCTGACATTCATGAATCGATCCAATGCACATTTGAGTTGTGACACACAACACTAGCTAGCTCATAATTATTTATTTATCACCAAATTAATTAATTAATCACTTCATCAGGTGGAGGATCAAATTAAATGACTAATTAATCACAATATTCCCTTAATCGAAATGCCCATAATATCATTTAGTTTTAAAATTACATCCCATCATTTAATGTTTTGCAACTATATATATATATATACTATATGTAATAATTTAATATTTTCATAAAATTAACAAATCTCCAGGAGACAAGGCAAACTGCCCACATTCCAAAGCCAGCTTTGATTTCCTCTATACTTAAAATTAATTGCTAAACAAAATAATAATAATTATTATTATTATTCAGTTACATTTTCATATATATTCTGTCAATCCCAAGATCAATTTTTCAAAAATAAACTTGTCTGATATATATATATATATATATATAAATTAATCAAATCCATCACAATTGCAATCGATCTCATTAAATGAAGTGATCATTTTGCAAATATTTTATTATATCGAGAAAAGAATCGTCTGAAGTGAGATAATGTTCATGGAATTGATCGTATATTCGTATTGTGTCCGTACTGTCGATCTATCCATAAATCAGTGGAGTGTCCTTATCCATGCATGCATGGATTTTCTGTACAGTAGATCTACGGTGTTCCGGATGCCACGTGGACGCTCGAAACAACGTGGGCCGTCCATTTTAATAAACGAGGGTCAGGGGAAAAGGGTGAAGTTGTGATGTGCCACAACTAGGCACTAACTCATTAGTATATAGACATCTGTTCTGTTACAGTAATTTAATTTAATTAAATTGTAACACTTCACTATTACTTCATTCTGATCTATTCTCATAATTAAATAAATAAATAAATATCCTACGTGCTGTATATATATTACATATACATGTGTACATCCTTGGTAAAAAAAAGGTAATAATAATAATAATTGAAATTTTATTAACAGTTAGTCAAGGTGGTCCCAACCAATCATGTACATATAAGTATTAAGAAAATTTAGAAATAAATACTGTATGATTTATAAAAAATGAAAAGTTTAAACCAGAGTTTGACCGTGATTAATTGTGGCTCCGCTGTATACTGGTATAATAAATTCAGTTATTATTATTATTATTATTATTATTTTAGTTTGAGTTTGGAGTTTAGCAAAAATAATAATTTACATATATATATATATATATATATATGAGATGATGAAAATAGGTCTTGTATTACTCTATCCGTCATTTAAAATTATGTCTATTTGATCGGGTACGAATTTAAAAGAATTGATAAAGATAAAAACTTTTTTCTTTTATAATAAAGACGAAAGTAGAAAAAATGTTACTCCTCCTGTCCCATAACGAAATATCTATTTTTCTATTTTAGTCCGTCTCATAATAAAGTATCCATTTCTTTTTTTAGTAACTATATTATCTACCTAACATTACAAATACTCTTACAACTTACAATATATTACATAAATGTCATATTTTTATATCACACAGACTAATAAGGTTATTTTAGTCGTTTCTACTTTATTTCTACTATATCCCAATATAATACTAATATTTTTAAAACTAGGTGCAAAAAACAAATGAATATTTACTTATGGTATGGAGTGATTATTTTTTTTACTAAAAAGATAAACGAGAATAAATTTAAATGATAAAAAATAAAAATAAAAATAAGTTTGAATAACATAGAGATTATTACTTATTATATTGTCAGAATATTATATTGTATTATTCAGCACCTGACAACACACCATAGCACAATGTATGCTTTTAGACAGCACACCGTATACATTTATATAATACAAATACAACATATGAAGATGTTATAGTCTTATGCAACACAAGCAATAGTTAATTTCAGCACGCCAGATACTCTCATACTACACAGTTGTAATTATGAGCCAACAACACATGCTATAGTCTTATACAACAAATAATAATTAATTTCAACACACCACATACTTTTATACAATACTTATAAGTATAAATCAAACATCACATGTTTTTACTATATACGTCATGTGCTATATATAATAAAACTGTGTTGTTTATATATATTACGAGTGTTGATTTGAAGGCTATTGAATTTTTCAAATCAACAGCCTAACCTTTCCCATTATTATATGTTGTTACTTATGAATAGAACTGAATTATTGAAGTATGAGGATAAATTGCAAGATAAAAACCAAACTTTAAAGAAACAAACTCTCGTAAATACTTACGTTAAAGTTTGTTTATATTAATTTGGATTCACTAATCAATAAGCTTTTTTGTCGACTGGTTAAATTTATAAAATATATATATTTTATTTTATAAATTATTTAATAATAGAAATAAAATTTTAATAACACTTATTTATAACTAACAATAAAAAATTCTAAAAACTCAGATTAACGTCACTCGCTATTTACTATAGATGCTGAGAAGGGTTCACTAACTAAGGTATATATAGTTTATTGCATAATATTACATTCTTATGAGTTCTTGATCGAGATCTGGATTTTTTAAGATCTTTTTGGTTAATCTACGTGTTTGACATGACATAATATATTTCCTAACAATTTAATCTTATATATATATATATATATGTCATAAAAAATATCATTTCAACTTTTAATTTCTAAGCATATCCATGAATCATCATCTGCATGGAATGTAATTAACAAATTAAATAGTAAGTAGAACCCAAAAAAAAAAAAAAAAAAACACTTCGACCCACCCACGTGCTCATGGGTTTGTTTATTCATCTCTCTCTCTCTCTCTCTCTCTATATATATATATATATATGTGTGTATGTATATAATCTAAAAGACGTGGGCAGGCCGAGAGAAGCGCCGAGCCTTCAGCTGGTTTTTAACTCTCTCAGTAATTCCAATCCCCTCTTTAATTTTACTTTTAATAAATAAATAAATAAAATTATAAATCCTATTTTCAATTCCATCACATTGCCAGCTAACAATCCCCATACACACCATATATAAAAATAACCTAACCATCAAACCCACACTTAATTAATCCACACTGCCATTTTCCAAAAACAAAATTAAAAATTCAATCTTGGCCACCTACTATTAATACAAGGATTGAACCCCCTACAAACTTCGAACACACACACCTACTAATTCCATACCCCCTTTTGTCCTTTTGTCCTTTTCTCACTCATTATCACCATCTCCAACATCAAAATCAAAACCTAGAAATAAAATTCCCTCTAATAGCTACTGATCAAGAAAGATTCTGACCTAATAATCTGTCCAAATATGGGTAATAAGAACACTCCCACCATGGCAATCATCCAAGCCAGTGCTTTCTACGACAACAACAAGACGACGACCGAAGCCTGTCGGGACTCGGGCAGCCCTGAAAAGGGCAAGAATTCGAACAATTTGGGTTCTTCATCAGTGCAATCGAGCCCCAGCAGCACGAATTCGAATGGGTTAGGTTACCAAGCCACTGCCAATTACAGCTTGTCCGAGGAAGATCATCATTCTGTCATCAGCTTCAAGCCTGATCAGTTTGCTGGAAACCCTTTCGATTCTCACAGATCTTTGCTCGCTTTCGATGCACCAGACCCTAAACGGATTCCTCAGAATTTTTACTCGAAGCTCATCGCCGGCGGCGGAGGAGAAGAAGAAGATGAATATCCAGTTTGGGAGGATAATTTGAACAACCTTAATGGCTGCTATCACTTAAATCCTAAACCCAATGTAATGAACCATGGCGTGCCTGGAATTTCTACCTGCAATGGGTTTCAATTCGAGTGGATGAATGATCAAGAAGATAATGTCAATCAAGAACTTGGTAGGCATGAAGGAGGTCATAACAAGCGTCCTTACACTGTAAGAATCCTCAAATCAAATTCCCAAATTCTAGGGTTTCTTGTTTTTATTTTTGGGAATTAGGGTTTTGAAAAAAAAAAAAAAAATTGGATGAAATTTTGTAGGGAGAGAGCAGCACACAAGCAATGAAGAAGCAATGTGGAGGAGCTGGTTCTAGTAGTGCTTCGAAAAAGCCGAAACCGAAACCGGCATCGTTGTCGCCGTCGAAAGACACACAAAGCATTGCTGCCAAGGTTAGCTTATGCCTGAAGTTAATACGATACATGACTAGTTTATTAGAAGAAATGTTTGTGTGTTGATTAAGGAAATTAAAAGAATGTTTTTTTTTTTTCGATATTGTAGAATCGACGCGAACGGATTAGCGAGCGGCTAAAGATACTACAAGATCTTGTTCCTAATGGATCAAAGGTACAACCTTTGTCTCAATTCATGGACATTATTACAAGTTCTTATTTTCTTTTACTAATGGATCCAAGGTGCAAACTTGTCTACATTCACATTTTTTTCAAACATTTTCAATAATTCACATTTTTATTTTTGTATTATTCAAGGTTGATTTGGTCACTATGCTGGAGAAAGCCATAAGCTATGTCAAATTTCTGCAATTGCAAGTGAAGGTATATATATATATATATATATATATTATTTTATTTAATTTTTTTTTTTTCAAATCATATAAATTAAATATAAGAAACCCTAAATGAATTCAATGTTTTTGGTTAGGTTTTGGCTACTGATGAATTTTGGCCAGCACAAGGTGGGAAAGCTCCTGACCTTTCCCAAGTTAGAGAAGCCATTGATGCCATTCTTGCTTCTCAAAGATCCGATCGAAATTCGAGCTCAAAATAATGATGCGATCGTAACCGAAGAAGAGTTTGATTATATACGATTATCAAAGGGACCATAGTAGCCATTGGTTCGAACGAATTTGTCGATGATTACCAACGATTTACAAGAATCTTACAGGAAGGGTACAATTAATTAATTAATTAATTAAATAAGTTTAGTGTGTTCTTTAATTCCATCATCTTGATGTTTATTCAACGAATCAATTGTGTTTTGGAGTGTCTCGAAAAAATTGTGATCTCCAATTAACCTTTGCAGCAGTTTTGGTTCTCATGAATAATCAATCTATTTTATTTTTTTCAAAAAAAAAAAAAAAACACTTAATTACTCGAATCTGGATGTGTTGTTCTTATAGAATTGGAAGTATTTGATTTTCCAAATTATTGTGTAGATAGATGATGAATATTCTATAAAAATTAAAGAATATATAGAGTGTGAAATGATGATTTAAATTCAATATGTTAGGTAAGTGGTTGATAATTTTGTAATAATTAGTATATACTGAATTGCAATTAAAGCACGTGTGACTTCATTTAATGCCACGCATGTGCTGTCACATGTCGAATCCTTATTGTTCACTAGTTGTAAATTGTAACATCACATCTATTTATTAGCGATGGCTTTATTTGATTTTGGGTTTATAATCCGATTTTGAGTTTGATTTTTATTAATAGAGTGCTTTATCCGTTTTATTTAATTTGTTCACTTTTATTTTTTTTTCATCTGTCTCATAATTCATTTGTGTTTTTTTAAAAATATAATTATACATTTTAATCATATTTTAAAATTTAAAATTTAAAATTTTTATTTTAATTTAATTAAGCTATTTACTTATTTTAATCTTATCTATAATTATTTTTATTACATTATAATTATTTTTACTAATATATTTTTTTAATTATTCACATATAATTTATTCATTTTTTTTTTCATTCATTTTACATATATATATATATATATTTTTAATATATGATTATATATTTTAATTTTAAATTCGAAAATACTTTTAAAATATACTTCATCGTATTATTAATTAACCTTGTGTTGCAATGACACCGATGTCCTTGTCGGAACTCATTTTCTTCGTCCATGCATTAATACATATAGAGCCAAATTTGCTTAAAATACTCAGAAAGATTCTCAATTGATGAGCTACCAACTCAACATTCGCACGTATATTAATATAATAGCGTTGACTTAATTATACTTTAAATCATAAACATTATTAAAATAAATAAAATAAAACATAAAACGAAAATGGAAGAGAAAAAAAAAAAAATGATGAGATGAAGCTGCAATTGGATACATTTAATAAATTAATTTGGGTTTAAATATAAGTACTTCTATATCATATTTACCTTTTGCGTCATTATATTTAATACTCCTTCCGTCCCATTAAAAGGTTGTCATTTTTCATTTTCGTTCGTCCCAAAACAAGATTACCATTTGCTAATTTAGTAACTGTACTGCCTACCTAACATAATAAATATCCTTCCTACTTACACTATATTACACAAATGTCATTACTTTTATATTACACAATACTAATATGGGCATTTTCGTTATTTTCACTACAATCCATTATAATACTAATATTAAAAAATCTACGTGCAAAAAGTAAACGACAACCTTGCACCGGGACAGATAGAGTATTCAAAAATATATTTATATTTGTAAAAAAAAAATATTTCACAAATGTCATTGTAATAGTATTATAAGATACTATTAAAAATATTTTTGTCGTTTTTCTTTAATTGTATTACATTGTCAAATAATAATTAATATTAAAAAATGAATACGTCAAAAGTAAGTGAAACCCTTCGAACTGGACGAATATAGCATTAAATTACATTTGCACTGTGCAACCTACCATTTGTACTAACAATTATATTTTACAATTGTAATGTATTAATACTTTTACGAAGAATTTGAAAGTTTGAACTCATGATTTAGCTAATTCATACCACGGGATCACCACTTAATTATTTAGTTCTTAATAATATAATTTGAATTTATAGGAAGTGTAACAAAACTTATTTATAATTTTCATTTTTTTCAAATATATATACATACTCCTTCGGTTTATACATCAATTTTTCATTTGACTTTTGCACTTTGAGTAATATAAATTAGTATTTTTATAGATATGTAAAGTAATAAAGTAATATAATATCTATTTTGCTAATGATATTAAAGTAAAATCAATGCAAAAAAAAAAAATTGTAATATTTAATTGATATTTATTTCTTTAAAAAAATTTTTTTTTACTTGGACAGATTAAATAAAAAAATAAAAAATTTACTTTTATATAAAAAAAAGTACTCCCCCGTCCCAAACAAGGTGCAACATTTGCTTTTGGCACGGATTTTTAGGTGGATAGTATTAAGTAGGATAATTTAGAAATTAGGTGATGTGATGGAGAGAGAAATATATATTTTATTTTTTTATTTGGATGATGTGAGGGGATAAAGTGTGGGGTAGAGATTAAGTATAATTAATTATTTCATATTTTGGAAATGTTAGCAGGATGTTTGAAACATACCATAAAAAAAAAATATTGCAGGTGTTTGGGACGGAGAGAATATTTATTTTAAACGTATTTAGCAGTGGGCTAAGTCTGCCCACCAAAATATAAATTCAATATAATTATAAACTAGCCCAAAAATATGATAAAGCCCATTATACCAGGCCTGATTAATCTGACCCGGCCCATCTCATTTATCCCCTCTGTGTATTGTAGTTCTAATTCATACTTCAAACAATATTTACTATGAACAAAGTTTTACATTAATTTATAATTTATATATTGTGGTTTGTATTTATTTTAATCATTATATTATTACATTTTTATTTTTTATTTTTTATTTTTTTTAAATACGGATATTTTGTTGGAACTTTTAGGAAGGTAATGATAGGGCTAGCAAACGGATCAGGTCGGGTCGAGTTCAGGTTCGGGTCAGCTTAAACGGGTTACAAAATCTTTGACCTAAATCTGATCCATTTAATTAAATGCGTTGATATTTGCAACCTTAACCTGACTTTTTATTAATCGGGTCAACCTGAATCTGACTCATATAACCCGTTTAAATATAAAATATTTTAATTTTAATTTAAAATTACAATGTATACGAACAAAATTTTTAAATGCATAATATATATACATATTAAAACAAAAAATTATTTATTCATATCATGAAACCGATATTCAAGAATTGAATTAACAAACACTACATAATAGTATACAACACAATTATTTATTTTTTATTGTTTATTTTTATAAAATTAACCATAAATATTTAATTGTATTGATAAAATGTAAAAAATACATTTAAATTTAAAGTAATATTAATTAAACAGGTTACACGAGTTATTTTCAGATCGAAAATGTAGACCTTAACATGACCCATTTAATTAAATAAGTTAAACGGGTTTGACCCAATTATTAATTTGGTCAAAAATCTCAACCCAAACCCAACTATTTCAGGTCAAATTCAGATCGGATTATCAGGTCGGGTTAATTTTTGCCAGGCCTAATTAATGGATAAGATATTTCTCTTGCAATTCAATAGTTACCGCTCTCTGTATACTCTTCTTTGCTGGACCTTTTAGCATTAATTAAAGTTTCATTAATTAACTCTTCTTTGAATTGAATGCCCAAAAAGTAAACTCCACCCCATCTTCAATTTTTATTATATCAACGGTACAAGTGCATTAAATGCTAACTATATATTTTTATATACAACTAACAAGTTTTTTTTTTTTTTTTTTTAAATATAATTAATTTACATATAAAATATAAAAATAGAAATTTAGAAATCATCTTACATTGTACATATTTTCATTAACCAATAAATATTATTCACTCATCTAAAAGATATCTAGTTGGGTGTTGGAATAGAGATGAAGGAATAATAACAGTGGAGTATAAAATAGAATATTAAATATTAAAATATCATCATTTTTTAAGGATTTTTAAAGTAAATTAGATTAATAACGAGTGAAGACTAAATAAGAAAACATGACAATTATTTTGGAATAGACGAAAATAAAAAAATAAAACAATTTTTTTTTTGGAACGGAAGAAATATTTTTAATCTATTATAAAATTTCAAATTTATTTGAATTGAAACAGTGGAAAGTACCGTATTTTAAGAAAAATAGTCCCACTTTCTTTTTCTGTAAAATGAGTAAGCATCTTAATTTTTTTTTAAATTTTTTAATTTTAATTAAACTAATTAGTCATATTAATCTTAATCTATAATGATTTACAATAGAGGGTAATTATTTTTATTAATACACTTAATTATCTATTAATTATACTTATCCTAAATTCTTGTAACTACAACGTGGAACGGAGGGAGTAATAAACAACCCACGTAGCAAATAAACCTTTTCAAAGGATTTTACAATTTGTTTCTAATGCAGAAACAGCTCTAAAACTACGATATAAAGTGGCCCGTGGACGTTACATCAATTGGTGCAAAAATAATGTTAATATAAATATCGTTACTTTGGGTTTCGACAAATCATCATTAATATAAACATACAAAATAAAATATGCAATCGTGCATTATTATTAATCAAAATCATTGATTTTGTGACAACACACGTGGACCATGTGCATGACATGGAAAATAATCAAAATCTTACACGTATTCGAGTTCATTGCATTTTTTTTTTGGGTTAACCATATGTTTAATAATCCACCTAAATTAATTAATTAATTAATTATGCCCATCTAATTAACAGTCAAAATATATGTAAAATTATTAAAATAATCTGGTCCGTTCAATTTACCATATGTTTGATCAAATGGTTGTTATTTAATCCGTAATGTTCTCTGTAGCCCCAATAGCTTACCTTTCAATTTGTGCAACTATTAAATAAATTGGATGCTGCAGCTTTATTAATTAATAGGCCTACATAATTTAAAATAATAATATTACAAAAAATTGAATTGTGCAATTCCCAATTGGATTGGAATCAATCAAATGTTGTAAATAACCACCTAACCTAACTGAAATTACAAAAAATCCTCATTCATTAAATATTTTAATTAAAAAGATATTATTATGAAAATATCGTTACTAATCATGAAAAAATATATTTATGTATATTGTCGGAACATTAATGATTTAAATATTTTAGTCCGTACGATCGGAAATAATCCAACGGCTGGTGTGAAACTACCCGGGCTTATTATTGCGCCACGACATCACTCCGTAGCCTCACGTTTCTCGACGGACCTATTTAAGCCTTTGGGCCTTAGATTTTTTGTGATCGCCGAAAATAAGAGAGAGAGAGAGAGAGAGAGAGAGAGAGAGAGAAAAGGGAATGGGCGAACTAACAACCGCTGGTTACGATGCGGCAGAGGTGGAAGCGCCTCTTTCGCCGCCGGCGTCCTCATCGTACACTGCGAATCAAGCGCTAGTTCTGCTGCAGTCGGAGGATGAGGAAGCGAGAGTGGAGGCGGCGAAGGAGATCCGACGCCTCACAAAGACGTCGCAGCGGTACCGACGTTATTTGTCGGCCGCCGTGGGGCCACTCGTGGACATGCTGCGATGCGGCTCCGACGAGGCGAAGGAGGCTGGTTTAGCCGCCTTGCTGAACCTTGCCGTCAAGGACGAGATGTAAGATTTGTGTGTTAAGGTTTTAATCGGTGTGTGTCTTTTTGTTTGTGTGTTTGCTTGGATTTTACGAATTTTGTTCCTGTGTTCTGGATTCGGAATATCGAGATATATCAATTCTAAGGAGTGAAATTCTGATGGTGATTGTGAAATTTTGAAGCTGATTTTGTTCCTTCTTGTTGTTTTGATAGTTTTATTTTATTTTTATTTTTATTTTTTTGTTTGGAGTCACTTTCTCGCCTTTTTCTGTTTCTGAACCCACCTTTCTCCTCGGATTCTGTAATATGAACTTGTAGAATCGAGAAATATCTTAAAATATGTGATGAAGAATTGACTGCTATAATTTGTTGTCGAGCTGCCCTCAAAAGTTCTATATGCTTTCTTTTTGTACAGGATTACATTAATTAAAACAAAATTGTTGTTGCTATAACTTTGTTGGAATGTTGTTGCTTGGGTAAATGTATCAGATGGTGTGATCCTTCAGTTGTGATGCAATTATCCTGTTAGTTTTTAACTTTCGATTGTGGAATAGTATCTTTATATGCAGAACTTTAGCCTTCTTAGATCATAGTTTATAAGTTGGAACTCAGATATTTTGGAATAATATCAGACATTTCAGGTATATTCTGCACACAATGAAGATATAGTCGTGTTGATTGAGCGTAGTCTGTATGTCGCTGTCTAGTTTCACGTGTTGCTTTCACTTTTATTTTTCTAGATTTCAGTCTTTTCTCTTTGAATCCATGCCTTTGCTTGTGTCATCAAACATTTTCATTTAATCGTGTTCTTTAAGCTATTTAATGTGCTTTAGCTATCTGTGTCGCTAAACTTCTCTTTCAGTATTGCCTTTTTTTCGGTTGAAGTTCTTTGTCGCTTCTAGATTGGTTCTGCCATTAAGATAGTGTTTATTAATCAAAAAGAGGTCCAATTTAATATACTACTTGTTTCTCTACCTTTTTTCTTTTTCTCTTTTTTGGTACTGTAGTTTAACTAATATCTACACTTTTAAAGAGATTATCAACATTCAACAAGCCTTTTGAATTATATATTGTATATCATTGAGCCCTTTCCTAAATTTGAATGGTAATATTGCAATTATGTTTCAATTTTCACAATAGTGTTTTTGCTAAACCATTGCCGATGCGTCTGAAATCCAAATTATATGCTAAAGCTGGTGGAGTGATCGAACTGTTGGCATTGCATTCTTAAGTTATTTCAATCTGTTAATTTAGACCAGTGGAAATCCATTTACAATGATGAAGCCCTTAATCTATATTTGCCTTATTATAACTGTCTGATATTCTTTGCAGCCTTCTTGTTTACTCGTTCACATAAATGATCGGCTCTAGTTCCATGTTCTTTGCAGAAACAAGATAAACATAATCGATGCGGGCGCCTTGAAACCAATTATCAGAGTCCTTCAGTCCGAGAATGTAGCCCTGCAGGAGCATGCCGCCGCCGCATTAGTGACCCTCTCTGCTTCCCCTGTCAACAAGGCAACAATCGCCGCATCCGGCGTGATTCCTCTCCTTGTCGACCTTCTAGAAAACGGAACTCCGCAAGCTATGTTCGATGGTGTGATGGCTCTCTACAACCTGTCTACACAACCCGACAATCTTACACAAATCCTACAAGCAAGACCGATTCCCTCCTTGGTCCACCTCCTCACATCCTGTAAAAAGTCTTCAAAAATAGTCGAGAAGTGCACTGCCTTGATAGAATCCTTGGTGACCTTCGAAGAGGGAAGAACGGCACTGACATCCGAACAGGGTGGAATTCTCGCAGTCGTCGAAATCCTCGAGAGCGGGTCCCGTCAGAGCCGGGAGCACGCGGTGGGAGCGCTTCTCACAATGTGTCAGAGCGACCGCGCAATGTACAGAGAACCGATACTCAGAGAAGGAGTAATTCCCGGGCTTCTTGAGCTTACCGTACAAGGCACGCCAAAATCTCAATCCAAGGCGCAGCTTCTTCTACGTCTTCTGAGAGACACGCCTTATCCAAGATCCGAGCTGAAACCGGATGCGCTGGAGAATATTGTTTGCGACATTATATCTCATATGGACGACAACGGAGAAGATCATACAGGAAAAGCGAAGCAAATGCTGGCGGAGATGGTGCAGGTGAGCATGGAACAGAGCCTGCGACATTTGCAGAACCGCGCGCTGGTATGTACTCCCCCCGACTTACCTGTGAATAGTTGCGCTTCTGAAGTTCATTTGAAATGAGTGTATAGCTTCTCGAACGGTGGTGTTGTCTCTCTTTATGCTACCACGACCACGATGACGACGACGATGAGGGATGGAATAAAGAGAGAAAAGGGTTAGAGGAAAGAATAAGTTAGGAGAGAAATGCCATGCCAGTCCAGGCCCTGAGTTTGGGCATTTGGTGATTGGTAAGTGTCAATAAATAATGATAATAATAAGTTACTAGTCTTATTGAGGGTATGTTATGTTATGTTATGTGTGGTTTGTTGTTTTGTTTAGTAACTGTGTCTACACAAAAGCCATGCATATTTTGTTGCTCCTCCTCTCTAGCTCTCTCTGTTTTTTTCCTTTTTTTTTTTTTTTTTTTTGGATAATGTAGAATTCGCAGCTACTATTCGAAAGTGCGCAGCTGATAAATCTTCGGCTGAATCTAATACCTTGCAAATTTGACTTAACAGACAAATCACACTAGATCGAATTATAAATTTTTGGTCAAATCTAGTATTTTGCAAACTAGGACCAATAGATAAGTCACACTTGTGTATTTGGATGTGTCGGGTTTGAACGCATGCCCTGTTTTTGTCTACATTTTTTAATGTGTGAGGTAAATTAAAATCCGTGAAAACTATAATGGTCCCCTACATATTCTCTCTCATTCTTACATGTGTGCTTATTTGTAAATATAATTCTTTAAATAAAATAATTATTGGTATAATATTTTTATTGGAGGTAATGTTAACCTGGTGTTTTTCGGAGCAAATTAATCGTAAACAATTACTATATAAAAATCTCTTTTGAGTAATGGATAATTGTATAATGGCCATCTAATTTGATGCCTATTATAACGTGGATTGAAATCTAAAATGGAAATACAATTAATGATTGCAACCATATAATAATAACAATAATAATAATAATAGTTACTAAAGTTTGCATTTTATAAGAAATGATAATTATAATTATTACCAAAATAAATGAATCTGAGAAAGGCTAATATAAAATTTAAAACATATAATTGCAAAATTCAATATTAACGAATCAATCACCGAAGTTGCGGCAATTCGCACATATACACACCATATATTTATACATCCAGATTAAAATAATTAAATAAAATACAAATATTTAGGTTCTTTATACCGCATAGCTCTAGAAAGTTCGACAGATTCCGATTGAGATTAGATAGAAATTTTTTATATTTTAATTATATATATATTTAAATAGATATTTGATATATATACATTTTTTAAAAATTGTTCCCATTCATTCGCTTACTTGTTATCAAACCCTAAATCTCATGAAAGAAAAAACTTATCCAAACAGAGATTTTTACCTTCGTCTCCAAGCAGCTCAGATTATTTCATCATCGATCAGATCATCGAAGCCCAAAACTATCTTCCACTGCTGACAATGGCTCCAACGCCTGCGCAAGACGACGATTCAGGATTCTCTAGAATGGAAGCCGGCCGTGTTGCTAAAGACCAAATCTCTAATTCCTCCAACACGCCCGTGTCCATTGCACAGAAGGTAAACGATCCATTTCAATAAATCCCTCAATTTCCATTGCCTGAAAATGAAAAAAAAAAATTGAATGAATTCCGGCGATCTGACAGGCGATTGCGGAGTTTGTCGGAACGTATATTCTGATATTCGCCGGCTGTGGGTCGGTGGTGGCCAACAAAGTATTCGCCGGCGCCGTCACTTTCCCCGGAATCTGCCTGACCTGGGGACTGACCGTAATGGCGCTTGTATACACCGTCGGCCATGTCTCCGGCGCCCATTTCAACCCCGCCGTCACCCTCACCCTCGCCGCCTTCCGGCAGTTTCCCTGGAAACAGGTTTTGATAAATACACACAAATCTATATCTATATATATATATATATATGGTTCATTAATTAATTAATGAATTAATTTAGTTTGGATTGGATTTGCAATTGCAGGTGTTCTTCTATGTAATAGCTCAGGTTTTAGGATCGATCCTGGCGAGTTGGACGCTGGATTTGATGTTCAACGTGACTGAGAAAACCTACTTCGGCACACTTCCGGCGGGATCCGTCGGCCAAACTTTGGTGATGGAGATCATCGTCTCTTTCGTGCTCATGTTCGTCGTCTTAGGGGCCACCACCGATGGTCGTTCTGTAAGTATATACATATATGGGTGTAGCTATTAGCTATATTATCCATTTCAAATCGATGGGACAAATTGTATACAAGTTCTAATTTTTTTTGAAATATTAAAAAATTTAGGCGCTGTTTACGCAAAACAATTTCGCACTATTCATTTTTAAAAAAAACATCACATCAAATATACTTTTTCTTTCATAAAACATTAAATCAAATACTAATATTTTACTTTTTTTTTTTCAAACTTCCAAAATTCCAAACACCTCCAAAAACCTCAATCTAAACTTGATACAATGTTTGGGAAATGATCATTAATTACATGGAATCTACCACTATGTTACTGTGATTATCATACTTAAACCCTTGAGTAATTAAGCTGGCCAGAAAATGTATTGGAATTTGGTTATATATGAATTTGGATACATTGTCAAGGTAAGAATTTCATAATGTACATAGAGGCATTGGATGCAATATGTTACAATAGAAAATAAACTTTCAACATGTATCGAATGTGTAACATTTTGAATATTGCAAAAAATAATTTGGAAAAGGTGTGTAAACATGGTTTTGAATTTATGATGCTATATATGAATGGTGTGTGTGTTTCAGATTGGGCAGATGGGAGGAGTTGCGGTGGGGATGACGGTGGCGTTGGATGTGCTCGTGGCGGGGCAAGTCTCCGGCGCATCTATGAATCCGGCGAGGAGCATCGGTCCGGCCATCGTAAAACACGAATTCCGGGCACTGTGGGCCTATATATTCGGCCCTGTCGCCGGAATGATGATCGCCGGCCTGGTCTACAGCCTGCTCCGGCATGAGAACGATCCCTTTGCTGATTTCCCCAAATTCAAACCCTAACTCTAACCCTAAGACAGATGATATATAATGAATGTGACAATGGTGTGGTGATTATAATCAGGTTTTATTTTTTTTTTTAAATATTAAGTTTGTTGAATCTGTGAATGTTTTGCCACTATTTTTTACACTAATATACTCACATGAACAAAAAAAAGTCTTTTATCTGTACCTTTTGCCAACTATCAATATAATATCAATATTTTTTAAATCTCGTATCCAACCCAATTTCTGGATAAGAGAGGGTATTTTTTTTCTTTTTGAAAGCCCCTATTTTTTTTTTTTTATGTAAGATATAGAAAATGAATATAAAAATAATAAATGTGTGTAGCGTATTAATATGTTTAGGAAAACATAGAGAAAAAAAAAATGGTAGAAGAACAAAACCGATATTAAAAGTAACTTCCTTTTACAAATAAAATCCCTTAAGCTCAACTAAAATTCAGGCAGGAAAATTAAAATCCTAAGAAGACAATCATAACAACAGGAAACAGCAGCAGCGCCACCTTAATTTCAATTTCACACACAGTTGCGGCGGAGTATATCTCCATGTCGAGCGGTTCCGACGGATACAGGTAGTTACCGACTCGGGGAAAATAATTCTGATCCGTCGTGTAAACAAACCTCGGAGGAGGTGGCGGAGGCGCCGCCGCCACGTATACAAATCTCGGCGGCGGCGGCGGCAGCGGCGGCGGCGGAGGGCTGCAATAATACTGCATTGGCGGCGGCGGCGGTAGTGGCGGCCGCAGCAGGGTGTAGGGGTTATTGAGAGTGCAGGGGCATTCCCCGCACTTTAAGGTTGTTTTCAGCTTCGTGGAGATTAATGAAGATGAAGATGAGGAGATGTGGAAAATTATACTAAGAATAAAAAGCATAATTTGAATCTTCATGATGTTTGGGTATAATTTTAACATTGTTGGAATAATCTTGTGGAGAATATATTAAATAATATATATATATATATAGGATTTTATTGTTTTTAATATGATTTAGCAAAATGTTTTCCTTATTTATTTATATGTGTGTGTATTTTTGTGTTAGTTGTAATTTGTTAGGGTTAGGTGATTTTGATGAGACTTGGTATGCATGCATGAGGTGACCCACTCTAAAAGATTTGTTCTTGTTTGAATGGGACAAACATCCCACACTATGGTAATAAAACAAGAGATGTGTGAATGATATTGGTGGTCGAGTTTGTATGGTATGGTAATTTAACCATATTATAAAATAACTGATTTAAATTTTATTTTATTTTTTTTTATAATTGACTAAGTTGGCAGAATTTATTTGAAAAGTAACTTTTATAAGTTAACTTATTATATATAAAAAAAAATGAAAAGTTTTGATATAGAAGAATTAATAGATATACATTGGTTTTAACTTATAAGTTGTTTTGAACTTGATTGAAAAGTGGGTGTGTTTGTTTGGGGATTGGATTTCTAATCCACTGTTCATTCCATTTTTTTCCCCAAAAAACATCAAATCAAACGTCTATTTTTTATTTTTTATATTATACTAAAAATCAATTTTACATTCAAAACATTACATCAACACATATTTATATCTCATCGTACAACTATTCAAATTCAAAATTTTTACTATTCAAATCCCAACTCAAAATCCAAACTTCCAAACAAACTAGATTTGGAATTTGTTGGTTGATAGAGTGCAAATTTTCTTCATAAAAATGAGATGCTAAATGAAATACTTTGTGGTATGAAATGTAAATCAACAAACATACACAATAACATGAGTTTGAGTAAAGAATGTTTACATCTATATCCCTTTTATTCAACTCAAATTCACATAATAGAAGATCATCAAAAATTTACATAATAGAAGATCACATTCAAGTCATTGTTGAAAATTGGGTTCAATCCTCATTTAATAATGTTTTAGATTTGATTTAAGAATATTTGATTTGAATCTTGTATTTAAATAATATTTGATAAAATATTTAGTGAAAATATATATATATATATTTAAAAACTTAGAGTTTAAATTGTAAATTTAAGAAATTAGATTTTAAAAAAATACACACATCCTAAGAGTCTATTTTATTTTATTTTTTACATTTTGAACGAGAGTCGATAACAACAAGCTTATTCAATGTGTCGGGTAGAACGATGTGCTGATTAATATTCTTCTATCTATTGAAACAGGCATATTTTTTTGACAAATTTTTCTTGAACTCATTTATTCAATTTGTATGATTTTCATTGAAAAAGTGTATATATATATATATATATTTTATTTTAATGAAATATTATGTCTAAATAATATTTATAACATTCAAACTCAAATGAAACAAAAAAAACTCTTAATGGTGTGTTGGATTGAATGTTTTGAATTTTGAATTTACATTAAATTTGAATAATCGTATGACAGTGTAATAAACTGGTGTTAGATATAATATTTTAATTTTAATTTTAATTTTAAAATAAAACATGAAAAAATAAATATTTGATTTAATATTATTAAAAAAAATTTACTGAATAATAAAAACTGATGAAAATCTTTCAAACAAATATTAAATACATTTATATAAAAAATAATAGTATTTGATGCAATATTTTTTATACATAAATTACGTACACATTTTCAAAAGAGGATTGCATCCTATCAAATCACCAAACAATTAATTATCCTCCAATCTTCAATTTGGCTACTCGTTCATAGCCAATAAATACCATTACGCCCACCAATTCCTCCTTCCAACTCCCACCTGCAAAATCCTTCAATTATACCTCTACCAACATCCATGCCCAGGCCCTTCCCCACCCTCCCATTATCGCCGCCGCCGCCCGCCGCCGCCAATCTCCTCGCAGCGGCCGCTGCCATACTCTGTGTGCTATCCGCCGTCTCTTTCCTCTGCGCTCGCCGCTGGGACGAGCACGGCCATGGTCACCTGCGAAGAGGGATCAAGAACAATCCCGCAAAGATGGTGAAGAAAATCGCAAAGACCCGATTTTTCGACAAAGCCCTTCTGATCGGAAGGTTTATGTCGAAGAAATCCGGCGCCGCCGCAGTCGAATTGTCCGAAGAAGAGGAGGAGGATGATGATGATTACGACGCCATTTGGAAGAAACCGATTCTCAGAGGAGTTCGATGCCATTCGGAGAAATACGAGGAGGTGGCGGAGATGGATTTTTCCGGTGGGAAAGCTCCGCCGCCGCCATCGGAGTAGCTTTTGTTACTGTTAGGTAAGAATAACTGATTTTCCTATTAAGAGCTCACTAACATTTCTAACCTTATGCAACAAATTTCTTACCTACTTATTGATGTCAAAAACAGCAAGAAACATATGCATTGTATGTAAGAACGGCTAAGGGAACCTTAAAAACCCGAATAAATATCGACAATTAGCATTCTTACAAGAATTCCGACGGCAAGCTGGCATTGGGCTTCTGATCGCCGGCGCCCAATCCGGCGGGGTGCTGCAGATTCTGCAAATCCGGCGGCGGAATTGCGGCGACGCCGGAGGTTAAGGCGTCGGCGCCGGAGCCGAAGAACTGGCAGACGAGGCGGGCGACTGCGCCGAGAACCTGCAGCTGGTTTTGGCAGGCGTCGGCGTGCATTTGCATCATCTGCTTCTCATGTTCGATCTGCATTTCGAATAATCTCTCCCGCCATTGCATCTCCTCCTCCTCCCACTGCTCCTCCAGCTTCAGCCGCCGCGACCGCTCGTCATCGAGCTCCCTCTCGAGGCGGCGCCGCTTCTGGACCTCCCTCCTCATCCAGGATACCTGCATTTCCAGCAATTCGTGCTCCCTTGTTAGTATCCTTTCTTCCCTGTCCTTGATTGTTGATGATGATGATGATCCTTCTTCCATGGCGGCGGTTTCTCTGCTCCACTCTCTTTCCCTCCTCCTCGCCTCCCTTTTCACAATCAATTCCCTTAACTCCAACACGTTTGCTCCAAGCAACCTCCATTTCGACGATTTCTTCAATTTCTGTTTATCCCCAATTTGACCTAATTTCTCATCGCCCCCAAATTTCTCCTCACGCCTTTTTTCAAATTCATCTTCATCTTCATCTTCAACACCGTCGTCGTCGTCATCCTCGTCGTCCATGTCCGATTCGTAGCCCAAACCGACTGCGGCGGCGGCGTCTCCTCCGTCTTCGAACAGATCGGAAATCCCCCTTTCCCCAAACGACGACGTTTTGCTGCAATTAGGTTGGGCGTAGTCGGGGAGCGGGAGGTCGATGTCCCCGAAGACCTGGCGGTACTTGAGGAAATTCTCCCAGTGGTTCTGGCCGTCGTCCCAATTGAAGTCGGCGTCGGAAACCCTAATTTTCTGCTTGACCCCCAGGTACTGGTGGCGCATGTTCTGGACTTTAATGGAGACGTCGCGCCAGGTCCACTTGAAGGGGAATGCGACGGGGTCGTGAGCGTGGTGCAGCGAGTTCACGTGCTCCGCAATCGGCTTGAACTTCTTCTCCCGCGTCTTCAGCTTCGATAACGCCCCTGTGTTGAGGAGATCGGCGTATTTCGATAGCAGACTCTGCTCCTCCACCTCCGACCACTTCTTGCGCTTCATCTCCGACGAGATCACGACGGCGAGGGTTCCGCCGCTGCCGGAGCGGAGCGGAGCGGAGCTGTGCCGCCGGAAGATTTGGGGAAAGGAGGTTTCGATTTGGTTTAATTTGGGGCAAAATGGGCCGCGTGGATCGGACGGGCGGACAAGAGGAATCTCTCCTTCTTTATTACTGCCCGAAATTAATAGTAATAGTAATAGTAATAGGTAGCTCTCTTTTATTTATTTATTATTATTGCTTTTTCTATTCGGTTCCTTCTTTTTTTTTTCAATAAAGTGCATCAATTTATCAATTTTGCCCGCAGAATATTAGTTACAGAAAATGGAAAAAATATATTAATGCAGAGTAAAAATTTAAAATTTTGAGTTGAAAAAAAAAAAAAAAATCTAAATTATCAGCTCCAATAAGATAAAATCAATAAAAAAAAAATTCTAGATCTACCTCCCCGTTTACTCATCATCCCATCGAAAGAAATTCTTGTCATCTCTATAGCAGCTCATCTCACTCATCTTACAATCGAAAAAAATCCTTCGCTCGCTCGATCCCTATAGCAGTTTACAGCATCTCATCGAGATCCACGTATTCTTGGTTTAGGATGAGTTCTATAAGGAAATCAAGGATGTGTTTGTTCTTGGTTTAGATAAAGAAATTTCTGGAAGGATTGAACCGGGCGAACCGGATTTGGACCAGATAATGGATGAAGCTTTTACAATCAAGCCTATGGATTTAAAGAATATTTTTCAATTGAATGTCTCAACTATATATATGTCATTTCTGATTTTGGTTGTCATGAAAATGTTTTTTTCTAAAAGAAATCTATGCAGGTCAATATATAACTATGCTAATACTCTCTTCGTCCCAGATATCGTATCTGCTACACCGTAAACACGGTATTTTAGGAGAGATGTAATTAGTAGATAATTAAGAATGTATTAGTGAAAATAATTATTCTATAATATAAATAATTATAAATTAAGATTAAGATAACTAATTAGTTTAATTAAAATTAAAAAAATAAATAAAATTTAAAAATTTAAAATGAAATTAAAGTGTGTAATCATTTTCCAAAAAAAAGAAAAGTGACATGATATGTGGGACAAATAGAAACGGCAACGTGGACATGGTATATGGGACGGATGAAGTATTATTTTTCTGATCATGTTGGAAATTAAATATAACAACTAATTAAAGTAGAAAGTGTTGGAATCTCACATTGGAAGAGAAAATTTAACATTTTATAAGTGTTATGTAAACTCCACTAATACTAAGATCTTTTGGATAAGATAGGATATTAAATAAAATGGTAATGTGCATTTATTTTTTAAATAATTACTAGTGTGTTACTATATAGTGGTAAGTGTGCATTTATTTTTTAATATTTGATTAAAATGTTAAAATGTATTTGCACTAATGTGCTTGCTAAGAGCATTCCTTATAGGCATTTTTTTATTATCTTTTTATTGTTTTCTCAATTCTTTTGTAATGTTTTGTAAAGAATATAAATACTTTCTATTAAGCTAAAAATACCATTACTAAACAAACAAATACAGTAGTATGTTGAGACTAAAATGATATAATATATATTGAGAGTAGGTGAGAGAGAGTATTTTATATTTATTTAAAATATAATATTTTAAAATACTTTTATTATAATACTATATTTAAAATTTTATTTTTGTGGTTGCAATTGAAAGTATATTTTTATTATTTTTGTTCGTTTATTTAAAATGTAAATTTTTAGTAAAAATAATTATGTATTAATAGTGTAATACTTTTTTAATTTTTACATAATCTACAAATATACTATTATATTTTACAATTAATTTATGTTAAGTACAAATAGCAAAAATGCTCATGCATATTTTTATCAATCAATAAAATATTAATATAATTTCTTAATTTAATATAAAATCTCAAATAATTCATTTAAATTGAAACGGAGAAAAAAATTATTTGTATTTTTAAATCTATTTTTTAAAAATAATTATTATACACTACAATCTTATAAGATAAAAAAAAAAAAAAAACTATATAAAAATGTATTTAAATCTACTTATCAATACCTAAAACTTATTTAGGATTTTAAATTATATAAAGTTATTGTTTTTTACTATTTAATTTATTTTGATCATGACAAATTTAATTCCTATTTTATTATAAATATCTCCAACTCGCAAACCAACTTAAAATAATGAAATAAAATCAAAACAAGTGTGTTCACTTATTTAATATATTTAAAAAATTATATACTACTGATAATACATTATTCTCTAGACATGATGCAGTCGGGCAATGCTCTGTATCATTTATGTGCTGAATTACCCAAATTACCCTTCCCCCCCTCCGCCATCGTCGATCAGCAGCGCCCGCCCCAGTCAACCGCGCGACCACAGGCCCATATAAGATTCCTGAACCAATTTGTGAATTCACAATTGCCGCTGTTTTGCTCTAAAAATTTCACAGGTGATTATTGATCATTTAGTCTGATTTCTCCCAGATTGCATTTCGTTGACAGTGCACTTCAATCGATACTCTTTCGAGGTTCTCCAATTTTTGAGGTGATTTCGTTGGCTTTGGGCGGATGCGTGATTGTGTAAATTTTCATCGGTGCTTACCTGTGTTTGGATGGGAATGGTAGGTCGAGAGGATCGTAAAGGAGTGGGCTATGGCGCCTCCACCGATTTTGTCTTTAGCTCTGCCGTCGGAGACGGGGCGGGTTCTCAGTATTCAGTCTCATACTGTTCAGGTCTCTCTATTTTGACCTAATTTTAAAACAAAGGAGACGCACCTAGTGATTTCTGTTTTGGTTTTGGATGCCTGTTGTTTTCTAAAATGAACTAGAAATGATTTTGCATGATGTTCATATTGATCGTTGAAGGTTGCTGTAGCTGGTGATTAAAGTTTATAAATTCTCTTGAATGGGATCTATCTTGCCTCTGTTGATCGTTACTTGTTCTAATTTTCTGCATTCTCCTCATTTGAAATTGTGTTTGTTTGCTTGCAATTTCAAGTTCTTGAAGTTTTCCTTAAACTAGTGAGGATCTCCATTGGAATGTAAGTCATGAATTTTCATTGCAGCCAAATCTTGTAATAGGATCTCATTAATACCATTTATCTGAGAAAAGCAAATTTATATCCATGTTGGGTTGATTCCGGCACCCTGTATATATAGTTCCCATGGAGATTATTACTTAATTATATATTCTACTAATGCTAGATACTGAGATCCTCAAATTTGTGCATAACTCTATTTTGTTAAACCCTAGGGATATGTGGGCAACAAATCAGCTGTTTTCCCACTACAACTGCTCGGATATGACGTAGATCCAATAAATTCTGTGCAGTTCTCAAACCACACAGGCAAGCCTACATCACTTAATTCAACCATTGCGTGGCACAACACGTGGCGAGACATCAACTGTGAATGTGTACACTCTGGACGCCGTAGTTAGGGCTTTGTAGGATCTGTTTGACTTAATGACGTCAAACTTTACATGCAGGATATCCTACTTTCAAGGGTCAAGTTTTGAATGGAGACCAACTTTGGGATTTGGTGGAGGGCCTTGAAGCCAATGGCTTATTGTACTATACACACCTGCTTACAGGTATGAATGGTTATAAGCATCACTATGAAGCTTTCCTTATCAACTGCATGGGCATAATCAACTTGTTAATTAAAGAAAACGGTGTAATCTAGCAGGGGGGTAATGCTGACTTTTTCATTCGTCAGCCATGGTTGATTTAACTTACTGCTTCCGTTTGAGTTTCAGCTTCTGTATCATGTCTTGTTATACAAAATAAATGTCGACTTTGTATGCTTGTTTTTATTGTCACTTCTATCGTCTGATATCCAGTGAACACTATAATAATTATTAATCTCGTATTGCAGGTTATATTGGTTCAGTTTCCTTCTTGAATACTGTTCTGAAAGTAGTCAATAAGCTTAGGTCTGTCAACCCTGGACTCACATATGGTAAGTGGTTTAATGCCGGTTGATAAATTATTATCAGTTATACTATTGACTATGGATCTTACACTAAAACCTATTATATGTAATATTTTGTAATTTGAACCTTTCTTTCAGTGTGTGATCCAGTGATGGGGGATGAAGGAAAGCTCTATGTGCCTCAAGAGCTAGTTTCTGTGTATAAAGAGAAGGTACTTTATCTCTGGTTGGAAGTTCCTTCCTTTTTGGTCAAACTAAAGAATTAACTGATAGTAAACCATTTGTTGTTAAATTGAATGACCAGATGGTAATAATCTAATTATGCCTTAAAATTAACTGAAGTTATGACGTCAATGGAGATATTGTAAATAACTATCAATTAGCTACAGTTTAAATTTTGAGCATCATGGATGACACCTTATATACAGTTAAATGCGCATGCTATCTAATTTGAACTTGTACTTAAAATTTGGTAATCCAATCATATTATGAGCTTGTATATGGTCATACCTAGTATATGTACATTATAAATATAATAGGCTGAAAAGGCAGATTGATTGGCTACCGACAAAAAATTAACTTTTTAATGACTTTATCTTATTGGAACTGGTTTCATCTATTCATATATTTTTATGCGAAACCATTACAATCATCATCATTGTTTCTATTCATAGGCATACCCTAAGAACAAATGGGAATGATACTTGAACATTTTAAGTTTCGACGCACAAGTATCTCCATTAAGGCAGGTGCAATACACATGACATTTTGTTCTTTTTCTCCCCCCTTTGTTTTCTGTAGTGTCTGGAGTAATTTAGCATCTGAGATACATATTTTTAATATGTATGTTTATTGTACAGTTGAACAACTAATCAAATTATATACTAATTACAGAGCACTATGAACATTTCCATGCTTGATTTATCTGTCTTAACATAAGTTTCAGGTATGCTAGTTGTGCCAATGAAAGTAGACAATGCTGCTAATATTATGTTAAACCTTTTATGCTTCAAAATGGATGATAACGTAAATATAGATGAAATAACTAAGGAAGCTAAAAATGGAGGACAGCTTATCTGCTAACAATGTAAATGATTTTCTGTTGCCAGACTATTCTGATGGTAGAATTGGTGATTGCCCCTTATGAATAGGTTGTTCCCGTTGCTTCTATGTTGACTCCAAATCAATTTGAGGCTGAACTGTTGACAGGCTCCAGGTATCACGTCAGCTAATGGATTCCTAGGGATCCACAATGCTGTTCTACAATATTAAAAATGTCCATATGATTATGGTTTGTTAAATATGAAGCAGACTCCTGAAATATTGGTTTGTAGGCAGATTAGATTAATGCATATTTTTCTTTTCGGGCTATCATAAAAAAATACTTTTATTTCTCTTCTTAGTAAACCATACTACTTTTTGTACATTTTTACGCATTCGCATTAAAACATGTGCTAGTGTGAACACGTATTTGGATGAGAGGGAGTATTCATATTTTGTGGAAGCCTGGAATACAACTGACTGCTGTTATAATTTTCAATCTTTCATTTTATTTAATACTTGTACCTAGCAAAGGCGACTCAATTTCTTAACTTCCAAGATGTTACGAAAACTTAGTCCCCTGTCGTTGGTTACCAACATCAACCTTGCCCCCATTGTATTCCTTACATGAACCATAGATAATTTATTTTTTTGCAAACTTGATAGTTCTTTGTTTGAAGCTATATAATGACAGAACTTTTATTTCTTCCCGTCATCGCCTACATGTCACCTGGTGACTTCCACACAGTTTCTTTTCATTCTCTTTGCTCTTTTAATGCATTTTTCCACCTTCTGTCTTGTATTTCCTAGTATTGTGTCTGAAGAAGATGGCCGGGAAGCATGCAACATGCTTCATGCAGCTGGAACATCCAAGGTTTGATCTCGTAGCAGAAGCACTTCATTTGAAGTTGAATTAATTGTTTATGAGCTAATTTATTTTTAGGTTGTCATAACGAGCATAGCAATGAATGGTGAACTTCTTTTGATTGGAAGTCATAAGAAAGAGAAGGTATGTAAACATGCTTCGTTTAGAATAACAACCAATTTTGCTTCTAACTCCATTGTTATGATATTGTCTGAAATTCCGTTAAAATTGTTCACGCTTTGTGTTAAAAATTGTATATGAATAAAATGCTTAATCCATGTATTCACATATTTATTTGAATGGTGATAGGATGACCCTCCCATGCAGTTCCGCATTTCACTTCCCAAAATCCCTGCATATTTCACGGTATGCAATTATTTCAGTTCCAGACCTTATTTTCGTGTGAGATGGTGGCGAACCTGTGAATTTTCGAATAATTTATTACAAACATTCGTACTGGTTGAAGAAGTATGCCCAAGATACATGTTCATGATATATATCTGCTACAAATCTATCTCCCACGCAGAGTTTTGGTCATCTACCCGAAATTTTATAATTTTAATCATACAATTCACATTTAGAAATGGAACACAGGAACAGTAATGATCTTGCCTTTTGCAGGGAACTGGAGATCTTATGACTGCACTTCTTCTTGGATGGAGCAATGTAATCCTTTGCAAATCATGTTGGATCCCTTTTTGTGATCTTCGATATTTGATTTCTTATTACAGTACTTCCATCTATGCAGAAGTATCCCGATAACCTCGACAAAGCTGCAGAGCTATCTGTATCAAGCTTACAGGTACACACTGTCTTGCATTGTGTGGTTTCTTAATTAAGCTCTCTCTCTCTCTCTCTGTGCTGTGAGCTTAACATTTTGTTGTTGGTTGCAGGCACTTCTGGTTAGGACCATTGATGATTATACAAAGGCTGGGCATGATTGCCAGTCAAGCAGTTTAGAGATTCGTTTGATTCAAAGTCAGGATGATATTCGAAACCCTGAAATCAAATTCCATGCTGAGAAGTACCCATAAATATATATATATATATATATACATATAAATTCCCTCCCTGCTAATATGATGTTTCTGAATTTATATATATCTCAGAAATCAGAATCTTGATATGAGAAAACATGAAATATAAGACTTTATATGGGTATGCCATGTATTTTAAAGGTGGTTTCTGATCTTCAGTGCTTTTAATTTTATGCTGATTAATTGTGTTTTGTTTTGGTTGAATCTATATTTTTGGAGTGACAAATTAATGATATTTTAAATTAAAAAGTAATAATTTGTGATAGATTATATATGTATATATACGTGTGTGTTTTTATTGTAAGTTACACTAAAAATTGTTCAAAAGCAAGTTTCTTTATTAATTTTATTTTTTAAATAAATATTTTATTATATCAATGACAACTGTTACTATTTTCCCACGTTATAAAAAGATTAAAAAAAAAATGCGTATATATATACAAATTAGTATATCTGGGAATATGAAAAGCAAATGCTCTACAGCGGTAGCTTTTGTACGGAGGAGTGGCTGTGAAACCATGCAACAATGGCGCTGAAGTTGTGTTCCCGCCTTCTCCGCATCGCAAAGTCTCCATATCCAGTCAAAGAATCGCTATATTTTTGGCACTCTCGATGTCTGGGATGCTCTTGCCCAATCTCACAAGGTGGTGTTGAATTTTATGCATATCAAATCATGTAGATCATCTGTTCGACGAAAGTACTCACAGAGATATTTCTGTAAATTTTGGTCAAAAACTGAATTTTTTCACTGCATTTCTTTGTTAATGAAATTCTATAGATTTTGTCTTTCTGAAAGATTGCCCTCCTTTTTCAGCTCTCCGTTCGTATTCCCGCGACAGGCGCCAGAGCTACGATTTGTTCGGGGGTAGAGTTCCGAAATCAAATGAGTTCAAAAGGGAGTGGGCCAAACAAATGGAAGACGACGAGGATCATCTCTGGACAGGCAGCGAAGACGAAGACGACACCGATGCAGAGCGGGATGATCAAAGTAAGCTCAAGAAAGAGATCAAAAAGGCCAAGCAGCGGGCAAAGCACCGTTCCGATCGCATTGATGCAGATGACAGTGATGAACTGTACAGCATTTGGTCCGGAAGCGATGAGGAGAAGACCCTCTGGACTGGCGACGAAGGAGACGATGAAGATGACGTGCCTACAGAGCCTTTCCCCAATGAGAGAAGCGATGAATACATTGATAAGTTGTTTGAGTTTGATGAGAAGCCTAGATATCGAACGCTCTCGCAAGCAATGAAAGACGAGGAGGAGCCGGAGGAGTTATCTCCCGGAAAGCAAGCTCGAAAACTTGCTGTGCAGAATGCTCTTAAGAAACTCAAGAAAGGGCCTGACGGGCGATACACAAATGTGTGGGAGGTCATGAGTGATTTGGATATTTTAGTTGGAGCTTTTGAGAACATTATATCTGGTCCAGAATATGAAGAGCTTAGGCAAGGCGGGCCGAAGAGATTGAACATGGAATTTTTCAAGGACATTCAAGCTCGTATGAGAGATCCAAACTACAAATTCTCCCCTGAAATTAAGTTAAAACCAAAGAACAAGGTGGTGTCTAGAAAAAAGTGGCAGAAAGCAGAATCGAGGCGTAGGAAGGCACGAAAGCGGTAACATCGATATACCTTTTCATTTCTATGTCCCTGTAATTTTATGATCTTCTAGATTTATTTTCGATGCATCTTAGAACTTATTGTTTTCGGTTTGAAATCTATTTATAGAATACATTTGAAAATGAAATTATGCATTTACAAATCGATGGCTTTGTTTCTGAAATGAGGTAAATTGTAAATATTTATTTGCTCTTTCTAGCTCCTTTGTGTCATTACATTAGGCTAATAAGTTTGTAGGTTAATTATAGCAGATTATTTGGAGAACATTATGAAATTTAATGCATTTCTCTAACACAGTATCATACATACCCATGCTGAAATAACGGTCCGAAACCCTTATTTCGCCTATAAATTTAATTTTGCATCTAAACTAACATAGTTATGAGCTATCTCACAATGGACCTTAATTTCTGAAACTTGTGTTGTTCCAATAGTCCCTGCCAATATTTGGAAGTACCTCAAATGCATTTGTATTCCTTGTTCGAAAATGCATATAGTTATTTCCCATGGTTCCTGTAGGAAGCATATCATGCATGCTCGTATGCATCAATGGATATGGATAGCTAAACGATGGCCCTGCATACATCATTGGGGCTCGCTGAAAATGGTATGGATGCACTGATAATCCTGCATCCGACATTTTCAGCCCATCGAACTGTCCCAGGCTAACATAACCTGGGAAATTTATTCTGGCATTAGTTCCATCATAATCCATGCTGCTTGTTATGTTGTTGTGTTCTTCCCATCGTAGAATTTCATCATCCACCTGTGAATCAGAAATTCGATTGCTGTTCAGATATCTTTCTGAACCCCACTTCTCAGCTTCATCCTCGGCCAAGTGGGATTGCCGAGGCTGACATTCTCTAGTGTACGTTTCATCCCATAGGTTCGGCAGTTGGTTGAGGTAAGCTTTGTCTTTCTCCCACTTAGCCGTAGCGTGTGACCAAAGCTCGGCATGTTTTCCAGATTTGACTAATTTCTTGATTAATGTTGTTGCATCCACATTGCCTGATACCGTTACTTTGCCCTCTTCCCCGTCTATATGCACTTGATAGACACCTGTAATCAATAAAAGAACACACATTGATTGTCCTTGTCGAACAAAAGTGAACAAAACCTGTGTCGGGTTTTGGTCTAACACCTATTTTCATTCTATATATTAAATGAAAAATCAATTTTCATTCAAAATATCACATCAAACAGTTATTCTAATTAAACTTTTTATTGTCTCAAATCCTACCTCAAAAAACACACCCTAAGATTCCCATCTCTTCTTACCATGGATTTTTCTCAGCAGTTTCTTCACTTTGTTCTTGCAGCCTTCACAATGAATGTGGACCTTCAGAGCACATGTCTGTAAAACAATCATTTCCTATATCACTGTTAGACATCTTAACAAACTGATAGGATCATCATTCATTCATATCAATCATACCTTTAGTTTGACAAGTTCAAAACTTTTCTCCTCTCCCTCCTCATCCATTTCTCACACTAACTGGTGATGAGTTTAGGAAATAGAAAAGGGGCTTGTTTTGCAAGGTGCAGTAACTGAGAGATATTTGTTGCCCTTTTATCAGTCCTTTTTTCATCTTTGTTAAAAATGGTGTTCCATGAAGTGAGTAGAGTACTGTACTGACTACTGACAGTAGAAGAACATTTCAGACCAGATAACAGAAATGAAGTCCCAATAAGAAATGTGTGATTTAGATGTGATCTGATCAAATCATTTCAAATTCTTATTCCTTTTCAGTAATGAAGCAACCAATCCTTCATGCCCTAGTAAACTGTTAGGACATGCCACTTGCTGCTTCCCTTGTCAAGATCTTAACAAATTACCACAATATATAAATATATATATATATATAATACAGCGTACACTTTTCTTTTTTAAAGAAAAGCTTTTAGCTAAATTGCATATTGAAAACAGTTGGTTGGCAGAAATTAGTCAGATGTGAAGGAAAGTTAGTCTAATTTTTTTTTTTTTTTTTTTTTTTTTTTTTCTTGATTTCTATGTAGATAAACTTCTCAAGAACTTTTTCCATAAATTATACCCAAATTGTCACTCTCAGAGCGGCTCTCAATTGATTAATTAACATAAGTGGTTAATGATTTTATAGTTTTTACCCACAAAATAATGATCATTATGGAACCACTTTTTGGAATAGTAGTTATATAAGAACTATATACATATATATGTATTTACTAATCTATTATATTCCATCAAATCCTTTCTTCTTGTGATCCCTGAAATTGTCAACAGATTGAGGCAAGATATTGTATTTAAAAAAGATTTAAAAAAGAAAAACTTGCATCGCAAAAGGCTAGATGATAACTTAATTTATTTTAGATTTTTAACCTATAGTGGCTATGGACAATCAATGATATATTAGAATCATTTTAAGATCTGGCACCCAAATTGGTGTTCATTCCTCTTAGTGCCCAACACAGTTCCTTAACACGTGGGGGCTTGCAATTGGTTGGAAGATTAAAGCTAATGTATAGTTCAAGAAATATATATCATTGAAATTTGAAAGAAAGTTAGCTCAATTTAGGACTAAATTTCAAATTCAGTTGCTCCAAGGGAGCCAAAAAAAATTCAAAAACCTGTCCAATGACAACATTAAGTTCCAAAGAAGAATTCTTGCAAAAGTTGTAGCAAACATTAAAGCAAGAATTGTCTGTTCCAATATAAATATGTTGGCTCTTCTGCAAGCACAAAAACCTTCCAATACAATCTTTTTTCTTGTCCTGTAATCATCACTTCTTTCTCACATTGCCATCAGATTACAAACACTTGATGAACAGAGAAAACAGAATTACAAATTGAAAGGGACAACAAACACAAGATTAATACAATCAGACAACAGAAAAAAGGTTGTCTTGAATTCCATCTCACATGCTTCAAATACTCTGCAATTAATTTGCTTGTTATCTTCATACCCTCTTGCCGTAAATAATTGAGACAAGAGTAAGACACCGAAGAAGCCATTTTTCACATAATAGAGCAAGCATTAGGGTTGTCGTCACTAAATAGGTAAGTGATCCGTTCATCTGTTGCATTAGGCGCAGGAACTGCTTGTGTCACATTGCGAACAAAGCCAGATGGCGCTTTCTTGTCGTAGGCTTGAGAAACATAAGGATACTGGACTAGGTTGTACTGAATGTAAGGCCATAGTTCAGCTCTTTTCCCTGTGCTCTTCACTTTCTTCAGAACTTTCTTCGCATCCACAAAGCCACTCACCGTTAAACGGTGCTGCTTTCTGTTAATCTCCACAGTTCTAACTCCTATACAAATGAAACCATGTTATCGAAAAAATAGAATAAGGACTCACAATACTTCTTCCCATACGGTTTATTCTCACCTTTCATGTTCTTAACAGAATTCTTGACCCGTCTTTCACATCCGTCGCAGTCTATCTTCACCTTGATCTCAACTGTCTGCAGGAACAGAAACAAGAACACTAAATCTTCTGTATAATGGATAAACAATTCATCTTTATTTTGTAACAAGCAATGCTGGTGAATGAATAATGTTGATGTTCATGAATATATATACATATACATATATAAATGTATATATATATACCTGCATAGGCTTCCTTTTGCCTCTTGTGGTAGTGACAGTACAAAAGCTGGAGAGGTAATCTAGGGCACCCATTATAATTATTGTACCAGAGCTTCTCTTCCTGCAGAAAGTGAAGAAGAAAGAAGAAGGGGCCATTGATATTTATACCAAGGTGGGACATGAAAAAAAAGAAAAAATTGGAAAACAAGCAGTGTAGTGAGTGAGTGAGAGCAAGCTGTATATATATTTATATATAATTTTGGGGAGTATGATAATGTGCCTCGAAAATCATGATGAGTGGGTAAGAATACTTTTGGATTTAATGATTTGTTAATTTATGGTGTGATCAAGAAATGAAAAATTGTTGCTGCAAAAGTGCTTTAGTGTTGCCTCCTTCATTCATTCATTATTATTTGTTTTTGGGTGGCTTTTTCTTTTTCCATTGTTTATTGGATTAGACCACAATTATTGATTGATTCTGTTAGTTACCATATCAATGGCTATGGAGCCTTTTTCAAACGTAAGTTGTGCTGAAACATGCATGAAATCATGGCTTTAGTGTGTTCTTTACTCTTTCCACAAAATAAATTAAACAACAATAGAGAAGACGACGAAGTCGAAGACAAGAAGTCCCGGACAGGACACTTGTTTTTTCTCTCTTTATTTTGGGATGACTCGTGACAGAATTGTTTGAGATTTTGAAATAATAATTTGATATTATATTTTTTTTAAATATTTATTTTTTACAATAAATTTAATAAATATTATATTTTAACAATAGTTCATAACTATTAAAAAGATTATTTCGACTGAAAGAGTATAACAATATGGATTAGAGGACAAGGCTACATTTTTATTTGCAGAATATGTGGGGTCAATTTGAACAATACCAAAACTACCGGCCCAATTCGTAATAAAGTACTAAATCCGCAAAGCGTAAGCCGAGGCCAAAATCCCTAATTTCATTGGTCGAATAATCAATCCCCAAATTGCATTGCTCGGAGATATGGAAAGGGGCTGTATGACGTTCACGGCAGCCTCTTCTGCTCCACCGAGACCCGCCGCTGCCTTCCGCCTTGGCTGGGGCCAATCCCCATATGAAGCTCACCGGCAGTTTCGATTGAGGGGCGCGCATTGTAGGGTTATTAGTCAAAATGGTGGCGATGTTAGAAGCAAACGCTCATTGAGCGTGAAAGCTTTGCAGCAGAGTCTATCGAGCAATTGGGATGTTTCTAGTTACGCTGCTCCGTCGTGGCTACCGAGATTCGAGGAGCTTGACACCACCAATATGCTTCTTCGCCAGCGGATTATCTTCTTGGGAACCCAGGTTTCTCAATTTCTTTTCTTCCTTTCATGGATTTCGTTGTTTGTAACAGTTTATTAATGCTTTCATGCTTTTTTCCTTTTTATCAGTTGATATTCGGTTAGTTACAAGTGGTTGGTTTTTACAAAATTATTTAGCATATCGTGTTGGTTGTTATGTTAATGATACAAAGTTGTATGTCCACTTGCAAACAGTAGAGGAGTATGTCCTTAATGAATATGTGAACATTAGTGGCATGATTATCTCAATTTGATGGTAATGAGTTGGGTGTGACCTATCGATTATAAATTTTTGTTAGGGTATTTTGAAGTTAACAAATTTTGCTTTGATGATCCTAAAAAATCAGTTTGTTTCTGATTCATGATAGTTTGAGGTGGTTTTAACTTGTCTCCCTGCAAAATTCAAATGATGATGAACAGATAGATGATATGACGGCAGACTTTGTAATAAGTCAGCTGTTATTACTAGACTCTGAAGACAATAAAAAGGACATACGGCTGTTCATCAACTCGCCGGGTGGTTCGGTCACTGCAGGTGAGTTTAACTTTCCATCCATTGAATTTGAGATGACAATTTATACTATATAATTGCCATTTGTTTAACACAAGTGCAACTCATGGTTGAAATGAAATCATTCCAACTGATTGCGGCTTTATCATTTTGATTAATTTTGTCCTGCTGTTATATAAAGTATCTATTTCGGTATCTTAAGATGGGATATATAACCAAGTTTAGATCCAATTCCTAAACTAAATCTCTTATCCATTCGTAAACTGATAAGCATTCTATTCAGCGAACCATTCCAAGTACATTTATTTTATTTTTGATTTGTGACAGTGACTATCTTTAGCGCCAAATGTGAAATCTTGCCAACAAATGACAGTTTCCTCCGAAATCAGAATAGATTTACTCTTGTCATTGCCTGCATCTCAATTTGAAGCATCAATAGAGATATTGGCTTGTGTGTACTCAAAATATGTTTTCATTGCCCTCGATTTTAGCTTCTAAATTTTTTGTTTGAATGCACCATGTAGGAATGGGCATATACGATGCCATGAAATTGTGCAAGGCTGATGTCTCTACCACTTGTATGGGTCTTGCTGCATCCATGGGCGCTTTCCTGCTTGCTTGCGGTACTAAAGGGAAGAGGTACTGCATGCCAAACGCAAGAGTGATGATCCATCAGCCTCTTGGAACAGCTGGGGGGAAAGTATGAACTCATTTCTGCCCTTTTTTATCTTTTATATCATATCTGTATTTTCAAGCCGATTAATTTGCTTCACTTGCTCTCTTTTGACTACATGATCACCGTTCGGTGTCTTACTGATTTTGAGAGGTTGCTTGAGATGACTGTTACATCACTGGCCCCATCCATCGACATAAAACAATGCTTTGTTTTAACAACTCAATCTCGAAAAGTGATCTTTTTATTTACGCTTCTTGCTTTCTTGTTTAGGCAACGGATATGAGCATACGCATTAGAGAAATGGCTTATCACAAAGTGAAGCTGAACAAGATACTTTCGCGAGTCACTGGGAAGCCCGAACACCAGGTTGGCTCACTCGAATTATTCCCTGCCATGGCCATAGATTTATGGTTTATCTGATTGTCGCGATCATTCTAACTTTGCAGGTTGAACTGGACACTGATCGCGACAATTTCATGAGCGCTTGGGAGGCAAAAGAATACGGCCTGGTTGATGCAGTCATCGATGATGGCAAGCCCGGGCTAGTTGCACCCTCTGTAGACGATTCGCCTCCTCCCAAAACCCGCGTGTGGGATCTTTGGAGAGTCGAAGGAAGTCGGAAAGCCAGGAAGAACTTGCCTTCTGAAGAAGCATACTTGCAAAATGGCCATGTCACTCCTGGCGATGATGAGGACAAAGAAACTGAACAGATAGAGGAAGCAGCATCTCCTCCTTAAGAACTGCTTATGTTTAGTTTTTTGTACACACTGTAACATCTTCTTTTTCATTTGTGGCTTTAATCTTTTTTAATCCAATGATCCTCTTTCAATTAAATTTTGCATTAGACAGATCGGTCCTATTGATATACAAAGTTTGTCTACTTACCTACCTTTGTTTTTGTTTGTTTTTATGATTTTTTGAGTTAAATCGAAATATATTTTTGAAGAGAAATGTGCAATTAATACTCAATTCCACATACAGTAATTGGAATTTTCTTTAGTTAAAAGTGAAAGGGTACTCAAATCTATTATGGTATGAATGGACCCAATATTTCACATGGAAATGTTGCTTGAAGTTTCCATCTTGGAATGATATTTCATTTTTATTTTATTCCAAGAATTATTGGTGGGCATTATTTAAATCAATCTTGTAATCTTGCTACGTGTCAATCCACTGAGCAAAATAAATTGGCATATATATCCCTTATCAATAAAGTTCTATTTGGAAACAAGTGATTCAAGAACTTTTTCTTTTTATACAGTGATTCAACGGTTTTCTTGCATAATTCAATAATATTTTACCATTGGAAATATACAAGCATTGATTAAGTGGTTTATAACTTTATAAAAAAAAAATTTATTTATTTTTATATACTATAATTTATCATGTTTGTAGTTTATACGGTAGTTTAATAAATTATTTCTTATTTGGTTCAACATATTTTTTTATGGCCTTCAATATTACTTATTACATTTTTTACATAAATTTATCGTATTGCCAAAATTGTTGTTCACATGATCGGTTTTTCTTGCATGAGTTGAATTGCTTTATTTATCTATTTTATTTTATTTTTATTTAAATATTATTTTGGATGCAATACTTCCTAGAATAAAATATTCTATTTTTATATGAAATTGCGTAAAAAAATAAACAAATTAAACTTCAATAAAATACTCCCCCGATTCAGATAGTGTCTGCTACACTGTAGACACGGTATTCTAGGAGAGATATAATTAGTAGATAATTAAGAATGTATTAGTGATAATTATAAATTAAAATTAAGATAACTAATTAGTTTAATTAAAATTAAAAAATATGAAATTTAAAAATTTAAAATGAGATTAAAATGTGTAATAGTGACATGGTATGTGGAACTTACAGAAACGACAACGTGGACATGGTATCTGGAACGGAGGGAATATAACCTAAATCACGTTAATAAGCACACATCATTCATACATATATCATTTTCATATGACGCGTGCTATGTAACAAGCCGGGTATATTTGACTTCAAATAATTATTTAATCGACTATAATGATGATGTTAATAATAATTTATCTGTACACATATCACTTAGCCACAGGTTTGTTTTATTTATTTAAATACGGAAAGTATTTTATTTTTATTAATTATTTTTTAAAAAATAATATATTAAATAATTGTTTTTATCTGTGTATATATATACAAGCATCAACAAAAACACAAACAAAAATACCCGAAATTTACTGAAATACTCCAATGATTTTTCATAAGTGTGTAGTAAAAAGTTATAAAAAATACCATAATTTATAAAATAATGTGTCATATTTCAATCTTATAAATTTGGAAATCATATATATAAAATGTTGAATACAAATTGAATGTTAGTAGCATGTAAGCAAGTGGGCCTTTTCCGACTTCAGGAAGACATTTATTTTTTTTTGCGTGTGTTAATCTTTGTATATTAATTACTATATCAAGACGTAATATAAATTAAGAGAAAAAAAATATTTATATTAGTGTCTTATAAAACTAGCATAATAATATTTGTATAAAAAAATTATACGAATATAAAAATATTATTAATATTAAATACAATAATACAAATAGTAATCCTTAAAAATGGACGAAAAAAGTATTATTTATTCACTCTATCCTGATAAAGTATCTATGTTACAGTAACATGAGAATTTATAAAAAAAAATTATAATTAATAAAAATAATTAAAAAAATATATTAGTAAAAATATTTATAGTATAATATAAATAATTATAAATTAAATTTAAAATAACTAAATAATTCAATTAATATTAAAAAATTATAAATTATAAATTTAAAATATAAGTAAAATGTGTAATCATTTAAAAATAAAATAAAATTATGTGAACAGATCCAACTCAAACAATTTATGTAAAATTGAGGTTGGACTTTGTGACCATAAGGTCATGGGTTCAAACTCCAGACGTCTCAGGTTACCTGTTACTGGTTTGCAGGGTATTAAGTTGGATCCAAATTTTAAAAAATATTTATTTTAAAATAGTGTGAAAAAATAAACAACAAACATATTTATAAAATGTCACTTGTAAAAGAGTAAATAAAATAAATATATAGACATTGACATTTACTCCACAATTTACCGTCTGCTAGAATATTCCTGGCGGGACCACAATAATGAACCATATACATTTATTTGCCAACAAACCAATAATTCATCCCCAATTAAATTCATTTTTTCAGTTAATATACTCTATGAAAACGACTTTAATGACGTGACTGAGTAATAAAAAATACAATAAATATTAATATATATATTTTATATTTTTTACAAAATTTCTTATAATTCACGCAAAAATAAAAAATAAAAATCATTTTAAAATATTTTACAAGACAAATACAATTAATAATAATTTTTAAAATATACCACATTAATAATTTTTAAAATTCTCAAAAAAAAAAAATTATACTGAAAATTATATTTATAAAAAATTTATTTATATGAACACACTCTATAAAAATAATCAAAATAACACCACTATCAACAAATCCGCCGAATTATAGAATTTTTAACAAACCTGAAATTTTAAGGTTCGAATTTTTTTGACTGTTTCAAATTTTTTTAAAAAAATTAATAATAATTAAAATTAGTATTTAATATAATAATATATTGTGAAAAAAATTAATTTAATATTTTAAATATATATATATATATATATGCCAAAAATCCAAGTTTGCTTATTTTGTAAAATGATTTAACAAAATATTTCTTTTTGTTGATGAAAATAATAATAATGATTTTTATTTAAAAATATTATTTTAATATTCCATTGATTAATAAGATGCATCTATGATTTCGGAAAGCTCTCGAGAGTCGGAGAACTTCGTGCCCAACTCTGCTTCCGCTGCTAAGCCGACTTCACATCTCTTTCCCTAATCAATCAAACTAGGTGGTGAGTTGTGATTCATAATCTGTTTTTCTTTGTTCATTCGTTTTATTTCTTGTTTCACTGATGAATGTTAGTGTTGTGGATTCGCGTTTGTTTGAAGGAGATTCCGCAGCTGTGAACAACAGAGAATTAATTTCCGTGTTTTCGTTGATGAATTTTTGCGGATTTTAGCATTGGCGTTAATCTGTGCAACGAATGAGATTTTCAATTCATACGTTTTCCGGATTCGCCTCTCCGCGTGTGGAATCTCATGTTAATTTCCCCTGACGCATCCTACGATTGAGAAATCGAAGCAGCCCCAATTTTCCCGGCGGCGGCGGTGATTAGATCATTTATTTTGAGTTCTAGGGTTTTTGGTGATTTTTTGCTAAGATGGAATTAACCGTTAACATACGATCGACAAAGGAGGAACTTGTTCTATCGATTCTTCCGCTGTTGAAACTGATTTGCCTCACAGTAATAGGTTTGATTCTCGCCCATCCGAAAACTCAATTGGTTCCAAAAGCGACGTTCAAGCTTCTCAGCAAGCTGGTTTTCGCATTGTTCTTGCCTTGTATGATCTTCATCCATTTGGGAGAAACTATAACTGTGAAGAATTTCCTGCGTTGGTGGTTCATACCTACAAATGTGATTCTGAGTACTGTGATCGGTTGTTTGTTGGGATGGCTCGTCGCCAGGATATGCCGGCCCCGGGCCGAATACTTTCGATTTACAGTGATCATGACTGCATTTGGGAACACTGGAAATCTTCCTCTTGCCATTGTTGGATCAGTGTGCCGTAGTGATGATCATCCATTCGGTCCCGATTGTCACGCTCTCGGGACGGCATACGTCTCGTTTGCGCAGTGGGTCGCCGTGTTGCTTGTTTACACACTTGTCTACCATATGATGGAGCCTCCTATGGAATACTATGAAGTTGTTGATGTAGGCGCCGAGATTCATGAACAGGTCCCGACGAATGATCTCAGTAGGCCTCTTCTTGTGGAAGCCGAGTGGCCGGGAATGGAAGATAGAGAGACCGAGCATTGCAAGTCGCCGCTGATTGCAAGAGTTTTTGGAAATCAATCCGATATCTCCATCCCTGATGTGGAATCTTTGGATGGGAGCTCGAGTGTTGCACCAGAGAGTCCGAAGTCGCTTAGATGTTTAGCCGAGCCACGGGTTATGAAAAAGATCAGAATTGTAGCCGAGAAGACGCCACTTTTCCATGTTCTTCAGCCTCCAACATTCGCGACACTACTTGCCTTCTTTGTCGGGATGGTTCCTCCGATCAAATCAGTGGTGTACGGAAACGATGCGCCCCTCTCGTTTATAACAGATAGTTTAGAGATTCTTGCCGGCGCAATGGTGCCCTCAGTGATGCTTATCCTCGGAGGGATGCTTTCAGAGGGACCTAATGAATCAAGACTCGGCCTTCGAACTACGATTGGGATCATTGTCGCGAGGCTCTTGGTTCTCCCCATGATTGGCGTCGGGGTTGTCACTTTGGCCGATAAATTGAACTTTTTGATACCCGGCGATCAAATGTATCGATTGGTGCTTCTGTTGCAGTACACTACGCCGAGCGCCATTTTGCTTGGAGCCGTCGCGAGCTTGAGGGGCTACGCCGTCTGCGAAGCGTCGTCTTTACTCTTCTGGCAACATATATGTGCAGTCCTGTCTCTTGCTATATATATGGTTGTCTACTTCAAGATGCTCATCTTCTATGTTTGAGGTTAGTTTTTAGCTTTTGTTTTTCCTGTTTCGCCATAGCTGTTTAATGGAGCTTTCAAGTTCCTGATCATTTCTCAAATGGAGTTCTAAAACTTTGTGATTAATTCATAATGCTTATGCCTCTTTTCTTCTTTGGGGTTTGGAAAGAACCATTTAGTAATTGTCTATGATTTTTGATCTTCACATGTTTATATGATTATTTGATGGATTATGTATTATTATTATTATTATTATTATTATTATTAGTTGCATAAAATTTGAATTTGAAACAGAATTTATAAATTAAAGGCTCAAAGTTGACTGAGCTCTCTCAAGTGGCCGAATGAAACAGTACAACCACTAAATCCAATCTTGTATCTAATTCAATATTAGGTCTTAGGTATTTTTTGATATGGTTTCTTATAATTATCATATAATTTATTTTTATTTTTTTTTAAAGAATCCTATCAATATATACATATTAAGGTATTACTCAAATTTTATTTTTTGCACTTCAAATATAGTTCATTAATTAAATTTAGAAACTTTCATTTAAACATTGTACTTCTATGCATAGAGTTAATACAATTTTTGTGTGTATTTGATCGAAGAATAATAATATTTTATATATTATATAGTAGTAGTTGTTTGTGAATAAGGAAAAGTTAGATAAAAATTATGAAAAAGTTAGATAAAAATTAATGAAATTAAGTGGAGTTTTGAGATGATTTTAAAATAGTAAAAAATTTAAATCAAAATAAATATTTAATATAACATAAATATATAGAAATTGCACAAACCAAATAAAATACTCGAGATCTCAATCATATATTTAGTTAGACACACGTTGTGTTTTAAATGAATATATAAAAATAAAATGAATTCAAATCAAAGAAAATCAAAGTGGAGCCCAATGTCATATATCGATCAGTCATGATAACATTCATCAATGTGCTAAAGCAAACAAAACATTGAATTAATTATTATTTTATTTACTACCGTTGTTCCATTGTATGGCATTCTTACGTGTTACTGGTCAAAACATATACCCTTTCAAATTTATTCTCACTTTTTTTTTTCATCTAAATTTATTCTCATTTTTTTTTAGTAAAAAAATCACTTTTTTTTACCAAAAAAATAAAAAATTTCTATTTTTACATATTTTTCTTAAAACTCGTGTATGTCCAGTCAAATGAGCAGTCAAATGAGCACACAATTGAATGACAGATGAAGTATTATAATATATCTACACATAAATGAACCCCAAAATTCAATTAAATTAATTAATCAAAATTTCCCCATACCATATATATAAATGACATATGTGACAAAACCAATAAGCCTTTCAGTAAAATCCAAGAACAAAAATCCAAACACCCAATATTTATTTAAAAAAAAAAAAACAAGCTGTTCATTTTCTAACAATTTGATCATTAATCAAACTTACATTGACACGGTTAATCCACTTTTACGTCAAAAACAAACAACATTGGATTCAATTCAAATAAAATAAACAATCCTTTCATACTTCACAACCCAATAAATAAATAAATAAAATTATAACACATTCTTCTGATTCAAAATCTTCTGCCTAATGATTATTTTTTATTACCAAATTAATTAGTTCTACCTAATGATCAATTTTTCTTATATATATATATATGAGGGTGAATCTACAGTTGTAATATCATAACAAGAAAGATGGCTTCTTGTTCATCTTCATCTTCATCACCATACCTGAGCAGTTCTAATTATGTTCATCAGCCATGGAAGAAGGGCAAGAAGCTGTGCCAGTCTTTTAAAGTGATCAGAGCCCATAGCTACAGAGACGAAGGTACAGTAGATCATTACCAGTGCTGTTTAAAGTAGACAACACAGGCACATGGCATGCACGTGCTAACTATAATTTTTCCTTTTTTGTTTTTAATGATGATCATCATTCATCACTCAGCAAGTAATATTGTGGATGATAATCTGATGGTTCTGAGGGAGAGAATAAACCTAATTAAGACCAAGGAGAAGCTGGAGAGATGCTGCAATCCCGCCGCCGCGGCGGTGGCGGCGGCGGCGGCGGTGGCGGAGGGATGGGATTATAGTCGCAATGATTTGATAAGAAGAAAAGGAGATGAGGAATTGTTGGAATTTGGAGGCAAAGTTGCAGGCGCTTTTGGGCTCACAATTTTTGGCTGCAGCTGCTGCCTCTGCCTTGTGGCTCTTTTGCTTCATTTTAATTAATTAGAATTTTTTATTTTTATTTTTGTTAAAAAAAAAAAATCTACAAAGTTTAATTATTATTTTTCTTATTTTTATAAAGTGCACAATATTCTCTAAAAAATGAGAAAAGATTAATTATACACTTTCTAATTTATGAAAATATTAATGCAGAGTTTCAAAAGTGCAAGTAATTGCACAATTGTGTCTTATTTCATTTATGCGTATGTATTGGTAATACTTAAATGATGTACTCTTTTTCGTCCACTCTTAATGTATTTATATTATTATTCTAGGATGTTCATAATCAATGTATTAGTTTTTTTTTTAGTAATTATATTTCTTATTTTAATAAAAATATCTATATATTTTATGCAATATTACAAAAAAATACTACTAAAAAGTAAATGACTGCAATAAGCAAATGGTTACGGTTTTTGTTTATTTAGTATTTTGGTTTAAAATATATTTATTTGACGTGAGATATAAAAAAATTGTATAAGTAATATAAAATTATATAATAAAATCAAAGTTCAAGTAAAAATCCTAAATATATGCTCAAAGGATTGGAACAAAAATCAATTAAAAACTTTTGAGATTCATTTTTTCTTAAAATTATAGTACTTTGTCCTTCTCGTATATTTATGTTTCAAATTATCTAATTAAAACTAACTATTTAATTAAATAGTATTATATTTTTTTTTTACAAATACTCCAATTTTATCTTTACATAATTAATTTTACACAAAAAAAAAACTACTATAATTAAATTATTATTAATTTTTCTAGAAGGCATTATCTTCTTCAGCAGCTTCATCCCAAACCTAGAATTACACGTACAGGTATATATATATATATATATATAAATGTCTGATCAATTTCTGGTTATCTCAAATAACTGATCAGAGGAGGCTCTTCAACAATCGTCTCCAACAATGGCTTCCTCGACCTGCACATAGACAATCGCCGATTAAATTCCGGCGTCGCCGCCTCCATGTTCAGCTCCGTCGTCAGCGCCGACGACGCTCTCCCGGAGCCACTCTCCGGCGATATTCTAAATCCTCTTCTGCCCCGAAATAGCGCCGCCATGTCCGCCGCCGTCGCCGCCGCATTCAGCCGCTTCATCGGGAAGAAGACGTAGACGCCATTGATCTCCAGGTTGTCGTCGGCGGTCAGAGTCAGAGCAGCGAATCTTCTTCCGATCTTCAGCAACCTCGAGTCGACGAGAAAATGGCTCGGCGCCTCCAGCATAAGCTCGGCGGCTTTTGTCGGCTCGCGCAGCCGCCGGACTTCGCCGGACGGGAAAATTACCTTCCCCGGCGGTCCGGACAGCGCGCAGGATGCGTAATTTCCCATAATGCCCTCGTCGCCTATTCGTCGTTACAGTTAATAATCAAACAACGCTCTGCAGCAAATAGACATGGATTTTCTGCAATTTTATAATAAGGGTTTCCGTGAAGAAGTCAGAGTAGAAATAATCAGCCGTAGGAGAAAGAGTCAGTGGAAAAAAATGACTCATTTTTAATTGGTCAAAAATCATGTGACAGATTTTCTTTAGTTATATGTTTTGACCATTATTTTACTCTTCGAGTAATTAATTAATTGAATTTCAATTTCATGTGTATATTTATTATAAAATTATAAATACAAATGATATGTATCTTTTGATGTAGTTTAGAAAAATTTTATTTAGATTTAATATTAAAATAATATGATAAAATATTTTTTTTTAAAAATATATATATTTTTTTTTTAGAAAAAAACATTCAAACAGTAAAATCTGACTTTTTAGTTAAAAAAAATAAACCCCTAAATATTTTATTTATTATATGAAATCTCATCGTATTATATTAAAGTAAATGCATTTGTGTTTTTTTTCCTATCTAAATACAAAATATCTTTCTTTTTTATCCAAATGATAATTATGTTTGCAAAAATATATATATATATATATTCTTTCTCTCCCATCTAAACTCAAAGTATTTTTTTTTATTATTTTCGTTCGATGCATCTAAAGTATTTATTTATTTTTTATTTTAATAAAATAAATTATACATCAATATTAAAATACCTTAATTTTTATATAAATTACAAATATATCGTTATACATATAATTACTTTTTACGTCAAAAATGAGTATAAATATATATGTGTAATTACGCAAATGATATGGAAATAAATTGAATGAAATATCTTAAATTAAATATTAAGTATTTTTTAATAAAACAAATAAAAAAAATTAATTAACCTTTTATTTCATTGTTTATAACAATTAAATTGAAGTTCATTTTTCATTCTACAAATTATGAAAATGGAGAGCTTATCAAAATTTTGGTTTATTTTATTTAAAAAATGATATTTAAAAAATTTCACATTATTTATTTATATAACACTTGCATAAATGAATGATTTATGATTTTTTCTTTTATGTATTAGTCAAATTAATAAATAAAAAAATCAAATCAAATACAAAAATCCTAATTGTGTTTGGTTTGAATATACTTTGTCCATCCACTTTGAATTTTATATTTGCATTTTGTCTAATTGTATTTAACAATAAAAATATCATTATATTTGTATAATTTTTATAGAAATATCATTATTTTTGTATTACAAGACAGTATTATTATATTTTAATATAATAATTAATATTCAAATATTAATATAAAAAAATATATATAAATTTTTAAAATGGACGGAGTGAGTATTATATTTTCAATAATCACTTTTAACAATTTTTTTTTGATAAAATATTACAATAAATAAATTTTACATCATCAAGTCGGACCACTTACACCTGTCAGCACTTCCAAAACATAAATATATAAAGAACAACTTGGATATAACAAGTTAGATTTCATAGTTGATTGCTGAAATTAATGGTTTTTAATAATTTAAATTAGTTAAATTATTATTATTTTTAATTAACATAATTGGTTGTTCAAGATTAATTCAGCAGTACTGAATTAATTTAACTAATCAACATATAATTTAAACTTTACAAAATATACAAAAAAAGCAGCATTTATGCACGGCTGCGGATTTAGTAGATAGAATAAGCATATCATATAAAAAAAAACAATTAACATATATTATTTATGATACAATATAACTCATTGTATGATATCTTATATGTTGTGTTATGCAAATATGCATAATTGACATCTCTCGTACTTTTTTATATAAAGAAAAGTAATGTATTTCTTGCTACGTCCCTTGTCGAATTGAATTCTTGATAACTAAATCGAGATGATATGAAATGGATCACGGAAGAAGACTCGGCAAGCCGCGTATTTTATGACTGAGTCACACACTGGGAAAGTCTGATTGAATTAGCACTGTACTGATTTGACTGAGTCACACACTGGGAAAGTCGGATTGAATTAGCACTGTACTGATTTGATTAAGTAAGTTATTACCTATCTAATTTATATGAAATACAGTATGGTCAATATTCACCTTCAAAGAACACTTAATCACGTAAAATAAACTAGCAATTATGCCACCATCAATCTGTACTATTATTATTATTATTTTTATTATTATTACATGAAAGAGAATCAGTTTCAGACAAAAATTTCCGTTGTGGACCATTTGGTTGATTTATCATGACGTAATTACAACATATATATCCACAGGTCTAATCCAAAATATTTATATAACCGATAATTTGAAATTTTTTGGACACATCTTTTCTTTCACAATCTAAAAAAATAATAATAATGGGTCCAAAAAAAGACTGTTGATAACTAAACAAACTCTGATCTCCAAGCAGATTCGATGATCCTAAAGGCCATTTTTAAGACTCGAAAAGACATATATATATGTATTACCAATTCACATTAGTTCTAACATAAAAAAAATCACCAAACAGGGCGCAGCCATTTCGTGGAAATTATGGTTCAGGGAGAATCCAATAAATCAGCTAATTCTTCCAAACACCACATGGTCGGCGGGGAAGGTCCTCATAGTTATCTCCGAAATTCCGAATACCAGGTACGAGATTCTTTTCTTGCCAGTTCTAATGGATGACCGGGAGCTCGACTCCCTGGACTCGCCCTGGAATTCCCCGGGACTGATTTCTAAACCATCCCTGGATTCTTACAGAAACAGCTCCTGCTCTCTGCTGACGATTCAATCCAGGACCTGATTTCTCACCATCTAGACGCCGGAAATCCTCCCCGGACCTTCCGAATTGCCGATTTCGGGTGTTCGGTCGGTCCCAACGCAATCCAGGCCGTCGAAAACATCATCAAAGCCGTCAAAATCAAGTTCGAAAATTCCAGGTCGACGCCCGATTTCCATGTCTTCTTCAACGACCTAATTGGTAGCGATTTCGACACTCTCTTCAAAAACCTGCCGTCTCCGAGGAACTACTTCGCCGCAGCGTCGCCTGGATCGTTCCACACGCAACTTTTTCCTAAATCGACGCTTAATTTTGCGCACTGCTCGACCGCGCTCCACTGGCTGTCAAGGATTCCAGTAGAAGTGACAGACCGGAGCTCGCCTGCCTGGAACGCCGGCAGAATTCACTATTCCGGCGCTGGTCAAGCCGTCCGACAGGCGTATTCGGATCAGTACGCCGCCGACATGGAAGCGTTTCTTACCGCCAGGGCGACGGAGCTCGTCCCCGGCGGATTAATGGCAGTTGTGGTACTCGGCTTCCCCGACGGTGTCGTTTCTTCCGATTCGAGTATCGGAAAGGCCTTCGACATCCTCGGATCGTGTCTCTGCGACATGGCGCGAGCGGTGAGTGCAATAAATGCGCCAAATTGTTCGATTATTCGATTCGATTTTAATTTTAAATTTCCAGGGGAAAATTGATGAGGAGAGAGTTGATTCGTTCAACTTGCCGTTCTACTATCCGTCGCCGTCGGAGCTGACGGCGCTGATAGAGGCGAACGGTTCGTACCGTATCGAAAAAATGGCGGCGCTGGCTGCTCCGATGAGGCGCCGCCCCGACGCCGCCGTGCTGACGTCGCACCTGAGAGCTGTTATAGAGGTGCTTGTGGAGGAACACTTTGGCAATGGAGTGGTTGAAGAATTGTTTGCCAGACATTATGAGAAGCTGCTGAAGAGTCCAATTTTGGTCGATGAAAAGTTCTGGAAAGAGACCAATTACTTCGTGTTTCTCAAACGGGAAGAAGACTTGTGAAACGACGTCGGATTATGATGTATTGGCCTGCTTCTTTTTTCGTAGTCTCTGGTTTGTGCGAGAATTGGTGAATTTAATAGAAAAAAAAAGGTAACTTTAAGATCAAGGATCAAATCAATTCAGGTTCTTGATTTCAATTTCGAATTGTTTCTGTTCTACTTTTTACATTTTTATAAAATGATGTAAAAGATTTGGAGTAGACAAGACTTTGTTTATTTTATACAGATATTATTGAATTTCGACACTATTTATATACAACGTTTTTTTTAAAAAAAAAAGAGATTAAATACACTTTCTTGTTTTTTTTTTTTTTAACAATAACTTTTTTGCGAACTCATGTCCGTCTCCGATCGTCCACAACTGCTTAACCTAACTACCGCCGCCCTCCACGGCGCCGCCCTGTCGTCCCTTTCTTTACCACCACAGCCGCCGCCGGCAGGGTCGGTTGTGCCTACCCCCGCGTTAATTCCTCACTCCAAGGTCATTCCTAAAACACGCTTCGTCGTCGACGGTTTCAAGCATGCCGACTCCGGTTTCTCCGTTTCTTACTTCCTTTCTCACTTCCATTCCGATCATTACACTGGACTGTCGCCGCAATGGTCCAAGGGCATCGTTTACTGTTCCTCTACCACGGCTGAACTTCTCCACCAAATTCTGAAAGTTCCTCGGCCTTTTATTTTTCCGTTACCTCTATCACAACCTGTATTGATAGATGGATCGGAGGTCTGGCTTATTGATGCGAATCACTGCCCCGGTGCGGTTCAATTCTTGTTCAAGGTACCTGCAAGTTGCGTGAGCGGTGGAGGTGATGATGGCGTCGTTAGGTTTGAGAAGTATGTACATACTGGCGATTTTAGGTACTGTGATGAAATGAAGAATGAGAGTGTGCTACGGGATTTCGTTGGTAGTGATGCTGTTTTCTTGGATACGACTTATTGTAATCCTAAATTTGTGTTCCCAACTCAGGAGGAGTCGATTGATTACATCGCTGGGGTGATTGAAAAATTTGGAATTGGAAGTGAGAGTTCGATTGCCAAGAATGTGTTGTTTCTAGTGGCAACTTATGTAATTGGTAAGGAGAAGATTTTGTTGGAGATTTCTCGGAGGTGTAAGAAGAAGATTCATGTTAGTTGCAGGAAGATGGCAGTTTTACGTGCGTTGGGTTTGGGGGATGATGCAGTGTTTACAGAGAATGAATTGGATAGTGATGTCCATGTAGTTGGCTGGAATGTGTTGGGTGAGACTTGGCCATATTTTAGGCCTAATTTTCAGAAAATGAAAGAGATTATGAGTGAGAAAGGATATTCGAAGGTCGTCGGTTTCGTGCCAACTGGTTGGACATATGAAGTGAAGCGGAATAAGTTTTCAGTAAGGACGAAGGATTCGTTTGAAATTCATCTTGTCCCTTATAGTGAACACTCAAACTATGACGAGCTTAGAGAGTATGTTAAGTTTTTGAAGCCGAAGCAAATTGTTCCTACAGTTGGTGCGGATGTCGAGAAGGTTGATAGCAAACATGCAGACAAGATGCGGAAGCATTTTGCTGGATTAGTTGATGAAACCGCCGTCAAGCAGGAGTTCTTGATGGGTTTTATGCGTGGTGGTTCCGGGGGAATGGATGTAGGGAAAGATTGTCTTGCTGCGTCTGGTAATAATCCAGCTGCTTCGAATTGTGACGATGATGTTGAACTGGAGACTGACCTAAAATCTTCTCAGACTCAGGATTCTGCTTTAGAAGGTACTAGGGAAAGTGATTTGGAGAAATCTGTTCAGGAACTTCGGGAATGCTTGCCCAATTGGGTTACTATGAGCCAGATGTTGGATTTGTTGAAAGATTCTGGTGGAAATATAGTGGATGCCGTTTCGAATTTCTTTGAGCGTGAAACAGAGTTGTATGAAGAGGTTTTTTCAAGTGCATCTGTTTCTTGTACTGCCGAACGGAGCTCAGAAGATCATCCTAGATTGCCTTTCGAATTGAAAAATCATACTGAGAATGCCTCTTTTAGTCAATCTTTTAAGTTATCTGCTTCTGGGAATATTAAGAAGAAAGTTGCCTCTCCAGGGAAAAGAAAGAGAAATCTTGATAGCAAGGCAACAAAGAAAGTAAGAACAGATTCAAGCCGGAAATCTAATGACACAAAGCAGTGCCCTATAACCAAGTTCTTTAACAGAAAAATACCTGCTGTCGAAAAAGTTAATGAAGTCGAAGTTGAGTGTAACTCTTCTCATGGTGATCAAAGTAGGCCTGCTACTGTCGATGCTATGGGATCATACAAGGGGGTGGTGGATCAGTTTATTCAAATTGTAAATGGCGATGAATCATTAAGAAGCTCTGCCATCATTATTATGGAGAAGGCCAAAGGGGACATAAATATGGCTTTGGATATGTATTATAATGACAGTACTGCTAATGCAAAAGAAACTAATGACAATATGCCGGACAAGATTAAATTGAAGGATTCTGAAAGTAACATAGAGCCCTGCTCTGTCACTGGAAATGTTGAATTAACTGATTGCAGCAATCTTGAAACCAAACCTGATGTTATTTCTTCTTCCTTGATGAAGTACAATCCTGTAAATAATGTCTCATTGCCACCTGAAAGATACTCTCCCATCGAACATGGTTTGTCACTATTTCTTACAGTCTCTTAAGAAATCTATTTGCCATATTAGTACATTGATTCTAATGACTGAGTTCTTTTTCCAGCTTGCTGGAAGAAAGGAGAGCTTGCCCCGTACATTCATATTACACGCACTTTTGAGTTGGTTGAAGAAGAAAAGGGAAAGATAAAAGCCACTTCAATGCTATGCAACATGTTCAGGAGGTTTGTTTCTGGAGAACTTCCCATTTATTATATGCGTCTGTATTTAGATACTCTCTACATCGATATGTTTCAAATGAGTTATTATTACCTTTTCATACAATCCAGAATTTTCATTACACAGTTTGCTGGCTCTTTCACCAGAGGACGTACTGCCCACTGTCTATTTATGCACGAATAAGATTGCTCCTGAGCATGAAAACATGGTACTAAATTTTCATGTTTATTATTTAAACCTTTGCAGTATTGGAATTATAGGCTATGCTCATAAATGACTGTATTGCACTTCAATTTAATCTTCATTTAACTGTAAATTGATAACCCACATTCCCCCAATCGTTTGTCATATTCAATAGATTGGTTAGATTTACATTTTGTTGGTGTTTTAGGAACTGAATATTGGTGGAAGCATTGTTGTTGCAGCCCTGGAAGAGGCTTGTGGAACCAACAGATCTAAGATAACCAATCTGTATAATACACTTGGTGATCTTGGTATATCATTTATTTTATTTTTTTATTTCGTTTGGATGTACTGCTATCATGCTGGTCAAATAACATATACTGAACCAGGTGATGTTGCCCAGCTTTTCCGGCAGAGCCAATCTCTTCTTGCACCTCCAGCACCACTTACAATCCAAGCTGTATATTCTTGTCTTCGGAAGATAAGGTATGAATTTCTTGATTGCTAGAATTGGCAGTGTGTAATATGATTATGTGCTTTTTATTAGTTTTTTCTTTTTTGAACTAGTATGACATTTTTCTCAATTAATGGAAGTAGTGTACTATGCATGGTACTTCTGGGGATGCAATTTGATTTCTTTAATGATGGCACGGCCTTTAGTTAGCATCTACTTTTGGAATGATATATCAATGCCAACAAGAAGATTAACTAGCAGATTTAACAAGTTGTAGCAAGTTGGGCATGCCTAAAACATCTATGCATCGACTCAGGGGAGACTATTAACATATACACACCAATCCGAGCTCAATCGACTATCTGTGTAACAAATTGGTAATGATTCACATCTGTGGGGAGTGAGACATGTGGGGACCTGAGGACAACACCAAGATATTCTCTCTTAATAGAGCTCGAAATAATCTAAGCTATAATTGTATTTTATTTTTAGGATATTCAATTAATGTAGTTATTTCTACTTTAGGATACTGAAAATTTGTAAATATATTGACACCATTTCATAAGTAAAAAAGAGGTCCAGTTTTTCTGGTATTTGCCAATCCACTTTGTGACCTTTTTAGTTATCAACATCTTGTCATACCTGCGGCACTTTATTGTGTGGGTTGTTAATAGTGATATTTTCTGTTGTTTAAATTTGTTTTCACATCCTATTGTGTTCCACATTCACAATGGATCTATCATTTTCTCCTTATTTCTTCGATTGAAGAATTTCTTCTATTTTTATTTTTATTTTACTTTTAAATTTTCTGTAAACATGTTCCACCTTTACATGGTATTCACCAGTGTACAAACAGGTAGTGGCAGTACAGTCAGGAAGAAAAGACTCATTGTGAATCTCTTATGTTCATGTAGAGAGAAGGAGATGAAATTTCTTGTCAGAACTTTGGTATGATAAAACTTATCATTTTCCAATGCATTTTACATTATCATTGACAAACATATTCCTCCTTTATATGTGGAAGCTAACAAGTAGCTGAAAGCTTTGCTTCATTGTTATTATTGTTTTTCCCCCTTTTGGGGTATTTGAATGTTCGGGTATAGGTTTCTAGATAATAATATACTTCTAGGAGCAGAAAATTTTCCTTTTCCCTTACTGCAATGTTATTCCCTTTGGTTGTATTATTATCATTTGTGGTTTAACTTATAAAGGTAGTGTTTAAAGTCATAGTCTATCATTATCACGTGTGTTTTGCATCTTAAAGATAGTTCTTAAAGTGATATAACAAGGTGATGTAAAACCTTTGGAAAGGATTGAGAAGAATGAAAAGGGAAAATGAAGATTAGTGTGAAAATGGTGAGATAGTAACAGTCTTTTACTTTATTTTATTTTTTGAAGAAAAGAAGAATATGAAGAGAAAGTATGCTGATCTTTGTATTTAATGCCAATTTGCGTCTGTGGTATCTGGATTTTGTGGGACATCGGTGATACATATTATGATTGTCAAATGTTGTCAGCACTTCAACTGTAGTATATGAACATCAGGCATCATTAATTTTCTATTTCCCTGCCAATTAGCATCTGTGATCAATGCTTTGTCCTCTGTAGGTGAGGAACTTAAGAATTGGAGCTATGATGAAAACTGTTCTTCCTGCTTTAGCTCAAGCTATTGTGATGAATTCAACTGATGATAGAGTACCTGAAAACTTGAAGAATCATATAGAGGTTTAATTACATTTTTTCTCTTTTTCTTTTTTTCAATAAAGCTTTATAATGTTTCTTCCTCTGTGCCAATTTACTCTATCAAATGATATAGTAATGCCTCTGTTAAGTGTTATTAATCATTTTCTTGTTTTTGGCAGCGTCTATCCAGTGTTGTAGTTGAAGCATACAACATACTTCCAGACCTGGTAAGTATTGTCTAAATGTTGGTGGTGTATTTTTATTTTATTTTATTTTATCTTACTTTTTCCGGGGGGGGGGGGGGGGGGGGGGGGGTATTGTGTTTTATCTGTAAGCAGCATGCTGATGTTTCAATATTGTCTATGCTACTTGTGAGAGATCATGCAAATGTATTTGGAAATTGCGCTGGATTTAGAATTCTAAGACTGAGCTATATCCGTGATATTTGTACATACATCATTTTATTTCTTAGGCGACGGGCATTATCCCTAGATGCTTTTAAGCTTTCTCAAAGAATTTATAATTGTTACTTCTGTTTTTTACTTTGTTTATTTTCCAATTTAAAATGGTAAATAAGACAAGAAACTTAAGTGTGCCTTTATTTTGTTGTTGGCTCTTCATTTCTGCACAGTTCTATGCCTTTTGAGGTTAATATCTTACATATTTTACCATATCTTGGCAGAATGTTGACACATGACATTTTGTATAAATTACCTCTTGCTCGAGAGTTGATGCCTTTATTTGAGACACTTGATCATATTTGTTTATTATTTATTTATTTATTTATTTATTTTTCACTTGATCATATTTGTTTCTTTGTTCAGGATTTATTTATTCCAGCTCTGATGCAGAAAGGGATTGAGTTTTCTTCATCAACATTATCAATGGCCCCTGGCATACCAATCAAGCCCATGCTTGCTAAGTATTGTTGCTATTAGTTTATTTTTAATAATATTATTATCATTATTAGAGCTCTGGTTCCATTTCCTTTTCGTGTTGAATTACAGAATTACTAATGGAATAGCTCAGGTGCTGAAGAGCTTCCAAGGCAAATCATTTACTTGTGAATACAAGTTAGTTCTAACGAACCTCATTTGGATAGCTATTATTATTATTCACAAATTAGTGTCAGAGAACATAATAATGTTGACTTGTGCACTCAGAACATGCGATATCATTTGTGATCATTGATGTAAGACCTTTTATTTTGGTCGGCAGCGACTAATCTTTGATGAAAAAGTACCTCCATGTGATACTCCGAATTTTGAGTTGCTTGCCGTAAAATATTCATGTCCGAAGATGTTGATTTTCTTCCTTGTAGATATGATGGACAACGTGCCCAAATTCATGGTTTAGCAGATGGTTCTATTCACGTTTACTCGAGGAATGGTGATGAAACCACATCAAAATTCCCTGATTTAATTGATATAGTAAAGGAGCGCAGTCCACCGGAAACAGCGACTTTTATTTTGGATGCAGAGGTGCTCGTTCCTCTCTTTTTTTTTTTTTCTGATTTTTTCTGTATCATGCCAACCATTGACGCATCAAAGTTCTCTATATTAGCATCCTCCAGCTATATTCATTATTATTACAGGATCACAATTCCCACTCACACATAATAGCATGCTGTCTGATCTCAGGTGGTTGCAATTGATAGAAAGAACAATTTGAAGCTTATGTCATTTCAAGAGCTCTCTTCCAGGGAGAGAGGTAACAGAGATTCTCTGATTGCCACAGATAAAATAAAGGTTATGTAAATCGCCTTACTTTTCCATTTCTAAGTCAATGGAAGAATAACTCTTATTCTAGGTCCATCGTAGATCTACTGGCCACTTCACACATGTATATGCTTTTTGTCTAGATTATATAATGACTTAGAAATGGGTATTTATGCACAAAAATAGGTGAGGTTCAATTCTAAGTGGATAAAATCTGTAAGGATTAAAGAACATGAATTCTTCTTCTCAAGCAAAAGGCAATCCATTAAGCATTGGTTTTCTGGTACAAAATGGTCCCTGACGAAATACAGTAACATGAGCTGCCTGGATACAAAAAATTTCATACAACACAAGTATAGGATGGGATTAAGTGCAAGCCAAGTGTTTCTTATTACCATTGCACAAAGATTACTTGCTCTAGAAATGTAATTTAATCTGTGGAGTGTACACTTAGCTGATCTTCTGTTCATGCAGGTTGACATCTGTATTTTTGTCTTCGACATTATGTTTGCAAATGGAGAGCAGTAAGTTTTATCCTTGGTTCTTAAGCAATTTCCGATCTCCTCCCCATATACCTGATAATAAAAATTTGCACATACAATTCATATTTGTGGTGTGGGAATAATCTCAGTATAATGATTTTTAACTCACGGAAATGGAAGATTTATTAAATTATGGTATCTTTTCTAATCTAAATGTGTGATCTGTATCCGCTTTCTTACAATTATATCCACATGTCAACTTGATATTTGAACTTCTCATTTGATTGAACAGACTATTTCTATTTTGAATTTACTGGGCTGTTTAAAACCGTTGCAGGTTATTGGATTTACCTCTTTGTCAAAGAAGAAAACGTACGCGCTCACCTTGCACTTTTAATAATGTTCTCGACTATTTTACTAATGCCACAGGATCATCTCTTGTTCTAAACATGCATTGCCTCTGGTGAATCAGATTTAAAACTCCTATTCGGCGAAGAGAAACCAGGTTACTTCGAATATGCAAGAGAAATGACTGTAAGTTTATTTATATTCCCAAATGCCACTAGTAATCTCCAATCTGATGTTACAATCCATTTCTTTTAGGTTGAACTGCAAGATTCTGATGTGAATAATGAAGCTACATTAAACAGAATGACCACCTTTCTCGATGATGCTCTCCGTTCTTCATGTGAAGGCATCATGGTTAAGTCCCTTGACGTTGATGCGAGATATACTCCATCAAAGCGTTCAGATTCCTGGCTTAAGGTATGCGTATAAATCTATATTGTATTCCTCTAGAACATCAAAACACAGAAACAAAACCATGCCTTTTACCTTGCGCAACATAGGTCAAAAAAGATTACGTCGATGGACTAAATGATTCCCTCGACCTGGTGCCAATCGGTGCTTGGCACGGCAATGGAAGGAAAGCAGGATGGTAACATCGGAGTATTTATAGTCTGCCCATCTCGATTAATTTATTTTTTCGTTGGTACTTAAACCGCGGTGTATTTGCAGGTACAGTCCTTTCTTGATGGCCTGCTATAACCCCGACACCGAAGAATTCCAGAGTGTCTGCCGCGTCATGTCTGGCTTTTCCGATGCATTTTACACCGAGGTATGAAGCACAAACACAGTCCAATTTGCACCGATTCTGTTACTAATAGAAACCTTCCAGATGAAGGAGTTCTTCTCCGGCGACAAAGTCCTCTCCAAGAAACCACCGTACTATCGAACAGCTGAGGCTGCTGACATGTGGTTTTCTCCCGAGCTTGTTTGGCAGATCCGCGGCGCAGACTTCACAATTTCGCCGGTTCACCATGCTGCCATCGGATTAGTCCATCCGTCGCGAGGTATTTCAGTCAGGTTTCCGAGGTTTATCCAAAGCGTATCGGATCGAAAGCCGGAGGAATGCAGCACAGCTGAAGATATAGCCGATATGTTTGACTCCCAGACGAGAAAAATGGACATAAACATCAAAAAGTAAGAACAGTATTGATTTTCTTAGTGTTTTTTTGTAAAATACGATGTTACTGCAGTCCCGACAACATATGAAATATAAATCGACAACATTAGAATTATAATTAGCTGTATGTTGTCTAATTATATTGTACTGTTGATTAGTGTACTAAAAGACATTCTTAAGTTTTGTAAATGTAGAATTATGTGTGAAATGTATTGAAGGATCGAACTACAAATGACTCTACTCTATATAGTGTTCATTATTACGGGTAAGTGGGGGCCCAATCTAATGCATTAATATTGGGCCGTTAAGCCCAGAGTGGTGACCCAATAAAGGCCCAGTTAAGAGACTCCCGCCAAATTCCAAAACCGGCTACACCCGGTTACGGAAGCAGTAGCCGGTAAGAGGTATAAATTTGCGCCAAAAAGCGCTATATGACATTCACGAGACCCCAAACTCTAAAGCACGCAACAGTCGTGCCTCTCTCTCTCTATCTCTCTTCTCTCTCTCTCTCTCCGGACCGATTCCTTGCTGCCTTAATTCGTCTCTCTTCGTCTTCGCGTCGTCGTTTGCCGGCGCCGTTTCCTTTACATGAAGTTTAATTCGCCTGCAATTTCGTGTTTGAGCAGCTCGAGCGTTGTGGAGGAGGCTCTTATTGTGTTGTAATTCCATTGTTGATGCAATGAATGCGGTGAGCATCACCAATGTGGCGGTGCTGGACAATCCGGCGTTGTTTACATCCCCTCTTCAGTTTGAAATCTCCTATGAGTGCATTGCTCCTCTCAAAGACGGTAATTCTTTGCGTTTCTATCTTTTTTTGGTCCTCCTCCGTGCAATATGAGACGTTTGTTTGAGGAGCGTTTTGTATCCTTATTATTATTTTTTTTTTCCTGTTTGGATTTGTTGTTGGAGTTGTTAGGGTTAGCTTCTTCTCGGATATATATGTGCGGAACTATTGGGCATTGGGAAGTTTAGTTCTTAAAGTTCATGAAATGAATCGATTTGTATAATGTATTTTGTTAGAAATTTAGTGAATTGGTCGAATTTGGTTGCCATTTTAATGAAGCGAAGAATTGAAAAGGGCACGATATGAACTACTTTCCTAGGGCTTTGTTATGTGTTTTCCTTTCTCTGACTCTTAAGCTTGAAACAGTCATCTGACCGACAATGATTTAACATTTCTCTGCGGATACTTTTGGTGGACTCACGCTATAAAATGAAACTGTAAACTGTAGGAGTCAGGTGTTTGGGAAAGAATATAGATCTACTTTATAATTCTAATCGCTTCTTTGGAAACAAAAGTCTTCTTGATGGATCACTTTTTGTAGTTCGCTGGAGATTATGCTGCTCACCATTTTTCCATGATAATTACTGTCTTGGTTAGGGCTGAAAGAACAATGCAATCATTTATTGATTCTGTTCTCATTTGAGACTGTTCAATTTCAACTGGCTCAGCACATTTTGAATCATATTTCTGTTCGCTGAATGCCCTTAAATGTTGATTTTATGAAAATGCAAACCATCTTGCATCCCCCAATATTCCTTGGATAATTTGGTTAACAAACTGATTGCATTTTGGTGAAACTATATATCTATACAGTATCAAGATGGCCATTGATCTATATCAATGAGGCTTTTCGGGTGGCACAAATAACTGCTTATATTCATTACATTAGATAGTTCATCTGTTCATGTGAGTAGTGTCGGGTAGAGTCAGATATTAAAACTGTTTGTTGCATTAAATCAAGTTGTGGTTAATGACTTAAATATACACATGCATGTGTATAAACACTGCTAACTTTTTTGCCCTAAGTCATGGACAACCATGACTGCTTACTAAAAACTTTCTGAATTTGTTCGTTATAAAGCAGGGTATAATTTTCTCGATGAGAAAGTCGGAATTTAAAGTAACTGGAAGCGAGATTAAACTATGTATCCATATACGCTTGAATAGTCAAGAACTATCTAATTATCGCATTAGTCTAGTGATAAGATAAGGTAGAAAAGACAAGAAAATGAACATTATAAGGATTATATACAGCATGTGAAAAATTCTTACTATATTCTCACCATCTGTGGGCTTGTGTTTCCACTCCAGGTGCAAAGTTTCCTTGTAAAAAGATTAATGTCTTTCCGCTTATGCTTACTATCTTGCTCTAGTTTATGATCATTTACCATTATAAGCGGTTAACAACTTGTCGTAATAATTCACTGCTTCTCAAGCAAATTAAAACATCCATGTGATATGATTAGTTTCAATTAGATACTTATTATGCGATTGTTAGGATATGCCAGTGAGGACTCGGGTACAACTATCATTCCTCTACTTCGTCGTCCCTTTCATGCATTTCTAATTTTGTGAAAATTCTCGCATTTGCGCGCCAAAAAAACACCCCCACCCCCATTTGGTTTATTTGTTTTCAGCTCCATGAGCATAACATCTAGATTTTCATTTGCTAAGATGACACTGTAATCTTCTTCTACTTACTAATGATACTTCCTATCCCTTGCAGATTTGGAATGGAAACTAATCTACGTTGGATCCGCCGAGGATGAAACTTACGACCAACTTTTAGAAAGTGTTTTAGTCGGCCCAGTCAATGTAGGAACCTACCGTTTTGTACTGCAGGTTGAATCTACGAAATTTTTGTCAGGTGTTTAATATTTTGCTTGCTTGCCCATGTCTCACACATTCTTTCGCCATTGTTCTCAGGCAGACCCTCCAGATCCCGCAAAGATTCGCGAGGAAGACATACTAGGCGTGACAGTCCTTTTACTGACTTGCTCCTACATAGGCCAAGAGTTCATTCGAGTGGGCTATTACGTGAACAATGACTACACTGATGACCAGCTCCGACAAGACCCTCCTTCGAGGGTTTTGTTGGACAGGATTCAGAGAAACATATTATCCGACAAACCTAGAGTAACAAGATTTCCCATCAGTTTTAACTCTGAAGATGACGACAAGGCTGAGGAAGGAGCTCCTGAACCCGGCCAAGCTGCCGAAGCAGATGGTCCAAAAGAACCGACTATGCAGCCTTTTCCTCATACTCAAATCAGATGAGGGCAAGCCTATAACATGACAGATCTTACCTCTTTATCTTTTTTTCTCATTTCATAGCTGTGTTGATGTGATTGTTTCATTGTCACTTTAGAGTTTCAGCCTCAAGAAAGAGGATTTTCTTCGGGTGCCCAAACAGTTCTCGGCATTCTTCGGGTTTGTTACTCTATAGCTTGCTCTGAGGATGCTATAAGGCTTCATGAGGTATGTTTTGCAGCTTTTAATACTTACAAACACTACAATGTCAAAGCAGTTGAGGAGAACACAATTTGTAGCTATCATAACAATTTTGAATATTCTTGTGTTCATTGGCAGTCAATCTAAGAACATGCTATGATTTCAAATTTTGTGTATCATAAGGCTTAAACTCATTTAGGATTCGGGCAAAATTGAAAACATAATCAGAGAAAAGCAAAGATTGTCTGATTGTATTTAGTTTCTTGTCTTGCACAAAATTTACCTATTACAAAAATCGGAAGGCAGAATACTCGTTGTCATCACCATCATTCGTTCTTCTGCCTCTTCCCTCGTTTCTCTGATGATGGCCTCGCTTTACCCGATCTTGTATCCTGTATGTTGTTTATGAAATTGTGTTATGCATTATTGGCCTTCAGGGCTCGAATTTATTACATCTCAACAATAGTAAGGTGCGTAATACCTGTTTTGATCTCTTCCTCTGTTTCCATTGCCCTTTGCCTTTTTTCTTTGATTTAGTTGGGCTCTGTTAAGATTAATGTGTTCGAAAGTGGTGAATAACAGAACAAAGGAGATGGGAGTAAGCCTATCTGCACAATCGTGACATGATGTATATATATACCTTCGTAGAAACAGTACTAGTATCATCATTATCATGATGAATCTCACCCTCGATCCGCCCCTCACTGTTGAGCATAACCTTAAGCCTCCCTTCTTTATATAATTTCTCAGACCGGGCATGCCGCTGGAAAGGGGACAAAAAACTAATGTTATCGACTACCTCAAGAGTGCATTAAGTTCAACCCCACAATAGCCACAATGAGTGTGATTATAAAAGATATTATACACTTGCCTTGGAGCTTAGATGAGCCTTTAGTGTCTCCTCGGACAAGCAGACAATCCTAGGGCAGAGCCTGCACTTGAACACTGATTTGCATTTTACGACACAATCTTTCACATCGAAGGGGCTCTCATCTTTTTCGGGACTCTGCGGTGCTTTCTCAAACACATTTTCGACTTCATCAGTAGCAAAAGCTCCAGCACCATTTTGAGCTCCAACATCATCATCACTCGAGGCCATACCTGCCAAAAAATCATTCTATTCAGGAAATGAAGGAAGATTAAAGAACTGTGAAAAGCATTTGCATCAAAATATGAGGCAATAGTTATACCATGCACCCATAGAGTGTTTCAAGGAAATAAAATTAACAAAGAGAACTTTGCAAAATCCATATCTAATGTATCAACTTATCCTCAAAATCGCTCTCTTGTTAGTTTTCAGATATCCTATTAAATCCTAAAACCATGCCTGCACTAATCTTCTACAGTCATGGATATAAAATTAAAAATGAATCCCCTGATGTTGAGTGTCCACATTTGAATCGACTAGCAGTTTAAACAAACTTTTGCAGTGTCGAATACATTTTAATATCAATGAATATGTATACATCTTCTGCAGCAAGTGATGGGAAAAGCACGTCTAAATTACAGTTAAGGTAGTAGTCTAGCCTTTCATATGTCAAGCTGATGAGTAACCAATGGCATGAATAAAAGACAAATTCCTAGTCACTATCGATGCCAAACAAAATGATAACAATGTATTATATGTTAAATCAACAAAGAAACCATGTTGCAACCGATATCATTAGGAGAAGGATGAATTCATTTACAATATCAATATTCATGTCAAAGAGAATGGTGTACAGCAACATTACTTATCAAGAAGATCAGTGAAGAACGCATTCCTTCTAGTGAAAGTTCAAATATTTATAGAAACTATACATTATTTGGTCCAATCAGAATTACATCAAAAATAAAATAAAAGAATTTGTTATGAACTTTCCCAAAAGCTGTAACAGAAACAAGAAGATGAGAACTGATTTAACCTGATGAATCAAGATTGACTTCATTTGCTGAACTATCCTCGCTCTCGTAACCTGAAGAAGCGAATACAAATAAAATAACCTTGGCAAAAACAGAGGTTACATTATAAACAGTCTAGTTATCACAATCTAAGCTTTTAGAATATACCAAGAACGATCAAAGAAAACAATCTAATCAAATAATATACCTACATCAAGTAATGTCCATGGAATTACTAGTGAAAGTGTTTTTCAACCAGAAGAATTGGCAAATAAATAGATATATGATCACAATGATCAAGTATGCATAGCACAGATCATAAGAATGCTTCACAAACCAGAAGAAGAAGTTTCTCCCTTTCGCCTTACAACAGCATTTTCATTCTCCTCCTCCTCCTCTTCTTCTTCTTCTTCATATTCTGTTTCATCAGTGGCCTCTACCTCCACTTCAGAGTCAGATGAAGAAGATTCAGAGGGAGCATCCTTATCACCATGTTCATACCTGTAGAACCTCCTCTTTATCATTCTTTATCACCTCTTTATTCTCAACTGAAAAGTATAAAAAAGGAGTAAAATCAGCACTAAAGACTTGCTCAAAGTAATTACAAAATAACTTCCATCTACAAATATAGACTAGTTCTTCCAAGCTCGAAGCTTTTATCTTCGGACTAATACAAATAACCATCACCTACATTAATGCATCTCAAATCCAATTAATCTCTTCCTGGAGTCTTCAAAGTAGCTTAACGTATTTCCACAGGAGGTATTTAATTCACGCAAAGCACAAATTGTTGGAATACAAAAACATTAGATTGTAAGCTAGAAATAATTTCACCAACGCTCAGAGCATCGGAACGAAACTGTATAGACATATTTCTCTCGCAAAGTGCATAAACATTCAATAAATTCAAACCAAGCCAAAATTTCCTGGAACAGAAAAGTAGTGCTTCCAAATATGTATCTCTCTAACTGCGAATTAGTAAGAGTCCATTAAATGCCAGAGGTATGGAACCAGAGAAGATACCTGAAAATTCGAACGGCTGCTTGCGATGTCTCAGCGATATCTCAGCGTCCGCGACGAAGAAGAAAGGGAAAGGGTTTTGGAGGAGCAGAGAAGGGATCACCTGTATATGCATATACGTAGGCCTGCAACGTGGCTGTTTCTGATTGGCTGTCACAGCCTTTCGCCCCGTAACGTTTGTTAAAGCTACTCGGGGAGTGTTTGATCCAGACTTGCCCATTCGGTTTCGAACTGAAACCGGACACAAACCGAACCGAAACCGTCTTTTCGACGGTTCGGTTTCAGTTTGGGATTTTCTCAAACCGCAAATTGCTAGTTTACGGTGTGAACCGGGCGATTTAGCTTCTTTTTTTTTTTTTTTTTTTTTTCTAATCTCACCATGGCAGGGGCAGGCAGGCGCACAGAAAAAGAAGAAGAAGAGGAAAAGAGGAGAGGTCCGAGGTTGGAAGAAAAAAGGTAAGAAATGAGAGGAACTGAGAAAGAAGGAAGGAAGAGGGAGAACCTGTTTGTGCCTGCGGTGGAGTGTGGATGTAATGCCTAAGTAGCCATTATGATTAAATTGTGTGTATTTTATAAATATATCATTATATTTATAATTAAAATTTAAAATATAACAATAATAATATTAATACATATAAATAATTATTACTAATATTAAAAAATAATAATACTATTAATATTTTTTATTTTATATTTTATATTTTATAATTTTTTATTATATAATTATATATAATTTAAATTATTTTATTATCTATTATAATATTTTTATAATTTAATTATTTACTATATTTATTATTTTAATTATTTTTATAGTGTAAAAATTTAATTAATTATTTATATATATGATTTTTATATAATAAATAAATAATAAATATATCTAAATAAAATTAAAATGAAACTTAATTATTTTTAAATAAAATTCAAATTTTTAGAAAAATAGAAAATAAAAAAGAAAAATATTAAAAATGAGTATATATAAACCGGAAGTTCAAACCGTAATCGGCGGTTTATAAACTATAATTGAAACCATCAAACCGTAACCGAAATCGTCATTCGGAATGTTCGATTTTGGTAATATTTTAACAAACCATAACCAGCGGTTTGAACCGTTTGGGCAAGTCTAGTTTGATCGGCCGGCTTGGTTTTTGAGTTAGAAATTTGAATAAGAAAAAATTTGAATTTAAATAATTGTATGATGTGATATAAATAAGTGTTAACGTGATACTTTGAATAAAAAATTAATTTTTAATGTAATATAGAAATAAAAAATAAATATTTGATTTGATATTTTTGAAAAATAAAATTAAATAAATAGTAAAAATCTTACAAAATCCTCCAAACGAACACACCTTTAATGGACTAATAAGTTAATAAGATAATAATAATAATAATAAGGTATTTTATTATTGTTTTATATAAGTAATACTATTAATATTGTAATAAAAATTCATATATATTATTAAAAAATTAAATATATTTAAAAGTATTTTATATATTATATTTTAATAAAATATATATAATATATTATTATTTTATACAGAATAAAATTTTATATATACAAATAAAAATTTATTTATTTATTTATTTATGATTAATACTACATTCTCCGTCCACAAACTAATGTCCTGCTTGAGACGTTGAATAACTATTGTTATTGTCATGTTTCTTTTTTTATAATACAAATTTTACATTTTTACCCTTAATTCATTAAGCACAAATTTGTCCATTCATTAAAAAAAAAAAAAGAAGACAATCACTAGAAAATCATGCAAATATACTTTCAAATAATCGAAATTGAACATAAAGAGTATAAATTAATTTTATAAGCAAATAAAAGATTTAAATATAGATAAAAAAATATTTATTTATAAATTAAATAGATAAATAAAATGATTTTGAATGAGTTCTATTTTGAAATTTAATTAAATTGATTTACATGTATTAATTATATTCAGATTGATGTATTGGTGAATCTTGTATTATTTCATCGTTATCGTATAGGTAAGATCTGAAGGCATCAATATTTAAACCCATGACCTCACAGTCACGAGTCAATTCACACACCACTAAAACTATATTATAGTCATGATTGCAAACATAGAAGAGGTGAAAATGTACGAAAATGTTAATATAGTGTCATAGAATTTTCTCGAGTATATTCAAGAGAAACTAACGTTTGTTTGCTTTGTTTGAATTTTCTAATATACTTTTTACAAAAAATAATATATTACACACATTTATTATTTTTATATTATTCATACAATTTTTTATAATTCACATAAAAAAATTTCTTCAAATCATAATACAAAACAAACAAACACTCGAATTTAGTGAAGACACCAGCACGATGCATGATTAATATATATTTTGGGCAAAATTTACTGAAAACCCCTGAACTTCTTAAACTCCAAAAAAAATCTCTTGTGGTTTCCAAAATGTTGCAAAAAACACCCTATCCGTTAGGATTTAACAGTGGTTATATATTACGCGTGTGCTATACGATTTTTTTTTGTCCATATTTCTGTATAAAATTACTAAAATACCCTAATGACTACTGTTTACACCATCTTCTTTCTTCCTTATTTTTCTTCATACTTTAAAAATTTAATCTCAATTTTTTTTTTCATTTTAAATCCGTTAAACATAAATAAATTTGAAATCGATCCTAAATTTATTGTTCACTGACGATTTCTTCTTCTGTTTTACCAAACTCAGAAATCTAAAAAATCAATTTGACATCCAAATTTGAAATTAATGTAAGAAGAAGGAAAATAATTTGATGTTGCTGGTTGCAGAAGAAAAATTGAGGAGGAAAGAAGAATTGAAGAGGAAAAATTAAGAAGAAAAAAATTGGAAAAGAAAGAGAGAAAGAAAAAAAAAATTGGAGAAAAAAAAAAGGAAAAAAAACTTGGTCCAAGTAGCTTCTTCTTCTTTCTTTTCTTTTTCCTCTTCTCTTCTTTCTTCTCTTTCTCTTCTTCCTTCATTCTTCCTAACTCCAGCCGTTTCTGCCCGTCGTCTTCTTTCTCTTTTTATTATTTTTCAATTCTTCATTCTTCAAAGAAGAATTTGAAATGAAGAAGAAGAAAAAAAAAATGGAGAAAAAGAATAAAAGAAAGAACCAAGTGAGGCTGCGGAGGCGGGGGCGTGAAAAAGAATCGAGGAAAAAGAAAAAAAAATTGGAAAAAAATCTGCATGTGAAAAAGAATTTGGGGAAAGAAGAAGATGGAAAATCTGGTGCTTTGGGAAGAAGAGAAGAAAGAAAGAAAAGAAGAGAGAAATAAATTAATATATAGATAAATATGAGTATAACGGTCAAATATGATAAAATTTAGCGTTCGTTAGTCAAATTTAGAGATGGGGGAAAGTGTGCAATATTTTGGAAACCACAAGTACATATTTTAGAATTTTAAAATCACGGGAAGTTTTCAACAAATTCGAAAAACCACCGGGAAAATTTTTGCTATTTTGCCTATATTTTGGATCAAAACATTCAACAAAATCAGAATTATTAACAAATGTAGAATCTTTAATAACCATATACATATTTCAATAGATTGACATCTTATGAAAAAACAGCAACAATACCCTCTACATATTACAAGAGATCTAAGATAAACAATTATCAAAATATTTCACAAAATTATAATAAGAAAATTTTTAATAGACATAGTCAAATTAATTGTGTGTTTGTTTAGTTGAAGTTGCTTTTTCGGTGAGGTATAAAACAATATATTAATTTTTTAGGTGACGCCTGACAAAATAGGGCGAAAGTTTAAAAATCATATTACATTTGCTCCACATATCATGTTACATACCGTTACCGTAAACATGAAAATTTAGGAGTAATATAATTAGAAATAATTAAAATATATTTGTAAAAATAGTTAGAGTACAATACAAATAATTATATATTAATATTAAAATAATTAATTAGTTTAATTAAGAATAAAAATTTAAAAGTAAAAAAATTAAAATGTGTAATTTTTTTTTAAAAAGGAAAGTAACATGAAATGTGAGGCGAATATAAACGACAATATAGACACAATACGGACATAAACATCAATATTGACATAATAATTGAGACTGACAAGAACGACTATATAGAAATGATACATAAGACGGACATAAACGACAATATAAACACGATATGTTGTATGAATAAAAACAGCAATATAGCACATGATAGCCGAACATAAATGGTTGCATGGACACGATACATGAGACAAACAAAAACGGTAATATAGTAAAATAGAAAGAATATTTCGTATAAAATTATTGATTATTTCAGCATTTTATTTATATTGTGTGCATATATTGTATTAATTTATAATATTTATCGAAAATTGAATTTGTAACTTCTATTGTATTGTGCAAAACTAACACGAGATAAAGAACATGCTACTATTTATTTAAAAGACATTAATATTATCAATCAAAAAAACAATTAATGATATATATGGCCATAAATTTAGATTTGAAAATTTAAATATTATTTGATATTGTAGAAATAAATATTTAATACTTTCTCCGTCTCGGAACAAGGGTGGCGTTTGTTTTTTGCACGTAGATTTTTGAATATTAGTATTATAATGGATTGTAGTGAAAAAGATAAAAATACCCTTATTAGTATTGTATAATATAAAAGTAATGTCATTGTGTAATATAGTGCAAGTTAGAAGGTTATTTATTATGTTAGGTAAGTAGTACAATTACTAAATTAGGAAATGGTAACCTTGTTTTGAGACGGACAAAAATGAAAAATGACAACATTTCAATGAGACGGGGAGAGTATAATATTTTAAATACAATATATATTTTTTAAAATATATTAAATCAAAATAAATATTTAATTTAATAATTTAACAATTAATAATCAACAGTGAAAATCAAACCCGCTATTAAAAGATTCAAACCCTCAACATTTGACTAACGGCTACTGTTACGGAAATTTCCAGGAAATCAAGATGAAATAACAAAGACAAAAGAACACAAGATTTGGTAACCCAGTTCGATCACGATGATCTACGTCTGGGGGCGTTGCCAAGCCAGGAATTTTACTATAAAGTACGCAAGCTCATGTTAAAGTGAGAATACATGGATATTTATAGCCTAAGCCTTTGACAATAATATAAATCATATATATAAAATCTAAAATATAATATTCAAATCATATCCCTAGATTTTAGGATATAATCAGGCTTCATATCCCAACAACTACATTCAACTATTGCCGCGCCTACAATTGAATTGCATGTGCATGTACACGTACATGTACTCAGTGTGTGCGAGAGAGCCAATCAAATGGCCCGACTCGAGTCCGATAGGATATTTTGAAGTTTTAAAAAATTTACAAATAATTTTGTTTTAAAAATTATTGTAGATGAATAATTTAAAAAAAAATGCTTTATCATTGCCTTGACAATTTATCTATTTTTCTATTTTGGTCCGTTCTATAACAAAGTATTCAATTCATTTTTTAGTAATTATACTATTTATTTAATATTACAAATATCTTTCTAATTTACAATATATTACATAAATGACATTACCTTTATATCATACAATACTAATAGGGTTAATTTAGTCTTCTTACCTTTATTTCTACTTTATCTCACTATAATACTAATATTTCTAAAATTTCGTGCAAAAAGCAAATTGATATATAAATATAAGACGGATGGAGTATGTGAAAAGAGATTGATTTTAGTCTTTTATGCTATATAACTATTACGATTTTCTTTAAAATATGGTATTACTTTTATTTTACAAAATACAATTTTCCGATTTAGTAATTAAGTATCTATTTACTTTTTGTATGTTCATTTTGGAATATTGATTAGTATATCAAAACATATTACAAATTAAGAAAAAATGACAAAAATACTTCTACTAGTGTCTTATAATACTAATAAAATGATATTTGTATAAAAAAAATTATACAAATATAAGAATTTCTTTTTAATCAGAAAATATAGATATATTTTACTGTTAAGTAGAATGATGCAAATAAAATACAATTTCAAACTGAACATAAAAATACTCTAAACTAATACAAAAATAAATAAATGAAATATTACTCTCTTTGCTCATTTTTTTTTTTAATCCAAAAACATTCTAGTTTTTTATTAGTAAACATAAATACTACTTTTTTCCCTTTTCTATTTACTATAATTTTTTATTTATATATTTTTTCTACTTTTGGTAAAATTCATGCCCGATCAAACGGATATAAATTTATATGCGTGAGATATTGGATGCAGACCGTCTTTATTAAAAATTCAAACGGTCATGTAAACGCAATCATTAATTATTTATTCACAAAAGGAATGAAATAATATTTTGCATGGACAGAAAAATCTTCACACCACCGAGCAATTAATTGTTTTTTGACCCATCAATTCCAACACAGAGTCAAAGAAAAAATATCATCCACAAAGCAGTATGCTCTACATGGACTAGTGAAAAAAAACTAGTAACATGGATTCTGGTCTAAGGCTGGATCAAGAAAATCTTCAAGCTAGTATCGCATAAAAAATATTGAATAAATAAAAATAAAAATTATAAAAAATAAAAATAAAATCGTAAAAGCTGTAAAAAATGTGATCGAATGGTGTGAAATGAACTTATAATCGTAAATTTAATTTTATATAGTGTAACTTACTTTGCTAACTTAACCCTCGATTTTTATTATTATTATTTTTTCATTTGGCCATATTTATTTGCTTCTTTTGATTTTTTTTTAATTTTTGTTTTAAAGATTATATAATATGTAATTAATTAGAATCATATAGTAGTCCTATGTAATTAATTATGCAATTTAGAGTTATATAATTAATAATGTATTTTTTTTTATAAAAAAGAACTTATCTTTTAGGTGGGATAGACTACATAGTATTCCTATGTAATTAATACTCAGTATTATATTTTTCTGTAAGTTTAATTTTTTAATTAAAAATGATCATTTAATTAGAGGTGTTTTGATATTAGATAGGAGAAAATATATCGATTTAATAATTTCTATTGAAATATTAATTTTTTGTGTGCTGATAATTTATTATATTGTAGTATATTTTATAATATTAATTAAAAAATATGTATGTTAAACACAAAATTTTTTAACAAAAAAAATAATAAAATTTGGACATAAAAACAATACATAAAATTAAAATAAATTAAAATGGTGATCTTCAATAACTTTTTTTTAAAAAAAAATTGTATGTGATTGAAGAGTTTTAAATTGTTGATATTGTCACATTTTTAAAAAGAGCTTTTATTGAACAGTTGAGAATTGATTATTTTATTTTATTTTACTTTTTTTCTATAACGTTGGAAATCGCAGTCGTTGTCGAAAGTACGCACGGGTTAACTTCTGCTGAATCTAATACTGTGTAAATTAGGTCAGACAAACAAGTTTCGATTCATTTGGTTAAGACAGTCTAAAAACCATCTGTTGGGAATAAGCCATAAAAAATCGATTTCACTTTTGTTGTTTGCTTAACCCCCAAGTCTGGTAAACACTGTCTTTATCGGCTGGATCGGACTTTAACAATTCACTGGTTTTTCATTGAATATTTGCCGAAATTGAAGGCCGACTTTCAAAGTGTAATAATATCCAAAATAATAATAATAATGATAATAATAAAATTATTTAGTGAATACATCTCTATGTAGGTACATTGTTCACATTGGACACTATTACTTTCCCATCGCATTTCCTAGCTGCCTTCGTACATATATTCCATAAACTCAAATTAAAAAGGCAAATTGATTTATACTTTCGTGGTTTTAATTTTGTTTTCACACTACTTATAATATATTACAAAAATTATAATATTACATTAAAAAAAATTCGAAGAAATACAGCCTAGATGTCTTTATCCAAATTTTCAAATATAAATAATGTATTGGAATATCGTCTGAGATTAGGCTGCGTGACCTGCCACGTCATATTTAGAAATAAATACTATAATTGAATGGAAATTTCCCGGTAAAAACAAGCAAATAGGTCAACAAATACTATTGTATTTTCGCTTAATATGAAATAAATTGGCCAGCAATAGCTTGCCTACTTGCTATTAATATTCATATATTATTATTATTATTATTATTATTATTATTATTATTATTATTATTACCTTTTATTTTTCCAGTGATTATTTATTATTACTACTATAGTTATTATTATTGTTGCAATTGTAAAGCCGTGAAAAAATGAATTATATTGTAAAAATAGCTTCAGCTGCCCACTTTTATATTTATCTAGAAATATGCTATGATTATTACGTGTATATATATATATTTTCGCCATCACTATTACTATTATTAACTATATTCCAACTTTCAGTTAACTATATGTAATTTTTTTTCCTTTCTAAAATTCGGTATGCTTAAGCTTTGTCTGTTTGTTTTTTTTTTTTTTTTTTTTTTTTTTTTTTTTTTTTTTTTTTTTTTTTTTTTTCAAATCCAAAACTATACCGTCCTTTTGGTTCAATTTTCATTAAGAAAAAGAGAGGAGGAGATTAGGTATTGATTTTAAAATATCACCACCCAATTCTTTCCAAATATATATATATATATATATTATCTTATCTTACAAAATATTAAATTAAAAAAATTAATTTCAAATCAAAATTATATAGGAGGGTTTTCATTATTTTGTAAACATTTTATCTGTGGCTTTTACAAAATTTCTAACATAATATTACAAAGATAAAGAAAAATGTGTGTTTACATGTGAGGTTTTGATTTTAAATTGAGATTTGAATAATAAAAATTTTGAATTTGAATTGTTGTATGATATGTTGGTACGATGTTTTGAATGTAAAATTAATTTTTAGTATAATATAAAAAATAAAAAATAAATATTTGATTTGATTTTTTTTTTTAAAAAAAAAATAAAATCAATAATATATTTAAAATTCAATCCTCAAACAAACACCCACCCGAGTAGTAAATTATAGCAAATGTTAAAGAATTTGTTTTTTCTTTTAAAAGAAATCATATTCTATTCTATTCAGCCGTATTATCTTTTTATAAAATATGACATTAAAGAAGAAAAAAAAAAAAAAAAAACGAAGAATCTGTATTAAATGAATCACATTATAAAGTAGAATCGATGTTTGCCTCGGGAAGTTGCAAAATTACAGGAGCGTGCGTGCACGCAAGCCGTACTCGTTCTTCGTACGGGTTGACTCGGCCTGCTCATTAAAATCGGAATGCTTTCATAGTAACCCGGCGGAGAAGTTCGATCACCATTACTGAAGTGGTGTTTTCTATCCGTTCTCTCTGGAAGAGAAATGGAGAAGGAAGGCCTCGTGCGCAACCATTGCGCCGGCGGAGGCGGAGGCAGGAGCTTGTTCACGGCGTGCGCCGGCGACCTGAATCGGGTCAACTGGATTGCTCTCCCTATGATAGTCGTGACCGTTTCTCAATTTCTGTTGCGCGTTTCCCCAATGTTTATGCTCGGGCATTTGGATGAACTGTCGTTGTCGAGCGCCTCCATCGCAACCTCCATTTGCAATGTCACAGGATTCAGCGTTGTGGTAAGGATCTATTGTTCATGAGATTAATTGTGCGAAAAGTCGGTTAATCGATTCGATTTTGCAGTTCGGAATGGCGAGTGCGTTGGAAACCCTATGTGGCCAGGCGTACGGAGCGGCGCAGTATAAGAAATTGGGGACATTCACCTATGGTGCGATTCTATGCCTCTTTGTAGCGTGCATACCGTTGTCTCTTCTCTTCGTCTTGACGGAGAAGCTGCTGCTGTGGACGGGGCAGGATCCTGAAATCTCCGCCGGCGCCGGGAAGTTTGCGATTGAGCTGATTCCGACTCTGTTTCCTTACGCAATTCTTCAGTGCTTAGTTCGTTACTTACAGAGCCAGAGTTTGGTCCTTCCAATGGTTTGGAGCTCATTAGCTTCTTTAAGCTTTCAGTTGCCTCTGTGTTGGACATTGATATTTAACCTGAATCTGCGAAGCAGCGGAGCTGCAATGTCGATCTCAATCTCGTATTGGTTCAACGTCGTCGTGCTGTTGCTCTATATGAGGTATTCCCCTGCCTGCAGGAAAACTCGAGCTTCCTTCTCGCCGGACTGTTTTTCATCTTCCAAGGAATTCTTAGGCCTGGCAGTCCCCTCTGCAGCCATGGTTTGGTATAATCAATAACTTCCATAACTTTGTTCTACAACATATTTAGTTTCAAAACTCTGCAGATTGCACTGACAATGAATTTGTGATGCAATTCCTTCATCATCGATCATCGAATTTTTTTGCAGCGTGGAGTGGTGGTCTTTCGAGCTAATACTATTGCTTTCAGGAATGTTACCAAATCCAAAATTGGAGACATCAGTTTTCTCCATATGGTATTCCTCTTTCGACTTTTCATCGTATTCAATACATAATTCCATGCCGGAATCTAACACATCTGCTTCCCTCTGTTTGCAGTTTCACCATTTCTTATCTGCACTACCACATCCCCTATTCTTACGGCGCCGCAGCAAGGTCTATTCTCGATCCAATCGTAACCTACATTACAGCTTCCCATATACACTACTAATAACAAAACAATCTGCTCATCTCTACAGCACGCTGATCTCAAACGAGTTCGGCGCAGGGAACCCCCGCTCCGCCAAAATTACCCTCTACGCAGTTCTAGCGCTATCGATTGCAGAGTTCCTAATCGCCAGCATTTCAATAATGGCCTCAGGCCACGTACTCGGATATGCATTTAGTGAGTCGAAAGAAATAGTCAGCCGTGTCGAACTAATGGCTCCTTTCCTCAGCCTCTCCATCATCATGGATAGCTTGCAGGCTGTGCTTTCAGGCGTTGTCCGGGGCTGCGGCTGGCAGCACATTGGCGCCTATGTCAACCTCGGATCTTACTATCTGGTTGGCACTCCGGTGGCCTTACTGCTGGCGTTCGTTTTCCACCTCAACGGCCGAGGCTTGTGGAGCGGATTGCTAGCCGGCACAACGGTCCAATGCATCGCCCTGTCGGCGGTCACTGGACTCACAAACTGGGAAAAACAGGTATCATTTTGAATCATATTGGCTCTCCATAGTTACTTGGAACTTATCTGTTGAACACACCATTGGAATGTTTCCTTTAGGCTTTGGAAGCACGGCAGAGGATCTTCTCCGGGACACCTCCGGCTTACCAACCCCAAAGCTTGGTAGAGATTACTTGACATTTATTTATTGCATAATTTCTAATTGCAATGATCTAAATAATATATGAAATCTTTATGTTTATATATTTGTCTGGGTAAATATTTTTTATCTAATTTTTCTGATACGAAATTGAGTCATGCAAAATTTGAGGTGGAAATCTAATCAACTTCAAATTGATGGGGGCCTAAAAGGGTTCCATTTGGTCTATTTCAGCAACCCTTCAATATATGTAATATATATATTGTTTATTAGCATGGTGGTTATTATATTTGAATTAGTTTGTATAAATTAATGTAAAGATGTTTGCTTTTATTATTATTATTATTATGATACTTTGATAGTGGTTAGTATTTTTATTGAAGTTGATGGGTGGTGTCTTTAGTTGTACTTAATTAAAATGGCCATTGGGTAACCTATTTTGTCTCTTTGCTTTAGTGATGCTGAAAATGATTAGTGCCTTTTTAGGAATTTAATTCATTATTAAGTTTCATTATTGGCGACGAGTCTATGAGTAAGGTTGGGGTATTGAGTTTGCATTTGTCTTTTGTATTTAGATAATTAATGAAAAGAATGTTCTTAAAGTAAATTAAAAGCATCGGAATTTCAACCCATAATTTTATGATTAGAAGTTCATCCTTGTACAAAAAATAACAATTTATAAAGTCGGCCTGCCAGCTCAGCACTGGCTGGGCCCAATATAGTAATATGACACAAGAGAGTTATGTTACCGTGGTCTATTATTGCAACAAGCCTAAAAGCCCACTTGGATCCAATAGCTTAGGGCCGTCAAAGTAATAATAATACACCTCCGTCTCACATACCGTGTCTGCTACACTGTGGACACGGTATTTTAGGAGTGGTATAATTAGTAAATATATATAATTATAAATTAAGATTAAAATAACTAATTAGTTTAATTAAAATTAAAAAAATAAATTAATTAAAAAATTTAAAGTGAGATTAAAGTGTGTAATCATTTTTCAAAAAAAGAAAAAGTGACACGGAATGTTGGACGGACAGAAACGGCAACGTAGACATGGTACGTGGGACGGAGGGAGTAATACGTCTGATTTTGTTGGATGTGAAGGGATCGATATTTTAAAAAATTATTGTTATTATTATTATTATTAGAAAAAAATCAATTTTGGTCTCAATATAATTAAAATTTATAAATTTTGGTGTCAATATAAAAATGTCATCAATTTTAGTCTAAATGTAAACATTTTCAATCAATTTTGGTCTCATTATAAACAATTTCAATCAATTTTGGTCTCACCGTTAAAAAAAATTAACGAAAATAGCTGACGTGGACATAACGGAGGTGACGTGACAGTTGACCCGAAAAGTACACGACCATGTACAATTATACACGATTATGTTGTAAACTTACATTGACGCTTTAAAATTGTAAACAAAAATCTTAAAATTGAAGACTTCTGGGTTATTTCAAGTTAAATGTACTGAATAAATCGCATATTGGTATATTATACTCTAAAATATGGCAAAAACTTTTATTTATACATTTCAAATTATTCAACGTATGTTACTTTTAAAATTGCATATTTACAATGACCATATCATAATATGAAACACCAATGGAATAATATTTATGATACTAATTTGAGGTTTTGGAAATTTAGAAAAAAAAATTCTCTTCTATATTCATTTAATTTTTGGATGCATATTTAGGTATATTAGTATTTTATAGACGTTTAGTATAATAAATGAGTGTTGAGTATATTTTTATCTCTAGCATTAATGGAATTTTATAATAAACAGAAGTATTTTAGTATTTACTTAATAATTTTTTTAGTTAAAAATGAAACAATACTTTTGATTCGGACAACTAATGACAAAATGAATACATTGAACTATTTATTCTCTCCGTCATTATGTTTTTATTCATTCGTTTTTTTTGACAATTAACTTACATAATTGGGACGAAAATAGTACTACCTCCATTCCAAATATTTTGCAATATATATATATTTTTTGTTCTAAATTTACTGCAATATTTCAAATTTAGAAATAATTATTTATATTTATATATATATATATCTATATTTTACTTTATTCAATCACATCATTCAAATAGTAATAATAAAAAAATGTATCTCTTTCCAATTATATCACATAATATTCAAATTATCTCAAATTATTTTATTTAATATTATCTACTTAAATTTCTGTGCCGAAATAAAATATTGCATGATGTTTAAAAGGAAAAAAATAGATATTGTGTAAATAGTTATAAACAAATTGTATAGTGTTGTCATTTGAATATCAAATATTTAATTTTTATTAAAAAGAAATAAATACAAACTGTCGTCTAATACCAAACCCTGAACAGTCTCGTATCATGACCAAATAGGTAAGTAAAGATTAAGACAGCTTTGGAAATTGATAGGGTATACGTCAAAGTTTCCGAGGTAACCTTAAACCTAGACATGTAGGTCAATCAATAGGTTCCGACAAGTGTCAGATGCCTAACATGCCACGTATGACTGCCGTTGGATCAGAAAAGAATGGACGGCTGTGATCAAATTGTAACTCTTTTCCGCAGAGTTACTTATTTGTAAGAACAAAATCTGGATCATAATTCATGTGCGCGGGACGCACGTGCGCGCGCGCGTGCGTGTATAAATAGCACCGGCAAATGTGACGATCCACCTGGTTGGATCCTGCGAGGCAATTATGGAGGCAGAGCTGCCGCTGTTGACGGAATCGAATCGGAAGGCGGAATGGGGAACGATTTCCGGGGAGTTGAATCGAGTCAATTTCATCGCCTTGCCGATGATTGTTGTGACGATATCGCAATACCTTCTGCGTGTGTCGCCGATGTTTATGTTAGGGCATGTGAGTTCTCTCGCTCTCTCCAGTGCTTCAATCGCTACCTCTCTTTGCAACGTTACGGGATACAGCGCGCTGGTATGGCTCTACCCTTCTGTTCCTTTCAACGATTTGGTCGATTTTCGCACGTTTAGGTCTAATTGAAGTATCGTTTAGTCTATTTTTTTTTCAACTGATGAATCTGCGTTGTCAATTTGAGTAGTTTGGCATGTCGAGTGCTCTGGAAACTTTGTGTGGTCAAGCATATGGAGCAAAGCAGTATCGGAGAGTTGGAACGTTTACGTATGGGGCTATTTTGTGCCTCTTTTTGGTTTGCATACCGATTTCTGTTCTGTGGATCTACACGGAGGAATTGTTGTTGCTCGTAGGGCAGGATCCTTTGATTTCGGCTGAAGCAGGGAAATTTGCGATTCTGCTAATCCCTACGTTGTTTCCGTACGCTATTCTTCAATCTGTGGTTCGATACTTGCAGACTCAGAGTTTGGTCCTTCCAATGCTTTGGAGCTCGTTAGCGTCGCTCTTCTTGCAATTGCCCCTTTGTTGGTCGTTTGTGTTCAAATTAAACCTAGGAAGTGTTGGAGCAGCACTGTCCATAGGGATATCGTATTGGTTTAACGTCATTTTGCTGCTGCTTTACGTGAAATACTCTGCAGACTGCCAGAAAACCATCGCTCCATTCTCCAGAGAAGTTTTTACAACCGTGAAGGAGTTCTTTCAATTTGCTCTACCCTCAGCTGTGATGGTTTGGTACTTTCACTTTCGCCATTTCGCTTGCATTCCGTTTTTTCTAGTGACAATTAGCGGATTGATTGTGATTGATTTACAAATTATAGTTAACAGTAACACACTTGCATTTGATGACTACAGCCTCGAGTGGTGGTCGTTCGAGCTAGTAGTATTGCTTGCAGGATTGCTGCCAAATCCACAACAAGAGACATCAGTTTTATCTATATGGTATCCTGTTTTTGTTCTTAGTGTAAAATGGTTTATGATCGATGATTATATGCACATTCGTAACATCGGAAACTTTGCTTGTGTACAGCCTCACAATTACTTCATTGCACTATCACTTCCCATATTCTTTCAGCGCTGCTGCAAGGTCCGCTAAAATTTCATCACTGCTATTTCTGCTAGCATCTGATCAAGATAATACACATTAGATAGTTAATGCATACTCTGGACTTTGACTCGCAGCACTTTGGTCTCGAATGAGCTCGGAGCAGGGAAGCCGGAGGCAGCTAGAGTTGCAGTCTGTGCAGTTTTGGTTCTATCCACTGGAGAGTTTCTAATAGCAGCCATCACTATATACATTCTCCGAGGTCTACTCGGCTATGCATTTAGTAATGAGAAGGACATTATCGATCGCGTGAAACAAATGGCTCCTTATCTTTGTGTGTCCATTCTCATGGATAGCTCACAAACCGTGCTCTCAGGTATTGGATTCTGGTTTGATTTCCAGCAAGAATCCATCTCACTAAAATCCCTTCTTATGATTGCTGCAGGAGTTGCTCGAGGCAGCGGAATGCAGCATGTAGGAGCTTATATCAATCTTGGGGCTTACTATCTCGTCGGCATCCCCGTCTCGTTAGTGCTCGGATTTGTGTGTCACCTCAAGGGAGAGGGTCTTTGGATTGGATTAGTAGCAGGAGCCATGGTGCAAACTGTGTTACTTTCTATGATAACATGTCTCACAAGTTGGGAAAAACAGGTACTTATACAGCAGCAGCAGCAGCAGCACATATGGCACATATATATATATACATGTATACCCTGAAGTCTTATTGCAATATTTTGTATTGTATGGTAACAACAGGCAGGGGAGGCAAGGGAGAGGATTTTTGCAGGGGATTCTGTAGCAGAAACTGAAAGACAGTGATCGAATGAAAGGTGCAGGTAATTGGAAGATTCATATTTAATTTTGGGTTTCTTTCCAAAAATAATTTATTGAATTAGGCCCCTTGACCCCTTGAGATAGATGCTTCCAAATTTATAATGCTCCAACTATTCTAAATACAGGATTTCATTTGAATTTGATGATATATTATTGGGGTCTACAGGGTTTGCTTTCACATCATATTTATATTTATATTTATATGTTGAATTTTTTAAGGTGAAAAGTATATTTCAAATAATAATAAGTACTCCATCCGTCTCACATAATTTGTCCCTATTTTCTATTTTTGTCTATTCCATATAACTTGTCTTTTTTATTTTTGAAAATATAATTATGCATTTTAATCGCATTTTAAATTTTATAATTTTCTTAATTTTAATTAAACTATTTACGTATCTTAATCTTAATCTATAATAATTTTTACTAAATAATAATTATTTTTACTAATATATTTCTTAATTACTTACTAATTATACTTTACCTAAATTTTCGTGTCTACGGTAATACACCCATATTACATGGGACGTAGGGAGTAATAAATAGATATAATAGAGTTATATGTTCATATAATTGTATCTTTTCACTCTCGTCTGTTTGTAAATACTATTAGGGTGTGTTTGTTTGGGGGTTTGGATTTTGAGTTGGGATTTAAATAGTAAAAATTTTGAATTTGAATAGTTGTATGATGTGATATAAATAGGTGATGATGTGATGTTTTGAATGTAAAATTGATTTTTAGTATAGTATAAAAATAAAAAATAAGTGTTTAATTTGATGTTTTTGAAAGAAAATTTTGGATGAATAGTGCAAATCCATCAAACGAACACACCCTTAGTATCATTGAATCAGTACTTTTATTCTTGTCTGTTCAATATTATAGATGCAAATTAAATGCCTAACAAGGTAGTCTACAATACATTATTATACTTAAATTTGCGAGTTAAGAATGAATTAAACCTATTTTTGACAACTCTAGTTGAAAATATTTAATACTTACAGGACAGGCTCGACTGCTAGACCCTTATCCAATTTTTTATTTTTTTTATTTTTTATTTTTAAATTTTAAACGGAATTAACGCGATGTTGATTTGATCATATTCACATATATGATGTATGATATATCTAAACAATATGTATCGTAATATATTTATAATACAGTATATACTATATTATAAAACAATAAATTTTATCACATAATAAAAATAGTATTATGTTATTCAACTTTTATAACATTTGTTGGTTCATGAGTTAAGTCTTCTTTCATGTTACTCCCTCCTCCCTCCGTCCTTAATAACTTTCATCCGAAGTATAATTAGTAAATAATTAAAAATATATTAGTAAAATTAATTATAATATAGTACAAAAATTATAAATTAAAATAAAAATAATTAATTAATTTAATAAAAATTAAAAAAAATATTATATATTAGGGTGCAAACCTAGAAAATTTCACATCTAAGTCAAATACAAGCCCTCTTGGACTAAGTCCAAAAATAAATGTGTGCCACTTAGCCCAATCTCAAATTAAAATTGTGAAATAATATGTGAAACATATATAATAATATAATTATTTTTATATTAATATATTAAATATTGATCTTTAATTTGAATAAATCTTGGGGTGTTTTATAATATTAGATTCACAATAAGAATAAATTATGGGTGTTGTTTGTTTGGAGGTTTGGATTTGGAGTGGGGATTTGAATAGTAAAATTTTTGAATTAAAATAGTTGTATAATGTGATATAAACAGGAGTTTGATGTGATGTTTTGAATGTAAAATTGATTTTTAGTATAATATAGAAAATGAAAAATAAATGTTTGATTTAATGTATTTTTGAGGAAATTTTTTTGATGAGCAGCGGAATTTGAAAAGAATCCTCCAAACAAACACTCATTATATTCATTCTGTCCCGGTTAAATTGTCTGAAATATGAAATTTAAGAAAAATATTATTAACAAGTAATTAACAAGTATATTAATAAAAATAATTATAAATTATACTCCCTACATCTCATTCAAGTATTGTCATTTTTTATTTTTGTATGTCCCAAAATACAGTTACAAATTTTTAATTTAGTAATTGTATGACATACTTAATATAATAAATATTTTTCCAACTTATAATATATTACACAAATATTATTATTTTTATATTAAACAATATTAATAGGGATATTTTTGTCTTTTTACTACAATTAATTAAATATAATAGTAATATTAAAAAATCTACGTGCAAGAAGTAAACGCGACTGATGAAGTATTATTTATTGTATGAAATTTATGTTATAGTATTAAAGTATTTTATGGTTCATGACACGTTATAAGATGCTAAATAGTATAGATAATATATTCATATACCATTGGTTGTAGTTCTACAATATGCTGAATATAAATACAAAAAGATATTGATCCATATTAGATCATTAGCAAATAACAACTGGGAATATGTGATTTGCAATATATATATTTTATTAAAAATGCTCAAAATGGATATATAGATTGCTGAAATCATCGTATGCAATTGATTATTTCTGCTAGTGCCATGATTCAATGAATATGTGTGTGTAATGGAGACAACATGTTCATCCACTCCCAAGAAATCCTTTTTTTTTTTTTTTTTTGTTTGTTTGTTTGTTTGTTTTTTAATGTTTGTAACAATTCAAATAAAAAGATATAAAAACAAAATACTTAGCACCTTACATTATCGGAGATTTCATTGGCCATCCAAATCTGCACAAGATAATATAATCTCTCTCCCATTATATATATATATAGAGAGAGAGAGAGAGAGAGAGACAGCGACCTACGGAAGTCTTCTCACTTGGAATAGAGCTCACCATCCATTTCAATTTGTTGAAAAAAAGAGAGGTTCATTCAAATCAAGTACGAAGGCTATTCTGTGAGTTTACAGTTTACATGGAAACAAGCAAATAACTGATAGTTGTCTGTGACCAAGGTCAAATTCTCGGCATCGCTATTGTCAAAAAATGGGGTAGCAAGAAGATGCATTGGCGGATAACATATCCGTCGCGCCTTCGTCCGGGCTAGCCTTCCTCTTGGCCTGTCACCTATCATCGAGAGGATGAACACACACAAATGGACAAATATAGCAATTAATCTGTAATTTGGGCAAATCTCATTTTTATCCAACTAAAAAAAGAAGAGAAAAAACATGATTTCTATTTGTGCAATCTGATTGGTAGAAGACATTGTCCCAGAATAGAAATAAAGAAAAAATAAAGGACAAGACAAGAGTACAACTGATCAAATCTTTTTTTATTTTTTAACCTTTTTGAGGGGTGGGTATAGATTTAATTAACTTCATCTTTTTCACAGTGCAGCCATTGCTAATTTGGGCAAACTTCACACAATACACACCTACTTAATTCTACCTGACAGTACAACATCACATGATATATGAATGATATGAATATAAACTAATGTACTTAAATTAATTAATAAATCCCAAATGGTACTTTCTCAGAATAATATAATAGAAAACCCCAAGATTTTTTTTTTTTGCATACAAGATTTTTTTTTTTTTGGGATATTTCAGGGACCTGTGTGTTATCATGCTTAATGGTGGGGCTGGTTCAGAATTTGTCTCCATTGATATTCCTTGGAAGCATTTGGTGGTAAGTTTCTTTAGGTTTTTGCTTGCAGGCTGAATGTTGCTTTTGCTTCTTCTTGTCTACTAGGAAGAACACAGAAAATGGAAGGACCAATCTGGGATTTATAAACCCTACCTGCAGCTGCAATATTAATCAAATAAAGAATTAGAGTAATTGGGGAAGAAGATGATAGATATATAATGTGGAGTGGGCATGAAATTAAGTTTACTAAGAAATTAGCAAAGTAATTAAATAAAGATTACTGTGTTTTGGAAATTAGGGTTTCAGAGTGATGACAGAAGACTAGAGAGCACAAAGGAGTGAGATGCAGAAGACTAAGCAAGACTTGATTTTTTTTTTTTTTTTTTTGATATAATTTGTTGCACTTCTATCACCATCTGTGCTCTCTATCTTCTGTCAACAACACTCCCCCAATCTCCAACACACTGCAATGCACATATATATATATATATATATATTATAAATATAATTAAGCATTGTATATTAAATCTTCTTGAAAAGAAAAGAAGAAAGAATGGGGTTTTAGGGTGAAGGGCAGAAATGGTGATGACAGAAGACTAGAGAGCACAAAGATTGAGATACAGATTAAAAATGGAATTTTATTTTATTTTATTTTTATTATTATTGTATCATCATCATCTGTGCTCTCTATCTTCTGTCAACACATCACACACACTGCCTCACCCCCACCCCACCCCACCATCAAATCAAAAAATCAACAAAAACAATCAATCTGTGCCAAAACATAACAAGAAATTTCTAAATTTAAATAAACATTATCAAAAGACAGACAAGTCAATATTGATAGAATTGAAGAATAATATTGTAATGTTGAGAAAGAAGTAAAGATATGGTGTTGGCAAATAAGGAATTCTTCCAACACCCCTATTTATAGGGCAAATACTATGCCTACCACCATGCTGCCCTCTTTAATTAATTAATTATTAATTTCCATCACACTATTTTTGTTCAAAAAAAAAAAAAGGATTGATTTGTCCATCGTTAGCATTACTAAATTCATAAATTAAATCAAACCTGCTTTGGTATAATGATGACAGGAATTTGATAATATATAAAAATAATGGACCATAGAAAAGCTCAGTGTCTGGAGGGGGATAAATTAAATCCAAAGAATTGATTTTTTTTTTATTTTTTTATTTTTTTTGTGGGCACACAAACAATAAATTATTATAATATTATGATCTCTGGAAGTATGCTGCATTGATGAAAAAAAAAAAAAAAAAAAGAATGAAATTCCCAGTAATAGAATACTGATCAGAATAAGAACCTTACTTGAGTATATATATTTTTGGTGCAGAAAAGAATCAAATTTCTTTGTGCAGCTGGAAGATTGTGATTGAGCAGGTTTGACGTATGTGTAGGGCTCATCTTCCACCAAACATAAAAATATATATACATATATTTATTTAAGTTTTAAATTTTTTTATATTTTTATTTAGGTTATGTATTTATGTGTTTGTTTGTATAATGATAATTATTGCTGCTGTCCTTTACTTTTGTAATAATTGGCTAGAACATTATGAAGGGATTCAATTATTTTT